AAGAAAAAAAAAACTTTGCAAATTTCATTGGGTTTGTTTTTCTCTTCGACTTTGTTTTTGTGAATTTTGAGTGTCTGTGTTCATGTCAGTAAAAAGCTTTTAGTTTTATCATGTCCCTGCCCTGCCCTGGGCTGTAATGAAATATTCTGTCTTTAATTTCTTCTTTCTGATTGTACGTACGATGATTTGGTCTTGGTCTTTGGGTTTGAATAATCTGAATCTCTGTGAATTTTATAAATTTTTATTCTGTTCGTGAAGTTTCTATCTTGAAGAGGTTTTAGAACAGTGGTACGGTTGATTTTGAGAACTAAATTCCAAAATAATGCATCTTGAATACTCACCAGAACGGCTAGATTTTGAAGAGGCTGTGTGCTACAAGACAGCTGAATCGTGGGGAAGTTGCATGCAACGGTAAGCTAAAATGGTTCTCAAAATTTCAATCACAGCCCTGCATCAGAAGAAAGAATCTTCACATCCTAAGAAAACAGAGAGAAGCGTAGAAAATTAGCTTCAACTTCAAAGGGAGAACAATTTTAACAGCTTCCTCGGAAAACAAATGAGCAAGGAAATTCGAAAATGTAGACGAATCTGAATCGATGAAAGCAGGGAAGATAGCAATATATTGTGCGTAGTTCGTCGCCGTAGCTGCACCGCTACTGTTAAACTGATCAACTGATAGACATAAATGTCTAAATTTTTCAAGCTAGGTTCATAAAAAATTGGGCGGGTTTTTATTAAGAAGCAATGTACTTTTTAATGTTATGAGAAATCTTGAAATTTGGGAAGAAATAAGCCCCAGCTACAAACTAGTTGAGTTTGGGCATATCTTTGAATTTGATCACTTCTAGAAAACAACTAAGCTCAGAAATATAGGCATTTATCTCTAAACCTTCTTATATTAATTTAGTAGTCAGATATTTTATCAAAGAATTAAAACTTGTATGATCAACTTACAAGAAAAAACAGGTGAGATTTAAGGAACTTTTATGAGCCTGCTGTGACCTCTCTAGCTAGGAACTGGATTACACAGCTGCCTCTACTCAAGATGGTCGTTCGGCTTCAGTGACAAGAAAACTGCAGCATACTGTCTTAGTCGACTGTCGACGCCTTTTCGTTTTTGCGTAGCGTAACCTCGAGTTCGCATCTGGTGCCAGCGCCACGAAAGCTGGATGACCACAGCTCCCCATGTTCGCCAATTCGATGAGTAATAGCGCATTGTTCGGTTGAGCCTTTCGCTCGCGAACTTGTACCGAAAGTGTTCGGTAATGTACTTGAGATCGCCTGCGTCGAGCCCGTATGCTTCTACTGGCTGCACACATGAAAACGTTGCCAAAGAGGTTGGAAGCTTATCATAATGTGGATGGTGCCGGAGACACCACGAGAGCAGCTCCTCGCCAAAAAAGCCACCGGAGTTAACCAGACTAGTGGCTACAGAGCCTTTGCTAAGGCCCCCCTCGCCAAAAAAGCCACCGGAGTTAACCAGACTAGTGGCTACAAAGCCTTTGCTAAGGCGCCCTTGGCTACGCTCTACGCATCCCTCGACGATAAACACCACCCGTTGCACAGGGTCTCCCTCCCTCACTATCTACAAAAGGGATCAAATTTTGAATCTCGAGGAAGTCGTGAAAATGCATGCTCAAGTACTCGGAAGCGTTACCTTTTCACCTTTGGCATACAAGAGTGGTTTAACCCGATCACAAATGTTGTCGAGTATAAGATCATCCAACATGTGAAAGAAAGGTACCTTAAAAGATACCGAGTGCATATGTTAGTCTTTAAGTGCGATTACGTTTAACCTAAAGAGTATATAGTACACTAAAAATATACCTTCCTAACGAGGTCTAAACAAAGGTAGCGTTTGATGTCACGGCGGAGGCCATCAGGCAGCCCTCCAATGAGCTCGGTCTCGTCTAGCCCTCCCATTGCTACCCACCTTTGATATTCAAAATTGCAAACTCTTTCCCTCAAATGGACGGGCAATTGTCGCCTCTTCATCCACCAGTTCATTTCTCGAAACCGTATTTGCATCGTCTCTTTACTTGCCATGACAGTTTGCAAGAAAATCTACACACATTACAACAAAAAGAACAAAAGGGAAAAGGAAAAATCCACACATTGTTCTTCAAATAATCCTCTAGTATATATACTTAAATTCGATCCTTTTTCAAACCAATTCCGAGTCTCATGTCTCGGAGACATTAATTCAAACAGGTGGCGGGGACTCGTTCAAACTCACCTGTATATTTCCAATTAGGGTGACAAAAAGCACCAATCCTGCAAGTGTGATGCAGCAACTGAATATCACTTCCACCAAATCACTTGTGGGATCAAGTTCATTGCCAAAGGAACTGTAGAGCACAATAACGCCACAGTTTACAATTGCTCACAATGTGTTTGATAAAATTCCTGTGAGAGCAAAGAAGCAACTTGGGGGAGTGGAAAGTTACCTTAGATTCAATAAACCCCAGAAGACAGGATAAAGAATTCTAACGGCTAGAGAGTTACTAGAGAATACCAAAAGAACAGGCTCATAAATTCCATAGCTGAAGGGTCCATTGACCTCCAAGCATAACGACTTGATCGTCGTCGAGTTATTGCCACGGGAGGAAACGAATTTACCGACCCCCTTGTAGCCCGATATGGGAGAGTTGAGGCCTGAGCAAGACAATGCCAGTTTGCACATTTTTCTTCTCTCGCATTGTTGCTCAAGGCACGAGATTAGCCGCTGCGTTGCGAGGAGATACCAGCAACCTCCCGCAACCTAAGACATTGATCGGATGCATGTAAATGCGACAAAAGGACGACGATTTGGACATTCAACCTACCAAGAGCACTCCATTAATATGAACTATGCTTGTTCCCAATGTCTATGTCTATATTAGATACGATCTACGATCGTTATGTCTAATTCTTAAATTTTATAGAATCTTGACCTTAAAATTGTGATTCTAAGTAATTTATGTTGTTAACTAAATGTGAATGATAATATATGACATATCTATTAGATAAATGTCGTTGTTGATTTTACCTTATATGACAGACAAACAAGTAGAGAGTCTAGACAAATAGACAAAATAAAGTTTGACACAATCTATCGAACAAAACTCAGAAGTTGACATTGTTGCTTAAACATAGAAATAGAACCGTTACGAATGGGATGAGTCATAACAATAATAACAACATAAAGAAACAACAAAAAGAAAATGAAAGTTTGAAAGTGAAATGTGTGAATATTTGGACTTACATGAGAGGCAATCAAATAGGCAAAGACATTGAGGCTAAAACGCCACCAAATGCTGCCAAAGATGTAGCCAGTGACCTTTTGGAGTTTGTTCATCAAGTAAATGCTGTGGTAAAGCTTTGGAAAGAACTGAAATAGGTAGCTCACTAACACCACTCTCATCACCTCTTTTATCTCTTCTTCTCTCAATAGTTTCCGCACAACCAACCATGTCACAACCTACAACCAATAACATCCTCCATCGCAATTAATGTCGAAAACATTTACGACTTAATTCCGGTTCTTTCTACTATTTCTTGAGATCCCACATTAGCGTGAGGTTCTGTGTTCGAACTTTTCTACCGTTAAAGTATAAATTTCAACACCAAAATCTTAAGTAATCCATTAGACTTGATAAAAAGAAAGGTTGAGAATTTTTATTTTCCTTTTTAAAAAATTAATAACTCACTGTCAATTTTTTAACAGTGGTAATTAAAAAGATAATTAGTATTCAGCAACATAAATATTAAGATAAAGCTTGTTTCTTAACAATGCTCTTTCAGAAGACTTTTAACTTTTCAACCGTATTAGCTGAATTTCAAAAATAATAACAAAAAATAAAGAGACATGGGGTCTCTGAATATTTTAAATCTTATTTTTTACTTTTAAAAATTAAGCAAAACTACATTTATATATATACCCAGTTTTCCATTTTTAAGAAAGTACCTAACCAAAAAAAAAAAAAAATTAAAAATTAACAACTACTTTTTTAGTTTTAAAAACTTGGCTGGGTTAGCAAATACGTAATAATATTTTTTAAAAGAAAAACATATATGATATATGAATTTTTTACTAAAAAGAAAATTAACCTTTTATATAAACAAAATTCAGGAGAGGAAAAAAAGGACTGAAACGAAAAATGATTAAATTTCGAACTGAAATCTTGAAATGATTTAATTTTACTAACCTGAGGAATGGGAATAATGACAAACAAATCGAGCCAGAATCCCTTGAAGGACCTCACATAATGAGAAGCAACCGCACGTGCGTCCCACACGAGGCTCCCACTCCCGACCACCAACGACGCCGTCGAAACATACGCCAGCCGGAAATGCAGCCACACGTGGCACACATGCACCAGGTCGACGCACGTGCGGGCGGCGGTGACGACGGCGGCGAAGGCCGCGTCCCGGTAGAAGCACGGCGGGCCGGCCTTGGTCAGAAAGATCACGTAAAAGAAGAGCGGGTCGACCGCGAGGGACGCTGCACGCGCCAGCAGCACTACGCGGTTCCAGCGCTGGACCCACCGGCAGCGCGGGTCGAGCACGCGCCGCCGCGAAGATCCGGCGAAGAAGTCATCGATATCCCTTTGCTCTTGTTCTTGTTCTTGGGCATGGGCTGTAATTGTGAGGCGTTTGCATTTGGGCATCATTAGAGAAAGAAACCAAAAAATTAAATGCATAAAGAAATAGAAATAAAGGGGCTGGGAAAGTAAAAGTAGAGGGGAAGAGAGAGAGGAAAAAAAAAGAAAAAAAGAAAAAAGAAAAGTTAACTTTTTTATTTTTGGTTTTTTGGGGTTTTTTATTTTTAATTTTATTTTCCTTTGTTTTTGCATGTGTGAAGGGTTTTTGGAAGGATCGAAAAAGGGGAGAAATTGTTGTGGCGAGCTAGCAGTAGGCGTAAGGTGGTAGGTGGGCACACAAACGCATGGCAAGTTTTTCTTCCTTTTTCTTTTATTTTTTGTTTTTTTAGTTTCTTTCTAACAAAAAGTCAAATTTATCTCGAGTGCGGGTTTGGCATCTTAAGCTTACAGGGTTCGTGAAGTAGAGGTTTTAAGAAGTGAATAGTGTACTTTTCTGTTCACTGGATAGCTGAAAAATTTTTCACACGTTACTTCGTCCTCAATCATAGCTCGACCAAGATGCACCTCTATAGCTCGGCCAACAAAGATGAACTATATCATAAAACTACTCAACTGTCTTTTCGACAAAATGTCATGAGGGACGGTCGTAACTACTCTTCAACCGCTGTCAAAAGTTCAACACCTATAAATAGAGTTGTTCGTTAGCTTCATCCTAGTTCGAACTTCCGTAGATTGGGTCATTTTTATGATCAAACAATAATTCACTTAACAATTATAAGAAATTTGTGTTTGGAGTTAGCTAGGTAAGAGAGGCGGGCGGTGATGGAAGTGGAGCAAGGAGTTTGGATTTGCATGTGCAAGAAAGCCAAAAGACAATGCTATGACTGTTTTTTTTCCCTGACTATCGGACACATGAAGGCTCAAACCTAGATTTTGAATACTAGGATAGTTTCACGCAATAAACACACTCACCTCTAATTTATGTTATATTATAAACTCCCCCAAGAATATAATTAACTTTCCTGTTTGTTTCTACTCTTCGAAATTGTCAATTTTCCTATGAAGTTCAAATAGTATTTTTTTTCTATCTACCATATTTTTAGGTAAATATGAGGGGAAGATGTTCTTATCCATCTAAAATTTCCCTTTAGGCAGGCTCAGCTTTACATAGATATAGTCAATTTAAGTATAGTTCACAATAATTTGTTATTATAACGGTATATATTTGTAATTGTTCAATTAGTATTTGACACACATGTATGTTTCTGCTGACACGTGTCTAATATGTGTCGAACTGTGTTGATATATGACACGTGTCTAAACTAAAGTTTATGGAGTTTATATATATATATATATATAATAATTGACAATAAAATTAACAAGGTACATAAGTAAATAGTGAAACTTAATCAGATTTTTATATAATGTTTAAATGTTGCCGTGAAAGTTAGTGAAAAGGGTTCAGGATATGTCCCTCAATGTGTCCAGTGGAGGATCGAACGCTCAACGTCACGAGAATCAGCAAACTCTGATGAGGCTCCTAGTGCCAAAAACTTTAACGATAATATATTGTTTTTTTATAATATTATGTTTCAAACAATTTGAAACTATAACTCATAAAGATTGAGCTATCATATCATATATCATATTTTTAAGATAATCAAGAGGGAGAGAATCTATTATTTTGATAAATTTTATGTGATTGAGTTATCCCATCATCAAATTTCTTTTGATTTCTACGATAGGGGAGAGAAAAAAAAAAGTTTAAAGTTCAAGTTCAAGCTTTACTAAACCTAGATTTTAGAACTTTGATTAAATCAGAAAATTGTGTTTTTTTCTATTTAGAGAAAAAGCGAATGTGCCTCTCAAATGCAATCATTATAATAGAACAGGTCTTTTAGAGAGGGCATGGACGGATTTTAAAATTTCTACAAGATTAATATAATAATGTACGAAAATAATGCCTAAATTTAGCCCTCCAACTTTTAATATATATTATATGTTTATTAGTTAGACTTCATTTTTTTTTAAATTCAACTATATCTTAATTAAAGATCTTTAATTATGTTTTCATTTACTTCCTATATCATCTTATAATTTTTATAATATTTTTTATTTTTTTAAAAAATAGTTTATGTTTTCATTTGTTAATCGTATTAACCGTACATGATATGTGATATGCATGAATACTCTAAAAAATTATATTATCTTATTAACAAATGCACTTATTATAAATAATCATTAAGTTAAAAATTAAACTATCTTATCAACATACAAACAACTATATATGATTAAGCTATATCTAAAACTTTTGGGTTAAATTAAAAGTTTTTAAACTTTCAAATTTCGATTATTCTTATATTTTAAAAAGTTATAATAAATTACTCAACCTTGAATTTTGTGTTTCATTTTATGATTCACTTTGTTAATTGGAGTCCGACTTTTCACTGGGTTATATGTCAAGTATAGCTGAATTATGTTCGCTTTGACCTCAGAAATTTGATTGAACAGAAATGGGATTATTAACACAAATTGATATGATCAGGAATATAAACTTGTGTTTGAGCATGAAGAAATCTTTACATAAAACTGATGAACACAAATTTAAAGCATTTTTGTTTACTGTAACAGCTCGCGTATCCAACCGATATGCGGCAGATCGGAATCCGATACCTCCCACCCGAAGTTTCGGTCATTTTTCCGTTCTCTGATCTCTCTCACCGTAAGCCCTTTCAGACCGTTCACAATATTCGAAACGTCGTCGTTCTTACTCTCCAACGGAGCTTCAACGGCAACCACCGGCACACGTGTTCGGTGAGCATTGAAATGAAACTTTTGTTTCGTCTCTGACCGGAGCTGCTCCGGCGTGTGTGCAAAGAAACAAACTTTCCGTTGGCAAAACCGGCCGGCATTGCAAGCGCGGGTCCGGTACCGGGCCGGGTGGAGCCAGTACTCGAACACACCGTGAGCATACTCGCAGAAGTCACCTCTAGGGCAGTTGCCGTTACGGAACGCCGGGCAGGCCACGGCGGAGTAGTTGAACCGCCGTAGGTCGCGGCGTTGAGCCTTCTCGCCGCGGTGGGCGTACGGACACTCGGTCCAGTCGTGGCTGCGCGTCCTCGGACACCGTTGGATCTTGTACGCGAACATCCGAAACTCGTCGGAGCCGAACACCGCCGCCGCGTCTTCCACTTGCTCCATCAGCTGGTGGCAGCCGGAAAAATCATGGTCGAAAACGGCATTATTTATGCCGGGAAAAAACCCTTGAAACATCATTAAATTTAAAAAAAAAACGACAAAACAAAATTATAATAATAACAACGATTTTTATCCGAACATGTTCTTTTCACTCGGACAAAGAATCAAAACCTCTCCGATCTAAAACATTTAAATAAGACCATGTTACACATTCACCTGCAAGAAAAACAAAAATATGAAAATATTAAAGATCAAGAAGAACAAAAAAAAAAAACAAAACTTTGGCCAATTTTGATGGTAATTAAAGAAACTAGAATGTGGGTTTTATTTATTTTGTGGAGAAAGTGTAGAACATGTAATACCTGAGTGAGATTATGGGTCGAGGAAGTGGAAGAAGAAGATCAAGAAGAATCTTGAAATCAAAAGCAGGAAGAGAAATTAGAGAGAGAAAGGCCATTGTTGGGAAATTAAAGAAGAAGAAGCTTATAAGGGTGAGGTAATTTAAATTAGAGCTGAGAGCACAGAAGAAGAAGTTGGATGGGAGAGGGTTCATTTATAGAAGAATTGGAAGAAAAATGAGAGGTAAATTTTGAAGGCTTTATTTCTTCTTGGGGTTAATTTTGAGTTAAAAAGTAACTAGAGTGGAGAGTTAATTTGGAGTTCCAACGGTAACGGCTGGGTGTGGGTTGTGGCCATTGGAGGGGCTTAAGGACACTTGCCACATTATGAAGCCACTTGTTGGCTCTTCATGAGAACATTGTAGCCATGTGTTCATGTCAAATTGTGGTCGTCTTCTTCCTTTTTTTCCAAGAAGTGAACACATTTGTGCCCAAAAACCTTAAATCCAACCAACTTTTACATACGAATATTTGGGTTTTTGTATTTAATATATCCTTATTAAAACTTTTAAAAATATCATTTAGGTGTAAAAAATTTAGGTATAGTTCATCCATAAATGACATATATTTATTCTCCCTTAAGTTTGAAGCTGGGTTCAAATCCTCATATCTCATATTTATTGTACTAATTATATATATATATATATCATATTGATGTAGCTATACATGCTCAATCAAAGAAATAAATGAATTTTTAAACGTTAACAAAAATATAAGGTAGGTTTAATAATAATCATGTTGTTTTGCATTTTACCTTCTTTTTTTAAGAAATTTCAATAATAAGAATATATATAATTACATTTGAAAATTGTTTCTTGTTATAACAGAAATGTGCACTACTGCAATTGAGATTTTCTCAGACAAAAAAAGATTTCTACGCAATAGTGGAAACGTTTTTTGAAAATTAGAAACGAGCAACGGTTTCCAAACACTTACGTTTCTAAAAAATTGGAAATGAGAAATGAGAAATAAGAATCTAAAATCTTATCAAACGAGCCCTAAAATAATACAAACACGTCAATTTTTTTAATATATTATATTGTATGAAAAAATAGGGAGAACTTTTGGCTAGACCAAACCTTAACCAAGGTGGTTTGTCTTCTTTTTTATTTTTTTCCCTTATTTTTCCTTTTCCTCTCTCCTTTGAGTATAAAAAAAGGTTATGTGGATATGGGCATTGAATGGTTAATGCACAAAAAGGATATATGTAAATTAAAAGATTCAACGTTAAAGCTAATTGTATAATGTTTCCTACCCAAACTTTATTGAAAAGTGTCCTCTAAATAAGGCAAGCGTTTCTTTTATTGTTTTGGTAATCAAAAGAATTACAAAAGAGATATAATGACAAAACCTATTCAAAAAAATTCAAGGAAAAAAAAAACCCCTCGAGAACATGCATGTGTAGCGGCGAATCGTCGAAGAAAATCGTCAAATGGGATTTTCTTTCTTCTTCTTTTTTTTTTGGATTCTTAGGTTAAAATCTTTATAGATGTTTATGTGAACTGATGGGGTGAATAGAAAAAAGAAATAACAAAGAACGAGAGAAATAATAGATTGATCTCACTATTTATAACGGTAACTTACCGTTAATGAAAGACGACAAGGTAATTTATCGGGGGAAGTTAGCACGTGCACGAAATGTGATTACTATCTTCGGCCAACTTTTTTCCTATAAGAGAGTTAGGATATCGACATACGAGTCAGGTATGCGGAAGATATGTCGCGACAATATAAGGATCAAAATAGGAAAAGATATTAAATGACGATATATTAATTAAAGGAAAATCATCTTTTACACACTAGTGAAAAGTTGCCGCTTGGCAATCTTGATCGTTGGGAAATTAACTTTCTATGTTCGTTATATTTCGCGAGAGACCGTACCGTACGACGTTGACCTAAACATGAACATATCCAATTTTACATTTAGTTATATCTTTGAGTACTGTACATTGTTCTTTCCGGTTGTATCCAGAAGTATATTTTAATTGCTAAATATATGTTATACTCCATAATGTTGAGGGATTAACTTTTCAATTTAATCTTTATCTTTATATTTAAAAAGTTTTGATTAACTCTTAATGTTCCATTTCAACTATACTCTTCCTACTGTTGAATTTCTAAGCTAACAAAAATTTCAACTTTATAGGTGGTTTTTGTTGGAGGTGATTTATCGATCACTAAGTGTCAACATCTAAAATCAGTAAATAGTAAGATAAAAGAAAGGGGTTCATCGAAGAAGATTCAACGAAGTTAAGTTTCCTCAGCTCAGTGTCTCTCTTCTTCTGAGCTACCATACCTTCTACCCTTCGACTAACCTACGACGGGCATGAGCCAAAGTTAAAGAGTAACCCATGGAGCATAGATGGCAGACATGTTTCCTAACAAAACAGTTCGATCCTAGATTGTCGGAAGTCCTATCGGGAGCTCACCTCTATAAATAGAGTCACACCTCTCATAAAAGGTACGGAAATGTATTCTCTCTTAAATATAGATTAGACTGTATATTGACTACAGCGTCAGAGTGCTGACTCTATTTTGCAGGTCCTGAGTACTTCGGTGCGACCAGTTCGAGTTTCATCAACTTTACGATCAAACAATTTTATTCCTCTTTTAAATTTCTACTAACTCATCAAATATCATATCATATAAGTTTATCGTCAACCAATTCTAAATTGAAGCTGACTATCTAAGTCTAGAGATGGGCAAAATGACGAGATATATAAAACGAAAGTCGAAAAATTGAGAACATTAACACGTCAAAATGAGCAATAGATTGAAGTGATAGTTGAAAAACATGCATACCCACACGTAGGGATCTGAAAACCAAAAAGAAAACTGAATCAGTTTTATACAAATCTGTGAGCGTTTCCTTCTTTAACACAACATGACAAACCAACCACAAGATTGTCGTCAGCTTCTTACGAACTTTATTTTATCCCAATTATTTTTAAATACTTTTTTGGTTCAAGGAAGAAAAAATAGTAGGTAAACTTAATTTCCAAAACTGATAAAATCCAAGTTAAATTACATTTTAATCCTCCAACAATCAAAGATTCTACATTGAAAAGATAAGAGACCGGACTAAAGTTTATAATATAAATTGATTTTAAGATGAAATTTCTAATATAAATTTTGAGTTTTTGATCCAACCAATGTTAAAATTAAGGTTTTGAATGTCGATGTCAATGAAAATATCGATAAAATATCAATATCGATAGATTTTTCTAGAAAATGTATTTAAATTAACAAATAAGTATTTCAACTTTTCTAAATAAGTTAAAATAATTAATGTTAATATCATGTCCGTGTTAGTGATATTTTTCATATTTTATCAATTTTTTTTACAATATTATGAAAATGTTGATTTAACTCTGGTATTGACGTCGAACCCATAGACACATAAAAATATTGAAAATATTGATGAAAATCTACGTGTCGACAAATATTTAATATCCTCGTTGAAATTTATACTAAAATAAAACAAAAATTAAAGTTCAAGAACCACCCAGGTCCCAGATGCTAAACTGATCTGAACACTCGCGGATATTAAAAGAAAAAATTCCACACAAATTGAAGTCAACCGTAGCCAAATTACCAGAAGTCTATTTGGTTTTAAGTTTTGTGAAACTGACCGAATTAAGCTGGTTCGATCGGTTTGGTCAATTTATTCGAGTTCGTCGGTTTGGCTTATAACCCTAAAGTAAATAGCAATCTCTCCCATATAAACGACAATGGAATTTCTTGGATTTGTTCACGATTGCTTGCAGTGCAGCCGATAAATCTCAACATACCAAGACATAAAAATGCACCGAAACTTGGGTCATGAAATCAAATTTTTTGTATTCAAATTCCTTTCTTTGGGAGTTCCCAAATAAAAATTATACAGCATCTCAACATTTTATCAAAAAGAAATAATAATAATAAGTAAAGGGGCAAAACGGTCACTGTAGCGTAGAAATACGACACATAGGATAAATGCAGTGAACAAATTAGAGAGAGCTTTTACCTCTTTCACAATAATCTTCACTTTCAGAATGAGAATGAATAAATTTGGTTCTCTCAGCTTTTAGGATCTGAAGCTTCGGCGCGTATTCTTTCAAGAATAATGTTACACGTGTTCATGGTGTGCGCATCAAGAAGACCATGGTTCCACAACTTAATCATAAACAATCTCCAACACCTGCCAAAACCCACAAAAATATGTTCAAACATAACATTACCACTCCGACGTAAACGGTTGTCGGTATAGAGTTTACATGAAAACAAGATTTACATAGTTCAAACTATTATATAAGAAACTACGCTTTCATTGAGACAAATGAAAATAGGTACTAGGAGTACAAAGAGGGCCTACAAAAAGACAGCCCTGAAGAAGGAAGCTCCTAAAGAAAAGAGTTCTAATCTAAAAAAATGAATCCTAACGGATAATTACAAAAAGCCTTAGAAACCGAGCCCCATGACGAAGTATTAAATCTAATGAGCTCCCATACATAGTCCACAGACTTCACCACTCTCCTAAACAGTAAGATTCATAATTGTTATTTGTATTCTTAGAGGACTTGGCAGTTTTGAACCAGAAAGAGATGAGAAACTACCATAGTAAAGGTGGAGTTCTGACGAGGTTTGGTCCATGTAATTGTGAAAAAGCCTCACAAGCCCAGGGAATATGGCCATCTGCCAGAACCCTATGAACAGATAACAAAACCATGTTTAGAGAACAATATGTTTGAACATTAGTCATTAATCTCCATACTATTTACCCACATACATTCTTGATCTACACTGTCAATCTTACATGTACTGAATAAAAACATGCAGAAGTAAGCGTCTGTTTCATAACTATTTTATTTTGGGTTTTCTGTTTTTTGAACAAATTGTTATCAAATTGGACCTAAAAATGTATGTGTGCGGTGTGTGCAGGTTTCCTACCAAATTTTAATGTGGATTTGAACCTTATTTTTCATCCAGGTGCTGGATCAAGATACAGACATACTAATAGTAAAAGACAAGAAAGAGCGATCGCCAATTACCGTTGCTTTCTGACAAATGAGTTCCACATATGCATCATTTGCTTCTCATCCTTGGTTACATCGACGAAATCATCAAGCATCTACATCAATGCAAAATCCGTTAATGTTTTTTGTTATTATCACCCAATGACTAGGACATGGAATTGAGAACCTTTCTCTAGTCTCTCCACAAATGAGAAAGAAAGCAAAGGTGGTCTGATGAAAATTATACCATATTTAACTTCCAATATCAAGAAAAATGACAACAGACGGTCCTATGGAAGTGAAAACAAGAACACAAGGGACTACAAAAAATGCACACTGTCACCCTTACTCTTTCGCCCTCACACGCCCTTCGAAACTCCCTCCGTTAATGGTCACAAACCTCAAGAGAGAGAAACGAAAGCAATAGAAAAGGACCTCGTGGGAGAGAACCACATCATTACCATCATTACAAGGCTACAAGCCCCTATTAGTTATATCAGGTGTTATCAAAACTTCAAACCTTACCCTCCTATCCTCAAGGTCTGCAACATCGTCATCAACTTCATCTTCACTATCTCGGTCTGATAACACTTGTTCCAATGCCATTGGCTTCAAGTACATCATCAAATATTGAAAAAGAAATAATTAAACCAATAAAAATCTGAAATGTATCGAAGTTTAGAAAAAAAATCTGGTATGTATCATTAAAACAGATAACTGCACGAGTCTAATATGCACCATGAAAATTTTACCAATAAAAGATAAGATCAAAAAGAAATTTACCTGAGCTCTGTGAGAATGAAAGAACTGTCTCTTCCTTAAGAGGGTACAGCTAAAAGACAATGAAAAATGAGACAAAAATCAGGTTCAAGTTCATGTATTCTAGCAACAGAATCAACATTAAAAATAAAATAAGTCATTTAAAAGTAGTCGTTATAAACAGAAATATAATAAACTCCAATCAACTACAGCTCCATGCGATGACAAGCTCTTAGTAGGCATCAGAAAATGATGTAAGAGAGTGAATGATTGCACAAGTATAACTCAATGTCGAGTAAAAAACAAACTAAAAAGGAAAAAGAAAAAAAAAAAAAATCAAGTACCATAATTTAAGAGACATTCAAGTAGCTGTACTCAACAATCAAGAGCCATTACACTTCACATTCTTGTTTCCAGCAAGTACCTCCACAGGAGACAACTTCTTTCTAGTCCTAAGTTCCAAATGCATTCATCCAAAAGATTTTCCTTTTCCATTTTAAATACGACACCACAAAGCAACTCATTTTCCCTCTGGCCAAATTCCAACTTAGTAAACACCCGTGAACAATTGAAACTCCAAAGAAAGTAGTTCCAACAGTATCTTCTCTGAGGGCAATGGAAATGCAAATAGTTTCATCCAATACTATGCAGGCAGGTATATCCCAGAAGAGGAGTTGAAGGCTACTGGCTACATTGGCTGCGTTTGATTATCAAACCAAGTGTTGAGGTACTCCATTCCAACTAGAGAACCTCCATCTTGGTAAGAAATAAGCATTGCTTTCTCCTTTTCCAGACAATGAAAAAGAATATTGTCGCATTGTAGTATGGTGCAAAGAAAATGGGAAGGAAAATGATCATCACTTCCTCCTATGCCTCTTTCCAAATGCTAGGTGCAGGTACAAGATGCTCAACACGTACAGCTTCTCTAGGTGTTCACCTCGATGTTTCTCTAGTTTTAGGCATCAGCCTTTCCACCGAAGACTACTAAGTGGGATAGTAGACATTATTATAGAATATAGCAGAAAAGATGGAAATTTTTTTAATGGAAAAACTAAGTTAAGGATTTATCCTGCTACTTTTTCTCTAGCCACTAATGGAGTTTTTTAGACAGGATTTCTTTCATTTAATCATTGAAATGAAAAGAATTTTCAATACACAGATTAAGAACTTAGATCTACTATAAAATAAGTAAATTTCAAGCAATCTTAAAAGGTTGAGCTCAAGGGCAGTGACTACTTTGAGCATTTAAATTATCTCTCATCTCTACCTCATGTACAGGCTCGCAATTTACTTAGAATAAATATGAACACATCATAAATTTTGGTATGCAATGAGAGGAAAGTAATGATGCATATAAATGAACTCGACATTTTTGTTCTACTACCATGGTAGATTACTATAGATTGTGAAAGCCTCATATATAGTCAAGAACACTTCCAAGTTTCCTACATTCACCGACTTCAACAACTAAGCACCATACTACGACCCCAGTGTTTGGTAATAAAAAACACCAAAGAAATTAGCATAGGATCTCACTTCCATTGCCACTACAGTTTAACCTCCCTCCCCAAGACCATGTGGTTGAATCCAAGGCCTTCATCAAGTAACTCCTTGGTTAAGCAGGATTTCGACTCAAGTGCAACAGCTACATTAGAAGCAATTATCTTTGGCCCCATATCGTTTTCAAAAAGAAGTAATTATCTTCGATAATATCATCATAATAGGAACTTAACATGATTCAAAATAAATCTCAATAGCATACGCATTAAACACAAAATACTCAGTGATGGAAAGAGACATGTTTAACATACTGTCTTGGGTCTGCCCGTTCAATCGATAATTTTCTTGTCTTGGCAAATTGAAGCACAGTTGACGCAATATTGTGCCCTGATATTGATTGTACGCAATCAGGATCATTGGATGAATGGAGAGTGGTACTTAATAAACCTGCAATATTAAGGCTAGATGTAATGTAATCTAGAAACTTCAGAAAATCAGTGAGCATTCAGTGGTGACATTCGCACCTGATATTTGAGCCTTTTCACCTTTGCTAGATTGAGCATCTGAAACAAGAAGGTGGTTGCTCAATAATGATATCTGTACAAGAAGGAACTATATAAAATCAAGTGCCACTTGCCAGAGGCAGCCAAGCAAAAACTCACTCCAAAGCCCTTTTTTTCAATATCATTGACATCTAAGTAACACGATAATGTTTCAGACTTGATACAGAGAATTGTCCAGGGGTATTAATAGAAAAATAAATTTCGAAGAGAGTTTCAAATAATAATATGTCCAACAGTTTCTGCCAAGAGAACATTTATTTAGGGTGTACTTACAATGTTTATGTCAAACCTAAAAGAACAATTGATACAAAAGTCAAGGCTCGAGACGTTTCGAGAGCTCAAAAATACATGTAAAAACGGCATTTTTTGAAATTAGTTTCTAATCATAGGAAGCTAAGACCATCTATTCGCAACCCGTGATTTTGCAAACCGATTCTGGAGGTTTATTATCAAAGCTTTTAAGGTACAGGTTCCTTCGGCGGCAGGAAAGGAAGTTGACTTCGTTGACCTGGATTGACCTAGATTGAAGCAAAGACGCAATACACACGGAGGTGGGAACTRAAGTATTCTATATATACATCAAGACCGACCTACTTCTAAAAGAACGGGGTGCTTGCTGGCACCAAAGCCCTTCATTATTGTTAGGTTGTTAGGTTAATGGGGCGGAGGGCGCACAAGCCCTTCTCTGCTCCTTTCCTGAGCGTTTCACACTAAGCTCTTTGATCATGCATTGCACCTTTCTAGGCTTCGCTTTATATACTCATCGTCATCCCGCCGCTCCTACCAATGATTTGCTTAGTTATGAGCAAAAAAGGGTTCTAAAAAGAAAATAATCCACCCTTTCAATAAGAGAGACTTTACCGATCGAAATATTCGCATGCGAGAGAGATCCCAATTCCGTGTATCCGGTTAACAAAATTTCCCACAAAATAGGTTAGAAGTAGTGAGCCACAAAACTTTAGCAGTCCTTCTCTATCAGGCGTCAAAACAAACCCATCAACAAAGGCTACCTAATTACCCCTTTCAAAATGAACCCATCAAACTCTCAAAGTCAAGTCTAAAATGACCTTATCAGTGTCAGCTTCCCGTGAAAGAGGGCTAGAGGAGCAGTCTCCGGGGAGAGAATAGTCCTCGAGAATAGCCCATGTGAAAAAATCAAGCCATTGTTATAAGCATTTGTGCATCTAATCCTCATTGAAAAAAACCTTTTTTCTTGGCTTTATGATAGTGTTTCAGAGTCAGCTTTCTGCATAACACGATTTCATCTCGGTCAACTTTGGAAAGACTAGGTTCCACATTCACAGATGAGAGATTTGAAGTTAAACTTTTTTTTGGGTAGGGTGGGCCATTGAACTTGAAAAATGGCCTTATTAGGGTGGACAAGATTTAAAGAGCAACTAACCAACAAACAGAGAGTTAAGAGGATTGTATACTTCACCCCAGAAAAGTCCTCTCTTGATGACAATTGTGTGGTCCCAGCTAAAATCTTACGTATCAAGGTTTGAAGGGTTCGAGGGTGTGGTGTGGCCAAATCATAGACAAGCCAAAGCACCCTCAATAGATACATAACATAGCCAAGCCAAACTTTAAAAAATGACTATGATAGCTCCAAAACAGTGCCCAAAAAAATTACAACCCCACACCCTATCCAAAAATAAGTAGTACCCAGAATAAAACCCAAAAAATCTTTATAAGAATTACAAAAAAAATATCATGAAGGAGAATAAATAATTAACAAGCACATACCATCTGCCTTGTCTGAGTATTCAGACTCTACAACAAAGGGATGTACATGTTTTGCACTTCGAACCACATTCTTAACTTTTCTGCGTCTGAGGGGCCTTGAGCTGAAAACAGATGTTAAGAGTTAAAAGTTTCCCATTAACATCAAGGAGTTGAGCAGCATAACTTGAATGATATCTGAAATTTCTCCGAGTTCACATTACTTACCAGAAGAAGAATGTCTGCTGCTTTGGATCAATACCATCTGCGATGATCTGATAAACCAACTCATGTCATTGCCAAACCAACACCCAAAAAACTGGACCTCATAAAAATTCTAAAGCACCTTTTTCACACAGTAGATTACTTTTTAACCTGAAACACTGCCTCATGTAAAAAAGGTGTTCTGTGTGTTTTTCCAACTATAAAATACAACTTGGTGTACTTAATCAGCTTTAGTTACGCACTTACGCTTGCCTCAACTAAATAGTAGTTTTTAACAAGAGACAACAAATACACATGCTTGCACCATAGTTTAACTTTAGCTTTTCAAATTATATTAAAAATTGATGGTAAATAGACTTCCCATAAGGTAAAGTTTAAATAATTAGAGAAGATCCTGGAATAATAAATGGTATATTTAAGAACTAACGTGAGCATGGTGGTAACAGAAGTACCATAAAACTCCATGTGAAATCTTCCCTACCTCAGAACGCCAAACATCAGTCTTAGTGGAAACATTTACAGCTTGATATTCTTCAGTTACCTACCAAAACTAATTAAGATCAATGTTTATTCAACAACAGATATATGATCAAGAAAAATTATTTGATCTTCAAAAAAATTACTGACCCAAAATTCAAAGTTGAAGAGATCGTGTAATGATAACAAGTGACATCTCAAGCCCTGTAAAAGAGATAGGATAGTTTTTAACACTGAACCACATAATTCTGCCATGTATAGCCTTGCTTCCAAAGCAAGACATGAATAAAGGAAAAAAAATGAGGGAAAATGACCTTAAAACTTGCACATTTAACCAAGCAAAATGGGCAGGAGAAGTCTTCAGTTACTGCAAGTAAAAATTCAACATGAACATATCAGTGAGTCAAGAACGAGCAGCATAAACATAGGATAGTAAGAAATCAGGTGGTGACAGACAGGGAAGGAAGAGTATTTCAGTGAGAAATAGCATCAAAATTTAAAGGGTAATGTAAATACTAAAATTTTTCCAAAGAAGAAACTTAAGTCTTGTATTAATGGGAGGAAAATCACAAGAAAAAGCAGAACAATGTAAGTCCCCACCATGAGTGATAAAAGAAGTTTCAAGAGAATTCAACCCAAAAAAAAAAACTGAGAGAAGAAAACAAAATTTACAACGCCCAATGCAACTGAAAAGTAATTCAAAACTAGTCATCTTGATAAGGAAGATGCAAATTCAGTAAATACCTGATAATTGGAGGGAGAAAAGAAAAGGACAAATGAGACAATTTTAAGCAAGAGAAATACAACACCTTCAGTTTTTTGCAATCTATTGTTGTAGTACCTATAATTGAAAATAACGTTTCCTGCCCTCAACCTGAAACATATAGAACAAGAAAAAACTGTAACAACATTCTTGCATAAACATACAACCATTTTAAATTATGCTTCAGCATGAAGCAAATAAATGATCTTTCCAACAAACATGGCCACTGTAAATTTTTTGCCAATAAATATTATGATAGCATCAACAATTTAATTGATTTCATATACAGATTTGTCTAAAGGCCTGTGAATTCAAATATCGACTAAATTACAATCATGTTCTGTAAAATAAAAAGCATATTACCGAATCATAAGAGACAGTGATGAGGAAGGTATTTCACTATACGTGTATGAATCATACGGAGATTTATCCCTGGCACCAAACTCTTCTGCAGAAATTGTGACCTGTACTTGCCGTCCTATATGCTTTTGAGACCCAGATATCGATACAGAAATAAAGAAAAGGAAAGACTAAGTTAAGTAAAGCTCTGGAAGAGTTAAAAATGAACTTGATAGCTCAAGTAAAATAAACTAAAATTGATTGTTAAAACGGACCATAGAATCAGAATTATATGGAATTTGAAATGCTACACACTTCTCTCCATCCGAGCAACTAGTCTGCAAGACATTAAATATAAACTAAAGAACCTGGCCAGATGGTGAATGAGAAATTCAAAGTTATCACTAACAAAATATAAATAAGCAGTAACTAATGACATCAGCATAGATTATAGTGAGGAAACCGAAGCATTTGATCAAACCTTCAGGACACAAGAACGCATATCAACAGTTGACATTATCTCAGCCCTCTGTCCAAGACCAAAATTTGAAGAATTCTGCCACGAAATGTAAAGTGATTCCAATGGTATCTTGCCCCATAAGCAGTGACCTACAAAAGCAATAGTAAGAACGTCAAACCCTAACAATTTAAAAAAAAAAAAAAAAATAGCCCTTAAAAAGGTACAAAACCAACAAGGTTCTCAAGTATCCCTGGGGGCAAGGGTAGCATCCCATTTTTCTCGTACAATTTTTGTACAACTCATTACTAAATTACTTCAAACTTAGAGCCCAGTCAGAAGTCAAAATTTAACTCTATCCTCAAACAATGGATCATATTTTGACACACCACAAAATAAACATAGGGAATCATATTAGACAGACGAATCCTTAATGGAAGCAATTAAAGTATTTGCTCGGATGGAGCAAAAGGCATACCAGGAACAGATGCCATATATAGAGGCCCATCCACTGAATCGACTCCAGATAAAGTATTTGCAGATCCAACTGCAAAAAATAGCATGTAGACAAACCAAATATAAGATAGCTCATTGTATAAATTTGACCACAAGTAAAAATTAAATGGGAAGGCCTACCACAGCTAACAAATAATATAGCAAGTGACCCAGATTTTGCCTCCACAGCTAGCTTGTTAATTTCAGGGAGGATAAAATTAGCTATAACCTGAGAATTGCATTCCACTCTGCTGATGCCAGTTAAGAGACAAGCTCGACTAAATCGATATACACCAGAGAACTGTTGGTTCAAAAAAGGAATGACGAAAACTTATAATTAGATATCATAAGATGTAACAAATGGTACGATGCACATAATGCCTTAAAAGTGCATTTAAGATGCAGAATACCATCTAATACTAATCTCACTGGACAACTATCTGACCCTACTACATTTGGTTGCTTATGAAACACATAGGAAAACTAATTCCTAGATAGGTGGCCATCACGTGGTTTGAAATTATTCCCTCTAAATTTTTTTTGATTAACCTTAGCCCCAATGCAGAACACCACCTAATAATCAATATGCATCCAATAATCAATCAAACCAAGCTGAAAACTACAATAGGCATTCTCACCTCAGCAACTGCAACGTCAGATACTAATCTTCCCAAGATGACATACATAGGAAACAGGTTATGTGCCTGGCCACCCCCACTCAAAGTCCTGGAAATTGAAATTGTCATCTGGATCCTACAGATTCAAGAGCAAAACCAATTAACAGCACAAAATAAATTCAGGATTCAGAATCCAGCTATAGAAACCATCAGCATTAAAGAAAGAGAAAGAACAAAATTAACAAAAGAGAACTAGCAAGGATGGGGCATAGAGTTTCAAAGGGAAAGCAAGCACAACTATCTAACTGAGTGGAGCAAGAACCACTACGTACTAAAAATGAAATTTATTTAAGGTTCTTCGATGAAATTTATCTTAATCTCATGTTTCATAATATTCAATCTTTAGTAAGCTAAATTCTTTTTATATGTAGTGCACCTCATGGTGTAGGTTATTTTTGTTAGCAGTTGAATGATTTGGGTGGTTAGGCTGTAAACTGGCCATTAAGGCTACTTTGATAGGATTTAGCCGTTAAAGCTAAGTTAGTTGCTGGCAGTTAATATTTTTCAGAAAATAGCCGTTGGCCAGCAGTGTTAAATGGCCAGATTAGATGAAACTAATAAAAATACTATCCTCCCCTGTATTTCATGAATCAATTGAAAAAATAAATAAATAAGTAAACTCTCTCTTTGGTTTTACACCACCTCGCCTAACTATGGCACGTGCTCTTTTTTTTGTGCATAACATGTTTGGACTTAAAAGGGCTATTGTGCCCTAGTGTGCGCCCACTTAAAAAAGCATTGAATGTGGGTCCAACTCCTTTTCTTTACTTGCTCTTTTATTCTTTCCACATATAAATGAAGGGTCTCTTTGCTTATCCCAAAAAATATGAGTGACCATGAAAATAGTGAAAAAAACGTTCATGATATCCATAGGAACCAAGTGATATTAGCCTAACCATTTCTAACTCTGATATGAGTACTAATTCTTATGATGGTTGATATAGACATTTAAAAAAAAATAAACAAAGCTAAATTCAACTACCTTCTCTTGTGTTTTGTCTCTATTTTGTAGCTTAAACATCTTTGAAGAAACAATGGCTACATGTGAACAAAAAAAGGAAGGTCAGTACAAAATAGGCTGAAAAATGGAAGTATGACAATTGAAAAATATTTTCAATGAGAAATCTCATCTGGATAAATGAACATGACATCCATTGAACCATTGTTTAAAATAATCCAAACTTTCCACATTGTTCAAAAGTTGTTCTTATTAGCTACGCCTCACCATATTCATCAGGAATTGAAATACAATTGAAGAGGAAAAAAGAATAGCTGAGATATGTTACATTTCCAATAGCTCGGCGTTGAAGAATGTTATAGAGTTCTACAGGCTTGCAGTAAAGTGAAAGGCTCTCTTCTGCAGCAATTTCCTCTTCTTCAGACAGATGAACACGAGATTCTACACGGCACATCTGATCTGCACCTCTGGAACAGCTGGGATAGCAATAAAGATTACTAAAAGGCAATAGTGATAAGTCAATAGAACAACAACCAGATAAGAAGGTACACAGTCAAAAATCATGGAGGACTGCAAGATGCAATTTACACTTCTGTCTAAGGCATATAAACCTAGGCACTGGAGGTTCTTCTGCCAATCACTATACTCCCTGAAACAATAACTTACTACACTAGTTTTCCTATATGGGTTAGTGATTGTACGGTGCAAGGAACTATGAAGTCACAGGGTACATTTGGCTATAAGTTCTTGACTTTTACAGCTCATTCAAATTCCGAACAATTTAAAAAAACATCTCTCGGAGTGTATGATGTTTCCAAACAACCAAAGCTACAAACAAATCTTACTTCTTTTACATTTCATTAGAGAAGTTAAAGAAGAAATGACGTAAATAAATAGCACATACGAAGTCTCACGAGCCACGAGAGGTATGCCAGGCATTCTTCACCAGCAATTCCAGTTACAATCTCATAGCCACCATATACTTATCAGGCTTGACGGCCCAACACATGCCCTTTACACATCAGCTACAGAGAACTCTGCAACATTTCATACGAATACAAAGACAGAACCTCAACACTGGTTTAAAATATCACTACGCTATATATAAAACCCCATAGCTGTTTCGCCGTCAATTTCCATAAATTTGAGCTCAGATAAAGAGATGGGAGCTTCCTAAGGATAGCAGAATTAAATTTGGAGAAGCTTAACCAGTATAGAGTGTAGGAGCTTCAATCAAAGTCCGATGGGGAACCCAAATGACAATTAGAAATTACAGACGGGAAAGACCCAGTTCTCAAACAATTTTACAGCCAAAATGGAAATTACAGACGGAAAATTAAGCTGAATATGGAAATGGAGGCGCATAAATGGGTAGAACAAGTGGAAAATTTCGAAGTTTAACATCGATCAGGCTCCGTTGATAATAACATCTTAATTCTTACCTACACTAGCTCAGAGTTGTCGATGTTCTTCTTTTGTCGGTTCAAGCCGAGAGTGAGAGATTTGAGGATAAAATAGCGAAGACATATAAAAGATGATTTACAATTTACAAAGAAAAATAAAGTTAAATTAAATTAAAGACACTTACAGTATCGGGCAGCCGGTCAGGGCAAGGCCAAAGGTTGCTTTGCCCTTTATTTTACTTTTAATTGCAAAACGGCCCTCGTAATTCTCATTACACGCCAAACTACCCCAGTTCTTTTTCCAATTTTAAAAATGTTGATTAAATTACATTTTTAACCCCTATGCTACACCCTTAAATTAACAAACTTATTGCGGATTTATTATTTGATTAAAGTTTATCAAACATCTCTATTGTCATGTAAATGAGACATAATGTTGTACTAAAAATAATAATAGTAATTTTATCAAAAAATAAATAAATAATAATAATCATAATAGTAAAGAAGTCAATGAGAAATAACATGCCAAATTATTTGAGGTTATACTTGAGAGTGAGTCTCAAAAATTCAATTAACAAACATTAACTTTAGCTATTTTATAATTCCTGTAAAAATAAATGCATAATTAAAAATATTCAAAGGAATTTTTTGCTTTTTAACCAACACCATATTTGAAAAAAAAAATATATAAAAAAAAATTTAACAATGCGGTGTTTAAAATTCAAATACAACATTTTCAATAATATAATATTATAAATATATGGGTTCAAACTTCCGAACTATATGAAAAATTGTATTAATTTTTTTTATTAAAAATAATCTTAAAAAATAAATTTATAGAGATAACCCATCACTACTACTTTTTTTAGTACAATATGTACTGTGAGTTGGGGATCGAACATACTAATTGTCGATATATGTCAATTATTGTTGAATTATGTTAGTTTTTATTTTTTTCACCACCACTGTTACTTCATCCCATTAATCATGTTAATTAATAATATTAAAGGGTCGAAAAATTGCATGATATAATTTTAAATGTAATACGGCAATAAAGGTTTTTTTTTTCTAAGGAGATGGCAATGAAGGCTTACATGTTCTATATATCTATCAATATTGGAAATAACCAAATAAATAACTATAATGTACTATAGATCTCAAGCATTTTCTTACATATTTATATTAATTATTAATTATATTTGCTAATGGATGCAAGTAATCTATGCAATATTTACCCCTTTTATTTTTTAGAAATTATACAATTTATTAGAAAAAGCTTACATGTTCTTTTAAAATATTCCGTCTTAACATAATATGGTTATAAATGCTAGAATAAAAAGAGAATTTAGATGAAAACCATCCCCGTATCTAGATGAACCCACTTAACAATTTCGATAGGATTTCAATGCTAAATCGTTAACTTCCAACTCAATAAATAAATAAAATATTGACTGATATATGAAAGATAGGCATAAAAATATAAAAACAAAATTTATAAATATTAATAAACAACCTGGCTACCCAAAAAAATACCCACCATTTATATTTACTAATTTTATTCACGTTTTTTTCGACAATGGTAAATATAAAGTTATTCCTGTTACTTCATTCTACATGCATTCCATCCTCGATCTTTTAAATTTTTCAAATAGAACATTTATTACAAATTCTCATTTAAGTTTATTCAAAATTGTCAAAAAAAAAAAAAAAAGTGATAAACCAAATAAATTATTATTTTATTAACATATTTATAAACATTTTATTTTTAGTGTTACTTGACGCACCAAATTTAATCCACCTATTAAGAAAATTCGATCCATAAATTAAAAAAAAAATTCAATGATATACTAGGTGTGTTCAAATACTTTAACAAAACAAATTTAGTGATACATTAGCTTTATGTCAACCGTTTCTATCTTGAGATATTAAGCGTCTTAAATACATAGATTATAAATTTGATAATTTTAAAAAGTAAGGATCAAATTGAGAAAAACCATTAAAGATTATGGACTATATGATATGTTCAGTATTTTAAATAACACAACGATGTGTATCTATACCATGATTGGTATAAGCTCTTATAATGGACCGAACCTTTAAAATTAGTGGCCCAAACCCACTTGGTATTCTATCTACTCGACTCTTTTAATGTGAGGGTTGTCTTAGACTTTATAATCTAGATCCTTTATTTTAAAAATTTCATAGGTGGATATTTGAATTTCTTACTTTTTGATTGAATAATTTACGTTTTAATCAATTGAGCTACGTTTAAATTAAAAGTTAATCAACAAACTATCGTCAAAAAACCGTGCATTTGACTCATAACCGACCTCCTTTACATGGCAATATAATAAATTTATTTCCCAAAACTCACTTATATTCGAAGAAGAACAGTAAAAATTTGCTCGACGTCTATAATTGTCAGGTTGAAAACGAGATTTAAAATGTAACTTTGGCAATATTAGCTGTAAAGACATTTCGCTAATTCGGTAACTACCAAATTTGCGGCTCAACATTAATTTTACAACCATATATTTTTCTCCATTAACTATATTGTTTTATACTATGATCCAATATTATAATATATATACATATTTTTTTATTTTGCAATCTTCACGTCACGCATATATATTTTTTTTTATGTGTAAATAATCAACTTGTTTTAACAAATCTTAAAAATGGGTAATGATATCACAATATGGAAGATTTTTCAAAAAGAGAAAAAACGATAACCTCTAACTGTACTTTATTTATATATCAAATAGATCATTTAAAAAAAAGTCATTTAAAAGAATATATATTTTATTTAAAGTTTTTATTTTTTATTAGTTTCATGTACTTTTAAAATATCAATTTTAGTCCTTATATTTTCAGTTTTTGTTTATTTTGGTACCTATATTTTCAAAACATTCATTTTTGTCTCTATATTTTTATAAAAGGATTGTTTTTGTCCCTTAACTTTGTTTAATCATAATTTCAACATGACTCTATAACCAATATATTTATTAAAATATAGTCATTATTTTGTATTAAAGAATTTTATTGTGTATAAAAATTGTGTTAAAATTTTGTAAATGAGGATTAGAATGGTCACTTCAAAATTACAAGGATCAAAATGGACATTTTGTCCATTTTATACGTTTTGAAAGTATAGAGAATAAAATGATTTAAATGTATAAATACCAAAATGAACTAAAGATAAAATTATAATGAACAAAATAGAAGGTAAAATTTAATTATTTTTTTATATTTACTAAAAGAATAGAAACTAGTTTTGCACTTAATCATCATTAGTTTGTTTAATTTGACCAAACCCAATATCATCGTTTATATATAAATATATCTTAATATTTAATTTGTCTCCTAACCTATTAAATTTAAATGTAGAAGTCAGGACTTAGATCACTTATCCAATGTGAAGTTTTTTTTTTTTTTTTTTTTGACAATGATCTAATGTGAAGTAGATTTAAGTTTAATCCCGATATCAGTATTATGTGATTAAATCACTAATCATGAAATTAAGTTAACTAGTGTAGATTTATTCAATCACCTTATTTATTTACAATTTAATTTTTATATATTGCATTATCTATTTTCTATGACTTCAAATAAATGAAGGACAACTATTTAAAAATACATATAATTGTAACTTTTTGGCTTAAGATAAATCTCTTTTATCTTATCCCAACATTTTCAAACATTTTTGTTATAGTATTTGAATTCTGTATAAAAAAAGATATTTTAATTATTGCTTTTAGTACTGTAACTTCCATAAAAACCTCATATGATATAGATATGTCTCAAGAAATATGAAAGTTTTAGGTATCTGAAATTTAAATTCTAGAGAGAACGGATTATTTCAAATGAGGTATTTTTGGGATAAGATTAATAATATCCACAGAGATGATAGAGAGAAGAAAATAAAATAAAAATCAGATATAAATTTGGAAAAGAAAATTAATGGATTCAAAGATATTAGACGTAAATATCACCTTTCAAAAATGGAAAAGTTGAACTTTGACCAAAAAAAAAAAAGATAGAAATTTTTTTTTCTCACTTTCTCATTGGTTATTTCCCGAGAAAATCCAGGAGAATAGAAATAATTTCTTGATTAATATTTTAAGTAAAAAGAAAAAAAGACAACGAAAGAACGCGCAGGGATGTTCAAAATAAGCAATAATCCACTACGGGACTCCCCACGGGAACTAATATACTACGAAGACGTGGAGAGACATAATTGGCTGATACAACAAATCGACTTTTTACGACGAATCTAACGGCTGATGATTCTCAGGAAACGGGACGTCGTTGCAGGGGAATATTTGAGGTAGGGCAATAGTGTAATTTCGATGAGAGAGAAGGGTGGAATGGTAATATCACACGTGCCAGTGTAGTAATGGAAACCGAGGGCCTATTTATACGCGAAGACGAGCAAAATTTATCTTACAAAAAAAAAGAAAAAAAAGAGAATAGAGAGAGAAAGTAGAGAGATAGATAGAGAGAGAAAGGGGGGAGAGAGAGAGAGATTTGGTTCATTGATCGATGAGCAAATTGCTTCCAATTCAAATTCTCTCTCTCTTTCTCGCTGCTGTTTTTAATGAGAAAGAGAGGAGGGGAAATTATTAATAATCCGAAGATTTTCGGATTATAAAAAAAAATAAAGAGAGGGGAAAAGAAAACGAAAACAAAAAAAAAACCAGTAGGGTTTAATTTTTGTTTGTTTCTCGGGAAAATGGTGAGGGAATCGCCGAGAAAATGTTCGCATTGTGGATTGAACGGCCACAATTCGCGGACGTGTAGCAATTTTGCGAAGGGTAACAATTATTGCGTGAAGTTGTTCGGAGTGAATTTGATGGAAAATAATGACGAATCCATTCGGAAGAGTCTGAGCATGGGGAATTTGATCCACGCATGCAATAACGGCGTCGATCATAATAACGCCGCTGCCGCCGGCGCCGGGGCCAATAATGCCGGCGCCGGAGACGACGGTGGGTATCTTTCCGATGGGCTCATTCATAACAAGAAGCGCAAAGCCGCTCACGAGAGGAAGAAAGGTAAATGGTTGAATTATTTTGTTTTATTTTTATTTTTTGTTCCGATTGCATTTGAAAATTTTAGTTTATTTATGAGTGTTCTTATATTTTTGTTTTTCGTTGCAGAGATGCATTAATTGTGGAATTATATATATCTAAATCAATTGAGATTATTTATTTATTGAGAGGAAAATGATTAATATAGATTTTTGTATTTACAATGCATATTTATTCTTTTGTATCTTAGGAAGAGTGAATTGTTTTGTCAATAGTAATTGAAAACAACGTTACTTAACTGGTTGTAGTTGCAATCTTAGAGCTTATTTGATATGGGTCTGTTTGGTATCGTTGTCGTTTCTTATTTTATTATTTTTAATTTTATTGAAAAATCTAAGTATTCAACAACTATTTTACATTTTGTTTCAAAATTTTGGAAACGATAAAAACAAGTTTCTTGTTTTTTTTTTTCTCGTTTCCAATTTTATCTGGAAAAAAATTTGGAAACGATAAAAAGTTTGCTTCGTCATTCTCGAATCTATGTTGGGGTGATGCAATTATATTTTTCTTCACTAAAAAATAAGGAAACAAAAATAACAAATGGTAACATTATTGAATGAACCATAATATTTCTATTTCTTGGTCTTGTTTCCAGATTTTAGAAACATGAGCATTTGGTAATTGTTTTTACATTTCTTGTTTTATTTTTTAAAATCTCGAAACGAGAAACATAAAAAGTTTATTGCGCGAGAATTTGATTAGATGAGTTGTGAAATGATGATATGCAGGAAAGCCATGGAGTGAGGAGGAGCATAGAACATTTTTGGCTGGTTTGAAGAAGCTGGGGAAAGGGGATTGGAGAGGGATTTCAAAGAACTTTGTGACAACAAGAACACCAACCCAAGTAGCCAGCCATGCCCAAAAGTACTTTTTGAGGAAGATGAATGCAAATGACAAGAAGAAACGCAGAGCCAGTCTTTTTGACATGCCCGAAATCACCAAAGTACGTAGTAATCAGACTGTGTTTGGAAATAACCAAAATCACTTTTGTCATTGTCAAAATTACTCTCTTTCCATTAATCACGTCTGCCAAATTTAAAAAATAATTTTAAGAAAGTTTAATTAAAAAACTTTAAATCGATGATTTTGAAAAATCAATTACTCTCAAACACACTCTTACTCTTTATCTTTCAGTTTTAGTGCTTTTTTCAGAAACCATTCCGAAAAGAAGCGGAAATTAACTGGTGTTATTGTGATTGGTTTTACAATATATAGAACAATATTGTTGTTCCTCAAGATTGCAATAAGGCTTCATCGTCAATGAGTAGCGGTGAATCCTCTCAAATTCTACTGCCAAAGATCAGCTCTGAAAATCAACAACAGGTGAATTTTTTTTTCTTTTTTGAACCTTTTTCTTTCTAATTAAATTACATTACTGTGTATGAATAATAATATAATATTTTGGGATGAGCAGGTGAATAATTTACCAACACAACTCATCAATCGATTCCCTCATCTTTGTTTGGATTCTCCTCATTTTGTTCCTCCAGCAGCAGCCTCTGGTGTTGCAAATTTGCATGGGATTCCATACGTGGTAACAACACTAACACAACCCCTTTTTTAACTTTTTACAGTTTAATAATTACTGCACCTTTCACAGAATCACAGATGTTGTGTATATATATATATATATAATTAAATAATAAATTTGGGTTTTTTTTTTAAATTCCCTATAATAACTAAGTAGAAACTTGTTCCATAATAATTTTTTGGTATTAAAACTTTCACTTTTTCAATCTTAAATTTGTGTATTAATATTTTCCTAAAACACTCTTGTAAAGGATGTTTATGAAGTGATACTAAGGTTTTTTATCTTAAAGTTTTATTTCTAATTCTAACCTTGTCAAAAATATTTTTTGTGGGGTAGAATATGAATGAAAAAAATTAACAATTTAGAAAAAGTAATTTTCTTTTTAGATAGCCCTAGATTTATAGCCTTTTTAATAACTATTTCACTTTTAAAATTAAGCTTATATTAACTTTCACTGATGTATTCTTTTGTTTTGTTAAATAGTTTTTATTAACATTTTCACAATCTAGATCCGAATTTTAAAAACAACAAAGAAAAAAGTTTTCAAAACTCGTATTTTGTTAATGAAATTTTGTTTAGAATTCAAATATGTTTTTTTAGAGTAAAAAACGTGTATTGTACTAATTAAACTATAAAAAATACTAACAAATATGATTTTGAAACCTAACCCTTTTTTAATACAACATGTGAGCTGACCACAACTAACACACCTCAGCAATAATTAACATATATCTCGAATCAAGAGGTTGTGACGCATATTATATTAAAAAAAAAGAATACAACATTTGAGATGAAGTTTCAAGTTCATCCTGACCTTTTAGTCGAAGAATATGTGTCTTAACCAATTAAGCTATGGTGAGGTCGGCAGAAACTCAAACTTAAACTAACTTGACAAGTAGTGCATTCATATGTTTTTGGATATTGATTTGTGTGATGATGATGAAGAATGATGAATGATAGGTTGGAGTTTCCCCAAATGTGCCAATAATCCCATTGGTGAACATAGGAGGTAGTGTGATGACAGTGGGGAAAAGCAGCAGTCCAAATGCAACACTAATTTCCCATCCATCAGGGATTCCTCCATCTCCAAGATCCTCCCCTCACAGAACAACAACAGCAACAAAGTTGGAGTTGCAGTTGCAGTTGCAGCCCTCTGGTTTCGAGGCTTCAGATGCCTTGGAGCTCAAGATTGGACTCCCCCAATCTCCACAGCCCAAAAACCTCTCCTCCCACACTTCTGGAGGAGCCATTAGAGTCATTTGATGATCATATCATCATCAAACACACACACTATACATACATACATTCAATTCAACACTAAAACAAAAACAAAAACAAAATCAAAATCAAATTCAAATGTGTTTAATTTAATTTGTTGATTCTGCTCATGTTAGATCAAGAAAAATGTTGTTTTGTTTTGTTTCAAACAGAAATTAAAGTTTGTCTTTTTCCCTCTCGATATTACTTAGAAGTTATGTGATATTTTGCTTTAATTTGTAACCATATTACATGTATTATCCGATATAATTGAATTGTTTTCGTTCATGTTTGTTTTGTATCCTGTATGGTGCAAACATGGATCGTGCTTCAAAGTTATAATTAACCATTCAAATATCTGTGACTTGTCTCACAGGACAACTGCTTAAACCTTATGACATTTGGTGTTGAGAAATTCATAGGAATTAATTCTTAACGTAGGTGAGCCATAATGGAGTTTGAACTCATTCCTTTCAATTTACTCTAATCTTTTTGGACCAATGAATCATCCATGATAGTTTAAAAGTGAGAAATTTCACTCTATACACCATAGTTTTAATATGTATATTGGTCCAAGTAAATAGACCAATATACATCTCCATTATTTAGTTAGACAAATATTTGAATTCACACCTATTAGATTAGGTAAATGTCACGAATTTATTTCTATAAAGTGCCTCTATAAAGTGCCTCAACCACAGTTAGTCGTAAAGGCTACACCAACTCAAACATCATATCATCATATCTTAAGTCTTTTAAGAACCGACGTATTTAAAACGAGGTTAATCATCCTCTAACTAAGTGTTCTCGAGTTGCATAACTATATCGTCTTAAACATTCACCCAAACTATACCGACACATAGGAGCATTCTCTCGCTCATTTTGTCTAGACGATTATTAACTACTATTGATGCGTCTTTGCAACTAAACCCTTAATATATATTTAGGATCGAATCATTTAGACATCCACTCCTCAGAAACATTATATATTTAGTATAAAGCCTTTGAAGCCATTTGAGATAAAAATATATATATATATATAATGACCATCAACACAAAATAGAATGACACCACAAAGCTGAGCATTGTTAAGCTCCACTATTTTCTGTCTAAAGTCATACAAATATTAATGAGGCAAATAACCTGACAGTGGATTGAACTATACCTATAAATTAAAAGGTCCCCACAGCAGCTTAAAACAAGTATTGGAAAAAAGATGAAAGAATACCACTGCTTTGATAATACAGAAAGCCATTTTGTGACAATTAAAGGTCTTCATGGGATTCGGAAACTTCATAGAGAAAGAGATTCAAACGCACTTGATATTATGCGCACCGTGCATACTTGGAATATCGGTAGAAGCGACTAAGAGGAGCAGCATCCACCCTTCTGGTTAACGGGTTGCCCTTGTAGCTGCACTGTCGGAGGCCTCGCATTGTTTGCTGGCTGACTTGCCATCCTGTAAGAAGATGTAGGGAAAGAAAATTGGTAATTGTTCATCAAGTGGTCTATGAAGTTAAAATATCTGGTTTACTTTGTGCCTTCGACGTTACTAGCATTTTTCACACAAGCACATTCTGAGAGAGTGTGGGAGATACCTGTTCTTAATGTCGGCAGTCATGGCCATGAATGCCTGCTCGACATTGGTTGCATCTTTTGCACTCGTCTCCATAAATGGAATCCCAACCTCATCAGCAAATGCCTTTGGAAACGCAGTCGTTAATGAAATTTTTACTCATGCCTCCGAGGCTTTCAACAATTCCAGTCAACAAATATAAACTGAAAGAAAATATCACTTTTACCTTTGCTGATTCATATGACACTACTTTATTAGGGAGGTCACACTTATTGCCAACTAGAAGCTTGTTTACATTTTCGCTTGCATAACGGTCAATTTCGTTTAACCATTGCTTAACATTCTCAAAACTCTCCTGGTCTGTTACATCATAAACAATCTGAACCAACAGGATAAACAAACTCAGAGTTCTGTGACTAGAGAAAACTTGTATGCTGGAAGTTACAATACATAAAACTTACTATTATGCCATGTGCTCCACGGTAGTAGCTACTAGTGATGGTCCTAAAACGCTCCTGTCCTGCAGTGTCCCACTGAATACTACAGGAATCAGAGAAGAAAACTTACAGATTCATTATTTTTATTGATAAGGAGAGAGAGACTCACAATTTGAAGTTTAATTGTCTTTCCATCTTGCTCGACAGTGCGTATTTTCTAGAACATCAAAATCTTTAAGTGATCAGTTCACATGTATATAATTAAAAATAGAACCGGGATAAACTTCAAGGATCATAAAAGCTTACAAAATCAACTCCAATGGTGCTAATATAACTATCCAGGTATGAGTCATCCTGTATATAAGATACAAAAGAAACTAATTAGTCATCCTGTTTATGTTTATTGATGAATCTACAAGAAAATCAACCGTTCAAACAAGAAAAAAGGATTGGCACAGAGGCAGTTTAATAGCTGCCAAGATGAAGACGCACAAGAAAGCAATGTCTTCAGAACCATGAGAGTGTAAGTGAGGAATAGATAATGAAAAAGATGGATAACATGCCACTGATGCCACCGGCCCACAGATATGATAACATTTCTAAGGACTAAGATGCTCTCAAATTCAAGATCTTTGACTTCAATAACTTCCAGCATCTACATCCCAGTTCTCCATCTTTTATTTGAAAAGAACTTCTGGAGCTTCTTAATTCAAGCAAATGTTTCAATTATTATGGAAATAAACGCTAAAGTAAATACTAGGGTTAGAAAGTTGTCCCATGAAATTAGTTAAAGGTGCGTGCAAGCTGGCCTGGACGCTCATGGATATCAAATTAAAAAGGATGCACATGATTCATTTTCTTTGCATCCCTTTGAAGCTATAGGGATGAATTGATATATAACGAGCACTATGAGTCTAGATTCACTAATCCACAGTATAAGAATCTGAATGTAATAGGAGATAGACTATCTCAAACCCTTGAGATCAATGAAAGTGAAAGAGAGCATATATAGCATATAACCTATGAGTAACAAATGAAGAACGAAAAGTGATATGGTCATGAAACTTACAGCAAATCTCAATAGAAGACATGATTTGCCAACTCCAGAGTCTCCAATAAGCAAGAGCTTGAACAAGTAGTCACTATCAGAGAAAACCAAATTAAAAGTTTAAAATGGAGATGTTACGAACTCAACTACTCGAAATCTCCCAAAGAAATGCTAAATCAGAAACGCTGATCGGCAAATACTTGTAAGATTCTTCGAGGGATCTGTTTTGCACATTCTTAGCCAGCCAATTACACTAATAATCATTTGCTTGAATAAAAAACGATAAATACACACCCACAGGCGCAGAACCATGAGGTGATTATTTAAATCATAATGTTACGAATCCTTCAACTTGAGAAACCAAAAATCAAAGCAAGTGGGTGGTTCAGCCAAGTTAATCATGTCAATGGGAAACCAGTAGGAAGTAGAATAATTTTAATTTTATATATATAAATAGGGAGAAACAATGCCTTCGCATCTGAGAAAACAAAAATCATATTAATAGACAAAAAAATGTCTAATCCATATAAAATTCACGAAATGTTTGTCGACCACTTCAAATAGGAAAAGCAAATGGATGAAGACAAGGAAACTTATAAAGGAGTTGCTTCCATTTTCTCAACAAAATAACTAAAAAAAACACAAACCAACCTCGTTCAACGCTTCGAATTCTGCTTTATTTAACTGAACAAAAGCTTTGAATCAGTAGTGTCAATCAACCCAAAAACAAAAACAATCGAATTTCAACCACCCCATTACAAAATTTATTCCTCGTAAAGAAACATGCGAATCACAGATCCAAAGAACCGCAAAATTGACAAAAATAGGTCTTCCCAGAACAGATATAAGAACCAGCAAACATTAAACAAGAAAAAAAAGGAAAACTGAAACCAAGTTATTGAAACTACCCCCATATGATTTCTCGGCAAACAAACAAAAAACAAAAAATTGTTCAGATACAGGAATTACTTGAAAAAGAATCGATCAATAAAGCGACTTACTACTCAGGATTCATGATTGTTGGGCGAATGGTGATCTAGGAGGGAAATTTCAACCGGAGTTGAACCGGTCCAGGGAAATTCAGACCGGTCTGCGATCCACAGGGCAGAGATGAGAGATTTGAAGAGGGAGAGAGTGATAAAAGTTGAAGACAAAGCGAGAAGGTGAAATAAAGATTTGTAGAACTGGAGAGAGAGAGAGAGAGAGAGAGAGAGAAGAAAAGTTTGCAAATCACGTTTTAGCCACCGAACTTATTGAAATTGCATATTTCTCCTTAAACTCCGAATATTCGCAGTACAACCCCCTTCTTAGTGGGAGATGGAATGCACTACGCCTGAAAACAAATTATATCATGAATGAGTGAAATTTAAAAATAAAAATAAAAATAAAAAGTTTATGCGGGCCGGGCCCTAATCTAAATGGGCCAAGTGGACCCTGGCCCAACAAAATAAGCCCACAAACATCTGACTCAGAGGATCTGACAATTTTTTTGGGAAAAATTAGTTGGATGAGTTGCAGCTTGACATTGGTATGGAGTTGATGTTATTTTTATAAATATATGTTTTAATAGCAATTTATTGTATTAGAAAATAGATGCCACTAGCACTATATGTGAGGGAGATATCTATCTCAATTAGGCTCAAAAGTCAAGGAGGAAAATTAAAATCAGCACCTTTTAGGGAGATTTTAATTCAGAGATTTTTGTTTCTGATTGCAACGTATCAAGCCAACTTCCTCTAAGAAACGGGAATCTTTGAAGTAATGCAATCAGAAATGGAAATCTCTGAATTAAAATCTCTGGGAAAAGGTGCAGGCATTGATATGGAATTTTTTTTAAAAAAAAAAAGACACTCAAAAAATTGACCCAATTAATAGTCTTGGAACACATGGAATTGATCAATCTCATAATTTGGAATTGATCAATCTCATAATTTGTAATCGAAATTGGCCCTTTATGAGCGGAGGTTGGCTTAATTGGTATCAAAGGGCCAAAAATAAATATTATAAATATATTTTTAATATTCATGAATCTCACATCATTTTTAATATGATGCTGACGTAGCATATAGAAAGTATAGAAATATTTTCATATTGATAAAATTATAACTTACCCAGCATAGCACGGCAATAAATGCATATAACTTATTCACAGGACGTGGCTTGTAGCTCAACTATATTATGTTGTATAAGTTGGCTTAAGTAGTTCGTAGTCTATTCACTGTGATCGAGCATGAAGCTCAATAAAAGTCGTGTCATATCATATCATAAATGAGCTAGCCTTGTAGCAACCATTTTTATATGGTGCAGCACTGATACAAACCATTTCATTCAATAAATGAAATATATACAAATATAAAATGACATCTTAAAAGGTCCTAACCTCCATGTGTTAGAAGAGGCAGAGAATCAATATCAATACCAATACAAACTACAACAATTTAAACAACCGTATATAAATTTTGTCAACACAGACTCGGATCACATTGATTGATTTTTTTTTTTAATATGATTCTTCATTGAGTCAACGGCAACACACTGAAAACAAGATACTATACAATAACCATGAGCGAAGTATACAAGTAATGTTCATCACCTTCGAAAAGCATTGGCTTCAATTTCAGATTTACCCTGTGAATAGTACGTCCTACGGCGAATACTCTCCTCGATTGTTGAGCTTCCTCCCTTCTCAGCACCATACATTCGTTTCTGAGCAGCATCCAAGAAATTTTTGCCTGATGGCTCTGCAGCTTGTTTGGCTTCTAGGGCATCATCCTCAGCTGCCTTCTTCAAACGCCTCCATCTTTGCTCATCGTGTAACTCAGCATCCTGCTGCATCTCCCGCAGCCTAGCTGCACGCTCTTCTTCTGAAAGCTTATTAATGGTCCTACGATGCTTATGGCGTGACTCGTGAGGAGTTTCAGAAGAATTAGATTCATAAGATCTCAATTCCCCTACTCTTCTGCTGTTCTTTTCACTGCTAGCATAAGAATCTCTCTCTCTCTTTGATCTGTCATGATGTCTCTCTGCAGAACCATGAGTACTGGTTTTGGACGTCTTTCGATCTGACTGATCAGTCGAATGTGCAGCATATTTCGAGCCTCTGTCATGAACCCTCTCATTCTTAAAATCAGTTTTGCTCCTTCTATCTTCTGAATAAAAATGATCGTGTTTTGAACTTTTGTCACGATCATGTCTCCTCTGCCTCTCAGGGCTGGCGTTTTCAGAATCATAATCTCTTTCGGAAGAAAAATCTTTATGACGTTTGGATTTACTATGGTTGTGCTTCTTTCGTTTTCTTTTGTCATCAGGATTCTTTTCCTTGTGTTTTTCCACTTTAACCTACATATATATTAAATGGAATCCTCAGGTCCAAACTTAAAGTCAAATAAGGGAAAGAGCTTGCAGCATTCAACGATATCAGTTGAAAGAGATATTCTATCACAAGAACCGTAATGATCATATGGAACATTCTAAATTCTTTTAACAAAAGCTTCCACTTTCTAGACTATTGACCGGTCATGACGATATATAGAAAGAAATTTCAGATCATAGATTCATCTTTAGCTCCTATCCTAAGGGTCAGACATGCAGAGATATCCATTACATCAACTCAAAAGGATAACTTAGAATTAAGATAAGCCACCAACTTTCTCTACCACATAGTAGTGTCTATAGAAAAGTTCAGAGAATTTCCCAGACAAATACTGAATGAAAGGATATTTCCATATAATTTCCATGGCCCCTGTTATAACAATAAAAGTCCTAGAACTTAATAGCGTTTAAAGCAACATATGGAGAAGATAAAACAGTAGGAGAAAAAACATGTGAACTTACAGTTTTGCGAATCATAGCCATCTGAATGGGGTTATTCTTTACACGTGCAAGAGCTTCTTGCTCACGCTGCCGAATGATAAGCAAAGGATCAGAATGGAGCTTCCTCCATGAATCATTGGCAGAATGAGGCTTGTTCTCAAACAAAGCTCCGGGAGCAGCAGCTTCCTGCAGAAACAACACAAAAGTGTGTCAAGGTCAAACCTGCAGTGTGAAGAGATAGCAAGAGCACACAAGTTAACAAAACAAAGCCAACAAGAGAGAAAATACCTTGGAGCTAGATGGTTCAGTGGTGGCCACAATAGCAGATGTACTTGGCAGGGTTTCGAGACTCTTAAATCCATCAGAACTACTACCTTTCCCGACTGCCAAACCCGACTCATAAAGAAAATCCAATCTCTCTTGCTTCCTAGAACACCATAATCGACGAAAAAATCGAATATTAGTAAAACCAGTTGCACAAATTAAACCCTAATCCATCGCTGCACAATAACTCTAACCTAGGGCACACCTTCAATTCAATCTTCATCCATTCAGCAATCAAATTTGAAACTCATAGACTAGCAATTAAATATACAATCTGCAAACTAAAGGATAGAGGACAGAGAAGAAAGAAAAAAGAAAAACATACGGAACAAGTCCGGCCTGTTCTTGAAGAAGACGAAACTCTTGGCGCTCTTTCTCCTCCTGGATCTGCTTTCGAAGCTCGTCCAACTTCTTCTGCTCAGCCTCGTGCTTTTGCTCCGCCTTCCACACGTTTTCTATGTTCCGGAGACTACCGGTGTGCCATCCTTTCTTGTTCAGAAACTTCAACGCCATGTCTCTAACCTTCCTCCAAAATTTTCCACAACCGGCACAATGGTTTTGTTAAGAAGAAATCAAAGTTTCGGAATAGGAATCGGATCGTTGCCGCCACCGCCTATGCGAGCCCGCAAAATTTTTGGCTCACCAATAATCTGATTGGGGCCCAAAATGATTTAGGAAAAAGAATTTAAATTACATATATAATATATATTTATATACAGAAAATTGTGTATGGACATAACATAAGCTATGACTACCACAGCAGGGTAGTCATAACACTCCAATTAAAGACACCCATGCAAGATGTATTATGCTCCGAGGAAAATACCAGTAAGGGGAATCAAAAGCCATCAAGCTATTGAAAGAACTCAAATAATAAAATCAAAGACATTGTGATCCCAAAAATCAAACTATAAAACATTTCCTTGAATTGCAACATATAAAACCTCATATTATCATAAATGATGCAAAAAACAGACTCAATAATCAAAAGCATAAGCATAAACATAAAGACACCAACTCGTTCAAATAATGAAACCATATGTACATGACATAAGCTATGACTACCTGCATGATAATCACAACAATTGTATCAAAACCAGCACAAATAAGTTTATCAACTCTCTATCAATGCTTTATGAACATATAAACAACTCAAGTTCTCATAACTTGTGAATATAAATAACTAAACTTACAAAATGAACACAAAGACACCAACATGCAAAAATTTAGAAATTCAAAACATGAAAAATAGACAATAGCACAGCCGTAGCATAAGTACATGCACAATTTTTCTGGACTAATTTCCCTCTAAGAGCCTTAAAAGCCATAAATTTCTAGCCTCATCCCTGTCTTTTCCATAATCCTACTGATATCATATCAAGGGGTGAAATGTAGATTTTTAGGTTGTACACTTTGACTACATAAGATAAAGAAGAACATTAAAAAAAACAAAAACATAACAATTCAGTTCAGCTAATAAAAATTTAGCTAAACGGTTAAAAATTTACTTAATTGTTACTAATTAATATCAACTAAATGGTTAAGATAAATTATTTGGATAGGAAATTGTTAAGATAAATTCATTGTTATTAAATATCATAAAGGGGCATAGGACTCAATTTACTCCATAGCTGGAATAAAAAAGAACTAGAACACAACAAACTCATAATCTAGTTCAACCAAGCCCCACAATTCAGTTTCCAAAATTACAACAATCTGGATCATCTCTACACCACCCAAAACATTTTATTCTTGTTTGCAAAATGTTAGTAATTTCCAACTCAAACAGAAGCCATCAGAAATGAATCCCTCTTTCATTCCTCGAAAGCAAGACTAGATCAGAGACACAGAGATAACAAAAGAATCTCAAATCTTATGTCCATGTATCGCTCTACCTCGAAATGTATGTTATTGATTTCTAACAGTCACTATCCAATCGATCTGGACTCTTTGACTCAGCAGATCGTATCCAAACCCCACGCCTCTGCCTCTCCGTAATATCACTCCCAATTTTTTTTAATTAAAAAAGAGTAAAATGGATGTCCAAATCTGTGTGCTGCACTTTGTAAAACAACTAAATGAAAACAGAGCATGAAATGCAACTCGCGTACCGAAAACGGCAACGGTGAATTCACGAACGAAGTGACCTTCTTATAGATCTGAACCGAAAACGGCAAACTCACGAACGAAGAGACCCACGGCGTACTCACGGCGACTGGACAGCGGCGATGGACTACGGCGACTGCAACTTGCGACTGGGCGACGGCGGCTGGCTTCGAGGGAGAGGGAGGAGATAAATTTTGCCCTAATTTTAGATGACTTTCAGAGAAGTCTTCGGCACGATTTTTAAATATTATATATTAATGTCTAAACTGATAATAAATTATTATCGTAATTTTGTATTAATTGTTGAACATAAGTATGATAACTCAAAAAAAAAATTAACATCTAACCTATTGTATAGCTTCAAATAAATTTGTAAAAATCTAAAAAAAAAAGCTTCAAATAAATGTATAGAGGTATATTTACTCATCAAGGAAATGAACAAACATTGTACTAAAAAAACAAACAAACATGTTTATATTAGTTTTTATTAAACAAATTTATAAATAAACAATCTTAAATCATTTTTTATGTGCATTTTAAGGCTAAAAAATAACATTTGAAATTGTGTGAATTAAAAGGAATGATGAAAGTTTATCAACCATAATAAGGTTTAGTTTTAAAAATACAATTTTATATAAGTAAATTTTAAATGCAGATATTTTAAAATTTTATACGAAAACTAGGCTTTTGTTCCCTAAGGTGCTTCTTGAGATTTAAATTTAATTTCAATATGATTCTTGAGTTTAAAAAATGAGATGGTTGGTTCTTAAATTTTAGTTTTTAATTGGCCCGTTAGTTTTGAATTTGGTTCCTAACAAAACCATAATGTGTGACAGTTAATAGTTTGATTACTACTTCTAAGGGGTAGTTTAGTTGGCAAGGGATTGAGACTTCTTGATCGTACTGATTTGGAAGTCTCAAGTTCGGATGTTTTAGTGAGCTTAATACCAAAACTTTTGATATTTCTTTGATCTGAGCTTTGGGGCGGACGCAGATACCTTTGATATAGAGGAGCAAAAATTCGACTCCCAATTATCAAAAAGTTAATTGCTAAGAAACTTGAATCACATTGTAAATTATAATGTAGTTCATTTGAATGTTAAGATGGAGATGATAAAAAGGAAGGGTTGTGGTACTATCAAGATGACATAATAAATGTAGGCAAAAAGGTCAATTCTAATTATACTTTTGAAACTAAATATGCCACTTTTTTAAATCTATAAGACTAATTTGAAACAAAATTTAAATTTGAAAGACAAAAATAGTTTTTTTAATTTTAAGGACCAAATACAAACAAAGTATGAGATAAAAAGTCTATTTTATTATTTTATTTTGATTTGTAAATTACATTGTTCTGACAATCAATAAATTTTGCCGTATTACAAAATTATAATGTACTTCCAAAATTCTTTGTAAATCTCTGTGATTTTTTTCAATGAAGTAGTGAATAGTTCCATAGTTAGATTACTTTAATGATCTTTTACTAAATGCAATTTTAATATATATAGGGGAATCTTCTCAGTTTATATATATATATATATATATATATATAGGAGAATCTTCTATAGATTTAATTAATTTCTTATTTTTTGCAAAAATGAAATTAGTCATCAATCTTTTAAGTACTTTATCCACTCAATAATTAAGCTTAAATTAATAATTAATTTATTAAATTATGTCAATTTATTATTTTTCTCATTATTTGTCAAATACATACATCTAAAATAATGGATAGAAAAATTTACAATCTTGATCCAATCACAAAATAAACATCATTTAGAACCTACAATATTTAACATTGAACTAATGGTAGAAAGTCAAATGAGTCTTAATGAAAGAGTCCTCCAAACAAGTCTACCGTATTAATAAAGTCAAATTGATTCAAAATTCTAGATAATTATAACTTTAAATTAGTTATAATATACAATAATGTACTACATGAACAATAACATTAGATTCAAAGATGTATAGACATAGAGAGTGTCAACTCGCGTAACATGAACATCAGTGAGTATTTAATATCTCGAAAATCTAAAAATTCTTCTACAAGATTCATCCGTAGAGATAAGTCAAGACCTAAGATAGGACGGAAAGGTGAGAAGGAATAGGGTCAAATAAATCTCTTGATCTTGAGGATAGAGGATGGATCATCAAGTTGGTTTGAATGGTGAGAGGAGGCTGTGTCCAAAATTGGAATTTCACTCTCAAGTTCTCCTTCTATTGTCAATCCTTCTATTCTTGCTGCAATTGTTTCCCCTCTCATCCCCACATCTATTTCTGCACATCAAAAACCATAGATTCAGAAAAAATAAATTAAAAAAATAATCAAATATATAAATTCAAAATGCTCTAGAATTTTGATCAACATTCTATATTTCTTTTCGTTTTATAATATTACACGTGTTTCAGCAAAAAAAAAAAAAGGTGATGAAATTGAAATTGGGTTGAGAACATAAAATTATAACTTTACTTTTAAAATTTTTTTAAATTATAATTAATTTTTATTTTTTATAAACTCAAAATTCAGCTGAAAGGTTAAAAATAATACTTATAGTATTATTAATTATTATAACATTTGAATTAATGATATATATTTTTCTTTGAATATAGACTCATCCCTACGAAGAGACAAAATTATCAGTATGAATACGTGGATTTGAGTGTAGAAATCATAGGTTTATGTTGATTTTTAAATCCAAAATTTCAATATCACTTCACATGAATTTTTTATTTTTGGTAAAATAATGTTATTATTTATTTCACTGTAGCGTGGTAGATAAATATATAAATTACCTTAAAAAGAAAAATCTCATTCGTCGAACAAAGAAGAGAACTATATAAAAAAAAAATATTGCAATAAAATCATGAAACAAATTAAAATTTAGTTTGGTCCAAATTATATAAATGAAATATGAATAAACCCTTTTTCTTCTTCTCGGAAGAACTGAAAGGGCTGGATTTGTTGGATTAATGGATAATTTTCAGTTACAGAAGAGGGAATTTTCCTTTCACTTTCCAGGAAAATCAATGGCGGGACGGAAAGATTCAAGGAAGCAGAATTCGGAACCTACCTGCGTCATGATCAATTTCTTACCTGGATTGGAGAAGAACCAGAGAACAATGGCGCAGAGAAGCAAAACGAGAGGAATCACATGCACAGCAGTTTCAGCGAACTTGACTCGCGCTTTCTCTCGCTTCACCATCACAGCGACGGGATCGTTCGTCGGCAGCTCATTAGCGCCAAACGACGACGACAATCCCAATGCCTGATCGGGCTTGGAGGACAGCACCAGCGCCGGGGACGACCGCGAGTAGTATTCGTCGGAGAATCGGTTCCAGCTCACCGATCGGTACATTTTTTTTTCCTTTCAAATTCTCTTTCACGACGAGGAGAGAAGGAAATGGAGAGGCCGAGAAGTGAGACTGAACGTGTGTCGATGCGCGAGATATGGTGGAAACGGCAGGGAGAAAACGTAGCCGAAGCAATAAGAATCGGCTTTTGAATTGCAACTAATCTGTTTGATATATGGCCTGACTGAAGGCGAGCACATCATTTGGTAATTAACTTGACTTTTCTTGAGTCTGACTTTGTCTAAATTGCCTTCGTTTACCACTGTTTTTTTTCCTTCCTCCTAAATCGGTTGGTTCGGCTCGATTTTTTCATCGTCAGAAATAAATCTCACTCCGAAACTATTCTTATGAAAACCGAAATGATTGTCCAACAGAAATGGATCAAAATCGATAAAATCTATATGAATTGAACCGGCTTGTGAGAGATCAATCTTTTCGTTCATTTTTTTTTTCCATTTATCATCTCATTTGCTAATTTCTGTATCATGATTCATGTTTCACATCTCGAACAATAATATTTATTTGACATAGAAAAGTCCAAGAAAGTTGAAGAAATCACGTCCATAAATGTGAAAAACACTATTATATTGTATTAATAAAGAGAGCGAACTCTCCAGATAACATGTTGTGAAAACAGAAGCATTCAAAGAAAACATTACAGTGCTTGAAACAATCCCAATAAAAATCTTAGACTCCCCATAAAAATCACTGTTACACTCACAATAAAGGGGGGAAAAAGGATATAACCAATGGAGAGCACAAAAGCTAAAGACAACCACTGTTTTTCTTCTTTCTTTCTTTGTTTTCCCTTTCTAGTTCGATTCCTACCATACGTAGCTTAGTTTTATTGTAATAATTATCACCTTCATAAATCATAATGTTACTCCTGGATCTTGAGTGTGTTGATGAAGCTCTTGCCTTCCCCAAGATCATTGCTGGAGAGAAATTTGAGAAAATCATTGAAGCTGCTCTCTTTATACTTCTTTGGGTTTTGTTGATCCACAAGCTCTTCTGCAGGCTTCATTTTCTCGTCCATTCCCAAGCTGTGCAGACTGGTAATGGAGATTCTTGTGCTTTCAGAATTGACCGTGGCTCTGTGGACAACGCCCTTGTATAGACCATTGCTCAGAACCTCCACATGGTCACCCAAATGGACTTGCAGAGCGCCATCAATGTTTGGAACTAGCTTCCATGTCCCATCAGCCATGTCCATGATTTCAAGGCCCTCGCTGCTTTGAAGAATTGTGGTTATGCAACTGTAGTCTGTATGCGGCGGCAACCCGAGCGCAACCTCCGGCTGTGGACATGGCGGGTAGCAGTTTACTGCCACTACCTGGACTCCTTCAGCCATTTTGCTGCTGAGGTATGTTGGACACAAACCCAAGCTTTCAGTTATGGCTTCCATTACTTCTAGGCCCACTTTTCTCACCTCCCTGGTGTATGTTCCCATCTTTTCCCTGAAGAAAATATGCACCCAGGATCTTCATTTCTTCGAAGTAAAATCTCTGTTGACATGTCGGTCTTTCCATAGCAAAAGATTTCATATTGACGTGAGGTGGGGGAACTGGGAAGTATCTTTTTTTTTAGTGATTTTTGGTGATTCTTTTTAGATCTGTTGATTTCCATCTAACATTTTCAAAACTAAAAATGTCAATATATTTGTGGGTATCCACATCAACTCCTGTTTGCAAAGGAGGAAGTTACCTTCAAATGTGTAACAATTTAGTTTATAAACTTTACGTAACAATTTAGTCCTTATAGTTTAAAATTTATAACAATTTAATCCCTGCTATAGAAAATCTCATTAAAATTACGTGTGGATTTTAATTATATAATGATTTTTTTTGTAATTTATAAACACATTTGATTCTTCGTCAATTTATCGATATATAATAAATCCTATTAAATCTTAACAATATTTTTTACTAAGGACTAAGTCATTACAGATTTTAAACTACAATAACTCAATTGCTATATATTAGAGATTAAATTGTTACTAATGTGAAAGTGTAAAGTCGTTTCAAACTAAAGTTCAGTTGTTACCTTAATGAAGGTACCGGACGAAAAGTGTTTTTTAACCTCTATAAATTGTTATGTTTTGATTGCAGGGTGAGTGCGTTTCAACTCCTATTTTTGTGGTTCATGAATGTCTTTGCGTAGTAAAATCCAAACTTTAGACTAGACTAAACTTTAGCACATATAAAAGTAACATTGTTAGCTGGAATTCTGGTTCAAAGGCGGCAGCATATGCAGAGCGGTGCTCTGTTTTGGCGGTTCAATTGTTTCTTTCTGTTGAATTTGATTGTTCAACCTTCTTGTGTAGTAAATTTTGCATGGTAATCAGGAAAAGAAAAGGAATGAAAATTAGCTTAGAAGTAGGGATAGAGAATTAAAATATAGAAGTTACCTATAACTACGTGGACTGGTGGGCCACGAGTGGATCCAATCTTCCAATGGATGAGCGTAGTGTTTGAGGAAAACTCTCCAAAACTTTATTTTGTCTACTCCATCTTTCAAGCTTGTCCCATACCTGACTGCTCTGCTAACATCATCTGACTTGTACTTCATCTTCTCTTTCAGTGGCAAGTCGAAGAACTCGTAGGCTTGCTCGAGCGCTTCCTCCATCACCCTTTCATTGATTCTATGGTTGATTATCTGAACAAAACAAACTGAAGTTAAAGAGGTAATACAAATCTTTTCAGGATCAGAATGAAGAATAGAAGCATTAAAACTTACCTGAAAGAAGCCTAGACGAATGCAAGCTTCTCTGAGCTCTTCAATGGCTAGTGACCTTTGTGCAGAATCAGTGGATCTTAGAGAGGCCATGTCAATGATGGGAATAATGGCAGTCTCCCGGGACGAACTAGAGCGGTGCGGGGCTGGGATCACATAAGCGTTAGGGACATAGCTTAGGCCTTTCTCTTGTGCACTCTCCCCTGTGGGAAATGAGCCTGAACTCTCGCCTCCCAGCCCCATGTGTTTGAAGACTGGATTTGGAAGGAGGGAGATGAGGCAGAAGAAAGCAGAAGAATTGGTGGTTTGTGATCGATCACAGAGTTGGGTTTATATAGGAACCGCTGTGTCTGTGTTACTCTGAATGAAGACCAAAAAGGATACTCACAGAGAATGGGGTTTTTGAAGGCTTTGAACTAGGATCCAAAACACCACTTTTAGCACAAAGTTCTATCTAAGTTTACAGTTGTTCTAATTTGTCCTCGTTTGATTTTTATTTTATATTTAGGTTAAAAACACTTTTGGACCCGTAATTTATTCATTGAAATTTAATTTTAGTCCTCATATTTTTAAATCGGTGATAATTTAGTCCTTACCATTTAAAATTTATAATAGTTTAGTCCCTATAGTTTAAAAGCTCATCAAAATTGAATGTGGATTTTTATTATGCAATAATGCAGTATTTATAGTTTGTACGCATATTCGGTCTCAGTCTAAGAGCATATTTTTCGCGATAATTTGAAAGTACGTGAACTAAATCTCTGATTTAATAAAAATATTGGGACAAAAAATGCTTTTTAACCTTATATATAATTGGATTCTTACAAAAATTTACGACTCTGCTAAGAAAAGTTTAATAAGTCTTATTTAAATATTAATTTCAGGTTTTTTTCTTTGTTCAACTACGAGTAAAGTTGGAGATTTGAACTATATGTCCAAACTAGGTGAGATATGCTTAGTCCTTAGATTGACAATTTCAATTATATTTTGGAGAAAACTCATTCACTATTTAGTTACTCAATTTTTGAGATTGACTAAAAGATTAGAGAGTCAAATCTCTATCTCTATATGTTAAACAGAAAAAAAAAAGTTCTCGTAGTTAGGCAAGACGAGATTACTTATTTTTCTATGGCTGGGTCTTGTGGTCGAGTACTTGATTTTATGGTTTTTTTTTCATTATAATTAAGAAAACCAATCAACTAAATACCTAAAAAAAAAACCAAAAATCCAAACCACGAAAAAACTTAGAACTACTAAAGAATTATATCAGAAATCTTTGAAAAAACAGTAACTCAACCAATAAACTTCACTATAAATTTGGAATAATTCAAAACATTTAATAAGTTTTTGGTGCAAAAATATATAGGAAAAGACAGTAACATTTACGAGGTGAGCCCAAAATTGTGGGTAAAATTTTGCAGAATATTAATTAAAAAAAGAAGAAGAAGAAATTRTGTCATAAGAAGCAAGTTGAGAGGAAAAGGAGGGAGAGTTTTTGGGATTGAAAATATAAAATCCGCAAAAGAGAAACAGAATTTGGTTGGTTGTGTGTAATTTTAATTTTCTGAACCCCATATTGATACCTCTGTCCAGCTGCGCCGGAAACTACTTTTTCAGTATGTTATTATCAATTTTTTATGCTCCACTAGCTCCATAAAAAAAGGTTTTTTTTTTTAAATTTTAAAATACCTTTTTTTACGAGCAATTATAAAATTTTTCGTCAGGTTCATAGATCCGATAACGATATTGTAGAAATAAGATTAATAATAAAATTTTTTTACTATTTATTTGTTATTATTTTTAATTTTTATAAATTTTTCTAGAAATAACTGTCGCATCCATATTTCTATTATTTCCATAAAATCCACAGGTTTATGTGTGAGTTTTCAAAATCTACCATTTTTAGTGATAAATAACAAAATATTTTTTAAAAATTAGATTGCTTTAAAAAGTTATTTTTAAGAACCGTTTGAGAGATTTTAAGCGGTAAAGTATTTGAGTGATGTTTTAGAAGTCTTTAACTTGGTTCTTACGATTCGAGGCTAGTTTCAATTTGGTCCTTATAGTTTTAAAAGTTTCAGTTTTGTTCTTCGGATTTAGGCTTCGTTTCAACCTTAATAAAAAGCATAAACTTATTGCCATATAAATTGTCAAAGGAAGCAAATTGACATTAAGTTCAAATCTATAGGAACTATAATTATTATTTTGAAATTGTAGGGACTAAATAAAAGTAAGCTCAAATCATAGAGGTCAAATTTGTAATTTTTGAGTTTGTGAATATTAATGATTGATCTATTTGAAAGATATTTGACCGGCCAACCTAAGTATACTTCTCCTTAGAGTTTGGAAGTTTAAATCTTGTCTTTCATTTTATTTTAAAGTGACTTATTTTCACCAATGAAAAGTTTTACTGTTTAGCATTGTAATTTGGTTGAGTTGATCGGTTTCAATCTTAAAGTTTTAATTTCATTAAATTAAATTTAAAATTTAAAAAATCAAACTCCTGTTTTAGAATGAGATTGAAATTTTAATCTTAAACCAAACATTAATAAATTACTTGAAAATTGACCAACAAATCTAACAATACATTCAAACTTAAAAGAACATACTCAAATTCAACTTCAACCACAGTTAAAAGCAATAGTGAAAAATATATTTGGTCACAAATTTTAAACCAAAACTCATCGATTAAGGTATCAATTTCATATTCAAGTTTAAAATTTAATTCAATGAAATTAAATGGACTCACTTAACTTGAAAATGAAAGAGTTAATTATTATAATAGTCTAGCCACTAGATCATTTTACAAGAAAAATAGTAATGGGCTGTTTGATGAATATTTGTTTGTTACTTAATGGAGTATTTTTAAATAATCCAAGCTTTCTCGAATTCTCTTGAATTGGAACTGACGAGCTAACGTACGTAAGAAGAGCGTTGTGGAACTGACGAACTCCGACAACTATAATAAATAAAGCGTCTTACGAAATCATTTATACGTTTTTGGCAAGTTGAACACACTCTTTGACCTGATAAGGAAAGCGTTGCAATAAATGTTGATGAATTTATATCGAGAGATTATATATGATATCGATCAAATTGAAAAAGTATTCGCATGTTTGTTTATGTCAGGTGTCAAAATAAAAAGAGAATAGTGTTCGTATGTATTATCGTTGTACTAGTCTAATATTTAATCAAAATATTGATATTTTTAATAGAAAATAGTAATGTTTTTTTTAGTTCAGTAACACGTGGGTCGAGTTTCAAAATTTTAAAACAATTTTCCGCCCCACTTTTGATGTATTGCAAGTATAATTACTCATTATTTTGTGGATATTTCTATTCTTTCCCTAACATTAAAACTTTTCTTACCAGTAACTTTTTAAAAATAATAAAAATACTTTCAAAATCTAAAATAGATTACTAAAAATCTATGTGACAAGTAACAAAATATTTTTAAAAAATTTGGATTGCTTTAAAAGTTATTTTTTAAGAAACATTATGATTTTTCAACCGCGGTAAATTATTTGAGAGAGGATTATTATTAAAAAATAAGAAGTTTAAACTAAAATATATATTAAATTCACCTCAATTTGTTTTTTTTTATATAACACGTGGGGGTGAGAGATCAAACTCACACCTTCTTGATCGGAGACATATGTCAATTACATGCTCACTTTCGTCCCTAATTTGGTTCTAATTGTTTTAAAGTTTTGTTTTGTTTTTTAATAATAATTTAGGCTCCCTTTCAAACATTAACAAAAAGCACTAACTTATTGCCATATAAATGGAAAATTGGGTAACAACTTAAAAGTTAAAACGGCATAAAAAGAAAAAAAAAACCAAACCAAACCAAAAACCAAAGGAAACAAATTTAAGTTGAAACAAATATGAGAACTAATTTCCAAATTATAGAGATTAAATTCAAACTAATATAATTTTTGAGTTCCTGAATATTAGTGACCGATCATATACTTTTGAGTTTGAAAGTTCAAATGGTCGCTTTCATTTTGCCCAAGTACATCTTTTAAAGTGACTTATTTTTACCATTGAAAATTTTTACTTTTCAATATTTTAATTTGGTTGAGTGGATCTGTTTTAATCTTAAAGTTTTAATTTCATTCCATTAAACTTTAAATTTAGAAAATCAAACTCCTCTTTTGGAACAAAATTGAAATTTTAATCTTAAACCAACCAATAAATTACCTTAAAGTTGATCAACAAATCTAACGATACATCAAAAATTCAAGAACATGCTCAAATTCAACCACAATTAAGCAAAATAGTGAAAACCATTAGTACGTGGTCACAAATTTTGAAATCAACCAAAACCTAATGAAATAACTATCAATTCCACATTTTATTCAAGTTTAAAGTTTAATTCGGTGAAATTAAAATTGACTCACTTAACTTGAAAACGGAAGAGTCGATTAGAATAGAATATTATAGTCACTTGATCATTTTACAAGAAAAATAGTAATGAGTTATTGATAAATATTTGTTTATTTATTTAATGGAGTATTTTTAAATAATCCAAGCCTTTTAGAATTCCCTCGAACTGGAATTGATGACCTGACGTACCTAAGAAGACTATTGTAGAACTAACGAGCTCCGACAACTATAATAAATAAAGTGTCGTAAGAAATCATTCATAATAAATAAAGTGTTGTAAGAAATCATTCATACGTTTCTGTCAAGCGAAACGGACTCTCTGACCTGATAAGGAAAAACGTTGCAATAAATGTTAATGAATTTATATCGAGACATTATATTTGATATCGATCAAATTGGAAAAGTATTCACGTGTCTGTTTATGTCAGGTGTCAAAATAAGAAAAGAATATTACTCGTATGCATTATTGTCGTTTCGCTAGTATAATATTTAATCAAAATGTTTATATTTTTAATTGAAAAAGTAATGTCTTTTTAGTTCAATAGGTTTAAAAATTTTCTCACTTTTACTTCCAGTGAGAAACAAAATCCAAGTGATTTTTTATTTTTTATTTTATTTTATTTTGGTGTGGAAAGGAGCGGAAAAAAATGGTAAACTAAGCACTTTTATGTATTGCAAGTATAATTACTAATTATGTAAGTTCTCTAAAATAAAGTTGAAATTATCAATAAATTTCATTTTAAATGGTAATAATAAAGTTTAGTGCCGTTATAATTAAACAACAATATGTCTTATTCAAATCTTAATATAAACTCTCAAAGACTTTTGTTATAGAAAATAATTCTAAAAATTAGATGCTTTTAATTTTATAATGACGAATTTTTACTAATGGATAGAAAGTTCGTAAAAGATAAATAAACTACATAATATATTCAGGACTATAACTCTATAAATAACCGTTATATACAAACGATAAATTAAGCTAAACAAAATTTCAATTTTGGAAAAAAAATATAAATTTTAAACATGATTTTCAATCTTTATCCTCAATTTAAATCCCCCATGAGCTTAGACACCCACGAAAAATTGCATAGGGATTCAATGAGAGCTCTCTTTCTTTGCATCCAAAGAAGAAGTCAAAATGAAAGATATAAAAAGAAAACTTTGCTTTGCCCATCCATTAGATTAAATATATTATGCCGCAATTTCTGCTTCTCCCTCCCCAATTTGACATCGCCTACTTCATCATGAACTGCACACTTGATTTGACATGGAAAATTTTGTTCTATTTTTATATATCGATATCGTTTCTCCGTAACGAATCATTGATGTATGTACGAAGTACTTCATAATAAATTTTTTATAGACTTAGACTGAATGGTTGCTATATTTTTATCTGTATAATCGTCGTATACGGATAGTTAATGTGTATACGAAATACTTTAGCAGCAAACTCTTTAAAATATTAACCTATCATGGGGTGAGTTTTTATTTGTAGTGTCGTGTATATGGATAATTATGGAATATGAATTTCGAAAGTCTTGATATATATCATTATTATATATGCTTTAATATAGACATAGTTTATATGAAATAACATGAGAGTGTGTATACTTTTATGGGTGTGGTGAGATTCGAATCTCCGACCTAAGACTACTACTGCTTTAAATTATCAATTGAGTTGGTATTTAAGTTGGCTAAATGTAATATTTCATATGGTGTAATTGAAATTAAAGTATCAAACTTGAGCATAGTTCAATTGGTTAAATAATCTATTTTTGACCAAAATATTATGAGTTTGAATCTTCGAATGTATAATTTTTTTATTGTTATATTTATTTTTTAAAATAATCATAAACTAAAATATTTGTATGCGAAATTTATGAGACATATTGACTTAATTTTAAATTTTGTTGTTTAATAAATTATGTAACAAAGAAATTTAAGAATTCCTTTCAAATGGAGATTCAATGGGGATTTAATACTTTAAATGGAATTCGAGAATTAACATTTAATTAAGTCTTTCTTAAATAAATAAATGAAAAATAATTCTTCCCACGAGTTCTCCGTGGGGAATGTTTGCCCCGACTCTGCAAAATTTTGTTAATAATTTTGTAGGAATTAAGAATAAAATGGTAGTCAGGACTGAGACGGGATACTCGATGTCACATCTAACGACAAGTGAAGGAATAGACACGTAACTACGTTGGTTGACAACTTTAGTAAAGATTTAAATTAAAACATAAATCCCTCTAAAACATAGAGATAAAATTAGCATTATTGTTAGATCATCCAATTTAAATGATAATCTAATCAATAACTTCCCGATTATCTTCTTCTAAATGGTTGTTTGAATTTGATAATTATATCAGTTTCAATATTCACAAATAATTTATCCTTAATGTTTATTTGAAATCTGACTTTGAAATTCTTTAAAAACTTGATTTTTTAAATGCAAATTTCCCGGAAAGTTTTTGCTGGGTTCCAAAGTTTGTCCAAACGAATAAGTAGAAAAAGACAATATATTTATATATATATATATATATATATATATATATTTAAATAACAATCAGTTACTTTCCTCAAAAATATTCGTTTTTTAATTGCAAGAGTAAGGTAATTATTTATGAATACAAAATTAAATAGTGTAATAAATAATTGAGTTCAAATTATAACACACCTAATGAACTATTGTATTGAATAATACGTGAACAGACGCATAAAAACTTTCATAAAGTTGAAAGGTTCGATTTTCAAACCACTCCTTGTGATATTAAAAAAGCTCATACATATTTTCTTCAATTTGAGCATAATTTAATTGGTTAATAATATATTTTATATATAATTTTCATCGATATATTGACATTTTTATTAATATTTCCATACGTTATATGTTTAACATCAACATAGGTTCAACAACGACATATTTAAATTTTTCATCAATATTTTCGTATGTTCACATGTTCAACATCATGAATCTACATTTCCATAAAAAAAATTGACCAAATATAAAAAATATCAACAAAATCTCACTAATATGATTTATTTATTTATTTATTATTATTATTTTTTAATTCTGAACACACGAGGGCTTGAACACTCCAAGCCTCTCACCAATGCACCAACGTCGGAGGGTAAATCTCACTATTATATAATAGACATAATATTAATAAATTTTAATATTATTAATAATTTCAGTTACAATAGTGGGTAGCTGTTGGCACCTCAAATTATAGGAAATCTTTTGGTTAAGTCACTTCCGAGTTATATAAAAAAAAAAGGAGTGAAATGTTTATGTGATATTTTAAATATTTATTATGAATTTTTAGTAATATCTGATATTCTCATCTACGTTTTCATAAAATTTATAAGTTTTTAGTAATCTCCAATATTATCATCGACATTTTCATAAAATTAAGGCCTCAACATTTATACAACTTCGACGTCTCTAATTTATATTTATATATATATATATATATATATAGACACACACACGGTCTATTATTTAAATTATGAAATTAAAATCTAAAATTGAAAATGGGAGAAAGAGATGAGAGTACAAAAAAGGGAAAAAAAAAAGAAAAAGAAAAAAACCTTCCCTAAAATCCCAAATTCAGAAGAATTTGGTTTTGTGTATGAGAGACAGGTTTCTCAGCAACATCCTTTTTGGAACAAGATAATTCTAACACGTCTCTCTTTTTCCACAATGCTCAAATCTTTAGCCTTAGCCTTACCATTTTCTTCTTCTTCTTCTTCTTCTTCTTCTTCCACTGTTTCTTCTCTGCTTCTTCCAATTTCATCTTCTCTCTCCAAATCCAATTTCAGAATCAAACCCATCTCCCCCTTCCCTCAAACCCTAAGACTCGCCTCTCCACAGCGCCCCTCCATGAATCTCTTGAACAAGTTCGGATTCGGGACCAGAGCCACCGAGGCTTCGTCGGAGTCGTCGGCGATTGCGCAGGGCCCCGACGATGATATTCCGGCTCCGGGGCAGCAGTTCGCCCAATTTGGGGCTGGCTGCTTCTGGGGCGTCGAGTTGGTGTTTCAGAGGGTGCCCGGCGTGACCAAGACGGAGGTCGGTTACACCCAAGGCCACCTCCATAACCCCACCTATGAGGATGTTTGTTCTGGGAAGTCCTACCACTCCGAGGTCGTTCGGGTGCAGTATGATCCTAAAGAGTGCAGTTACGAGTCCCTTCTCGATGCCTTCTGGGCTCGGCATGATCCCACTACTCTTAATCGGCAGGTTCGTTGATTTTCGCCTAATTTTTATGATATGGTTCTTGCTTGAATTCTCAATTTCTACYGCTTAACCTTTATTTGGGTGGGAATTCTTGGAGTTCCTGAGTTATTGTATCGAGATTTTATAATCTTTTTTTGGATTTCAGTTTGGATGTTTGCCAATATCATGTTTGAGTTCGGTTTGTCCGTCGCAGTTTACTTAGTGATTTGGGACGGACTATTCTTATGGGGTTATTTGGTTTAGGAGGAAAGAGAAGCTAATCTTTGATTCTGAAGTATATCATAGCAGCTCATAGGGTAAACAAGAACTGTGTTAGAAGTTCATTAAGGGATTTTGTGTTTTAGGCCGAGCTTTGTCAGTCGCAGCATGATACGTTAATAATCATGGCCATACTGAAAGACCGTTCCATTTGATGCTTCGCTAGAAATGAATGAGTCATGTATTTGTTTTAGGTTTCCTGGTGAACGATGAAGGGATATAAAGGGTGACTATTTTTGTTGTATTAAACCATGAAAATATGTTCAAGCAATGTTGAGCTTATTAGAAGTAGAATGGGTTGTGGAGTCCTAGACATTCCTAAAAAATGCATGCTTGTAGTTATCGTATATGTACTTGGGTCGAATAATATATGCTGATTATTTGTTCGATATTGGATATGTTAATTTATGTTTCCATCACAGCACTCGTCTTGCATTGTGTTTGATTATTTTAATAGGAAACATAAAATTTTCAATGAAGAAACGATACCGATAAAGGAGAAAACCCTTAATTTCAAAAGAGAGTATGTTGCTTGTATATTATCTTTCTTATCCACGTTGGTGTTGGTTCTAGCATTAAGAGTAGAACATTTGATGAGGTGAGGGTGGTTTGAGGGTTGATAATTTAGTTAGTAAGAAGGTTGGTTTTTTGACTGAGTGGTTGTAGCATTTTTCCTTGGATTTTGATGCTTTTTGGCATACGATTGTGATAGAAATGCCATTGGAGTAATTATTTGGGTATTAACTATTAAGGGTATATCAGCGACTGGCCAAGGAATTGGTTATAAATTGAGAGTGGGAGGAGATGAAAGAATGCAATTGTTTGGTAGTTTTGGCTTGAGTAAGAATACCCAACGGAGGGAGGGTCCAAGTACCTTAAATTACTGTGGAGTTATTATGCTGTTCTATCTTTTATATTTCAATACTATTTTGGTTGTTTGGGCTCTATCAAATTGTTGTTAGTATGGACATCATTCCAATGGTTTGACCTCTAATCTCTATTGGGTTCCAGGGATAGACGAATTTGGTCTCTTGTAAAATCTTAAAATCTTAAGAAATTTGAGTTTTTCTCTGGGCTTATCATGCTTGGAACGATTTACAATTTAACACCATATACTTTACCTGGAGGTTTCCCAATTTAGTCCTTGGTCATAGATTCATAGTATAGTAGCGTCTTCTTTACAAAGRAAGAAGGCATTTAAGCCTTTGATTTACATTTTTGGGAGGTACCTCTTCTCTGAAGATATGGCTTAGGGTCTCGTAACTGGTAAACTTTTGAGGTTGCATTGGTTCCAAGGCATGATTCTCTTACGATGGGAGAAGTCCTTTTGCATCCTCCTTTCTGTGGCAGAGGGAGATTTTTTGGGTAGGCTCCTTTGCTTATTTTATGGAATATTGGGTTAGAAAGAAATAGGAGAGTATGCAAGTTTTGAATCACTGATTTCAGGAGATATGAGCCGCACTTGACCAAAATCTCAAATTACATCTTAGTCCTTGACCCTGAAAGACATAAAGAGGTCCTGGAAGATGGAGGTTTTGAGTTTGGGTCGCTTTAGTACATCCTTTGGATCTTCTAGACCAAGTACAAAAAGATTCTTTTATCTCTTTTATTATCGACAAATGGAACTCTTTACTGTAATTTCCTTTTTTTTTTTTGCCATTTGTTTTCCCTTCTTCCTCTTCATTTGTAATTGGTAATGAAAGTCAGATTCTTACTAATTTTGAGTCAAAGGTTCTTGGACTTGGTAATCTCCTTCCAAACGAATTAGAAAAAGAAGAAATTTGAAGAGGACTCGTGCCCTCTGATTATCTTTGAAGGACCACACCAATTAAATAAAAGTATCATTATTGTTTCTTATCTATAAATGATCATTTTGAAGCTCATTAGTGCTAGTTAGCTTCCTTTATTTTATGTATTTAATATATATGTACACATACACATATATAATTTATCCCCTTTCCACTTCTTTAAACGCAAGTAATAATATTCATAATCTTTGGATTGACAGGGGAATGATGTGGGAACACAATACAGATCTGGCATATACTTCTACACTCCTGAACAAGAGAAAGCGGCTCGCGAGTCAATGGAACGCCACCAGAAGTTATTGAACAGGAAGATCGTGACTGAGATTCTTCCTGCCAAGAAGTTCTACCGGGCAGAGGAATATCATCAGCAATATCTCGAGAAAGGTGGCCGGTTTGGCTTCAAGCAATCTGCTGCTAAAGGCTGCAATGACCCAATCCGATGCTACGGTTAGTTAAATTAGTCTTTGCAGTTAATATTATTTTCCAGCTACAAGATAATGGTATTCTGTATGCAATTATGACTAGATTAGACAAGCTCTATCTGACTTGCTTGTAATAAAAATCCCGAATGTATGTATCTATCTGTAATTGGTTCGGCTTATCAATGAACAAATTCATAGTTACAAGGATGCTTTCCCCCAATCTTTGCGTCTAAAAATATCTTGTGGAATAGTTTTAGGTACACGTAAATTGTCTTACCTTATTCATACATACCATAAACATATTTTCAGGTCTGAAACTTGAGTTTTATTCTTGTTTGTGAGAAAAGTGTGAGGTGAGAGTTTAAGAAATGCACCGTCACAAGATTCATTAGAAGTGATAGTATGACTAAAAGTGGAGAATTAGAAGTGATAGTACGACTAGAAGTGGGGAAGATCGTAAGTTTATAAATGAAATGATATTTATTAGAGTTCAAAAGCAAGTTAATATGGGTGTAAGTTCAAAATGGATGCAGAACAACATTTTTGGAGATATGGAGAATTTCTAAATCTCACAGAGATATCAATGTTATGTAGTCTTGGCTATGGATAGATAAAATCTTTAGATCCCGACTCTTGAGTAAAGGTGGAGAATCATAGATGATGTACTAATTGGGGATATTAATGGAATGGTAAGGATATGTTAGTAATTAGATAAGAAATTGGTTAGTACATAACAAATCTGAGTGAGGAAGAAGGGATGAAGTAGATAGTAGTTTCATGTGGTTTAGGCTGGAGTAAAAATACTCAAAAGGGGAGAAGGTCCAGATACCTCGAATTACTTGGTAGTTATGGTAGTTCTTCTATCTTTTATATTTCCATATATTTTTAATGGTTGGTTCTTTGAATATTTTGATTTTTGTAGACTATAAATAGATGGCTGTTGGAAAGAAAGTTTAGTTTGTAGAGATGATTACTAGATGCGTAATCTAGTACATCCCTACATTATTATGATTTTTCCATCCACAAGGGCAAAGTATTGACATGGTAGTCTGTAGTCATATGCTTTAATCCTCTAAGCTACGTGTCTCATGTCTCACTCTATATCTATCAGATCCGTGAGCCGAACAATCGATATCATGGTTTATAGTCATGTGCTCTAATCCTTTGAGTTACATGCCATACTTTTACCACATTGAGCTCTAATCTTCTAAGCTAGGTTCCACTTTGTCTCCATCGAATCTCTGTTTCGAACTAATGATATCACAGTTCATAGTAACATATTCTAATTCTCTGAGCTATTGGCTCCACTTCATCTCTACTATACCCTAAATCAGAACCACTCTCTTTCCAAGTCTTTGCTATTTTGGGTCTGGAGGATGTGAAATCACTTTCATGACAATAATGAAAACACAGTGAACTCCAAGATATGAAGTGAATGAATCCAAGTAGATTTACTTTGAATTCTACTCCATCTTTTAACAAAAATTGCATCTTTCAATTTTAAGAAGCAAGAATGAAAATTTTCAATATCATTCATATTTGGATATTTGTTTTCTTTTATTTTTGTGTGAAAAAGGGAAAGGAATAGTTAAATGTTATATGACAGTGACAAAAGAATTGGCAAAAGCATCTCTCAGATGTTTGGTGTGACAATACCCACCACTCCAATCTGGCCAATTATTGCTGTGAAAAACACAAGGGCCACATGTTTAATTTTCCTTTAAAAAATAATTTCTTCTGTCTCATTTTTATCTTATTAATACTTTTTAATCTAATAAATATGATATGGTATGCCTGACATGTAAGAATTTTATGCGGTGTCTCTTAAAAAATAATAATAAATAAATAAATAAAATTACGTGATATTATTTTGTTTAGAAAAACAAACATTTTCATTCAATTATTTAGAAATGAAAAAGATGCGATGAAAAGTTTTGGTTCCTCGTAAATTCCCTTTTTTTATTTTATATTTATTTATGCTAGTATAAGTTTTAATTATTTTCATCTATCTGAATATAGTTTAATGGGATAATTGCCTTTTAACTAATGTATAGGTTTTAAATATTGGGACTAAATAAAGCAGTAACATGATTGAAATATTTTAAAGTTAAAGGAATTGGACAAATTCAATGATCAAAGTATAATGATTAAATTTATAACTTCACCTTTTTATTTATTTATTTTTTTAAATATTCCAAATTGTTAGTATAGATAAATAGCCCCAGATTATTAAAAATATATTTTGGAAGCAAGACTGTCGGTGAATAATTAACTTCATAGAAACATATATATATATATATATATATATATATATATATATATATTTTTAAATAAAAGAAGAAAGGAAAGGGAAAAAAAAATCTCGACCGAGTATTATTGAAATTGAGGAAAAAAAAAGTATTATTGAAATTGAAACTTGGCCATCCCCACACCTTTCGAACATGTGAAGCACAAGCATCGCGGCCGACACATCGTTGCTTCCCTTCCCCTCCTTTCCATTTGTCGGCCTCCACGATTTTTCTAAATTTACTTACATATCAAATGATACCATATTGACTTTAGCGGTAATTGGTATATATCTCCAACCAAGAAGTTGCGAGTTCGAATCTCTTCCCTTTTCTTAGAATTAACATGGAAAATTCCAATATGGCAAAAAAACCATGACCGACAGACAAAAAATTACTTTGTGAAAAATTATTACAATTGTGTACATTGCTTCCTCCGACCTTAATTAAGGTCATAAGTTCTTTTTATAGTTGGAGCACACTCCCTCCTTATATCTTTTTTTTATGTAGAACAAACTTTAATTCTAATATTTTGTCAAATTCCACCACATTCAAATCACATTTTTTACCCTTTGCACTAATTTGTTTTAATTACATATCATAAATAATTCGAACAACTGTTTCGAATATAGTTTCTGAGAAGTATCGCTTAAATAATGTGTTTGAGAGTATTTTCTCAAGAAATGTTTTTTAAAATTTTAAAAATATTGAAACAAATAAGTGAGAGATAATATGTAAATATATAATTAGTGAGAGAGGCGAGATAAAATTGGAATAGTGCTCTCATTCATTATCAGCTAGTCAAAATTATTTAAAAACAGCGTGGAATATAGTAACGTTAGAAAATTATTTAAGAATACAAATTTGCAGGGTAAACGAAGACAATAAATACAATATAAAAATGCACAAATTAAAATTTAGTGGAAAAAAGGAACACGTGGCAGCATAGGAGCGGTGCGATTAAGGTGAAACATGAGATGGCCCTTTGTGGCAGACATGTCGGGGAGCAACTACGGTCTACGGGTGTCCATTTCCAACCTGACTTTCCAGTTTCCAATTTGGTCCTTTTATTTTAATTTCACCTTTTTTTTTTAAAAAAAGAGTTAATTTGTAATAAAAGTCACTTTTTAATTTCTAAAAGAAGATATTTGAAGCCAATGTAAAATGATTTGAGAAGGAATACTTAGGTTAAATTATAATAAATTTTTGACCATATGTTTTTGTTTGTATTTCAATTTAGATAATATTGAATAAAACTTGTCTGATATCTCTATTATAAGAAGTAATATAAATTTGACAAAAATTATTTATGGATGCATTTTGAAAGAAGTTTGAAAAAATTCAAAAAATATCGTTAGTCTCTCATCCCATTTCAGTCTAAACAATGTTTTAATTAATTAGTATTTTTTAACAACTAACAAATATTGGTCGGTCTAAATATCTATTGCAGGTTCGAAATATCCCAATGTTGTCTTGTTTTTTTTTCTTTGTGTTTTATTTACATTTTAACGTGTCTTAATAATTTCTTGATATCAAAAAATTAACTCATCTTTTAGAAAGAAAGGAAAAAAAAAGAACTCTAACTTTGTTAAGATTAGACTAAAGAAAAGTGGATAAATAGTTTTTCCACGTCTTTAAGAAAGCAAGAAATTATGGTATGGTTTGGTTTAATGGTTGGCCAAATTAATCCCTAATACCAAAGCCTATCATTTGAGAAATCTAATTCACTTTTTGGATCTTAATTTACCATTGTTAACATATAAAAATAAAATTTTTATTATAACATAAATATATTGACACACGATCAAAACAGCTGATCTATTAATAATATTAATTACTTCAAATATTTATAATTGTTTATTCCACGATTGAATTTTGTCAACTTAAAATTTAACTGAGAAGTGCATAATTTTTCTCCAAAAAATGGCGTCTCCAATTAAAGATCAAGCAGAGAGTTGGAAGGTGGCCTAACGTCTTCACCATTTGCTCGCTAGAATAAGAGATATGGAGTGATTGGGACCCTATAACAAATACTAAATATTTATGGGACCATTTTTTWAAAATAAAATGTATTAATAAAAAAAAAAGAAAATAATCTAAATTTCTTCGTAGCCTGATCTAGATCTAGAGCATTAACCATGTGACTTTGCTTCTTAACTTGGCAAAAACCAGGCTGTTCTTTTGTAATTTTTTAAATTTTTGGTCCATTAATGTTTCAAACGTATTCTTAGAAACATTGTACTTTCATTAATTGAAACCATATGCTTTTGTTATAAATAAAAAAAGAGATTCTTTGAAATTTTTAAAATACGCGAGTGTCTTGACTTTAATTACAACATCTCGACTAGATCACACTAGAATTTGAACCCATTCATTTCCTTACATTTCTTCACATTTGTCGATGAATTACTAGCTAGACTGATCTACAGTGAAGGTTTTTAAAATGACAGGAACTTAAACAAGATCACATAGTCAAATACTAATGCCTTGATGAGTGTAGGTTAAAATTTCTTCTCCACATTTGTAATAGGTTATTAAAAAGTAAAAAAAAGTAAAAAGTGACGTGGAGGAAAAAAAAAGTTAAAATTCAATGTTCTACCTACGATGAGGACTAAATTGAAGTACAACCCAAAATTTAAAAATATAACTAAAACACTTCAAGTCCCGTATGTACGCAATGTTCAAAATACCGACACATAAAATTCATAATATAAGTTATAAAGAAAAATGACAAAGTAGCTAATGATTCCAATTTCCAAAAAAGCAAAAGGGGACCCATTGATACACACACAAAACACAATACATTTCAATACAAAAAGCCAAAGAAAATGAGTTGTAGTACCACCCTTTGAACAAGCCAAGCCAGCTACTATCAATCACCACAAGAAAAAGGGAAAAAAAAGTGGCCAAATTAAAGCCCAACTCTTGGAGCAAACTCAAGCTCCAACAATGGCAGAAGATCATCAAGAAATAGCTCCCATTCCTAGAGTGATCACCTTCCTCTCCTCCCTTCTGCAGCGGGTTTCGGAGTCGAACGACGACGGGGGCCAAGCTCCGAAGATCTCGGCCTTCCACGGCCTCACCCGACCCGCCATATCGATCCATAGCTACCTACAGAGGATCTTCAAGTATGCAAATTGCAGCCCAAGTTGCTTTGTGGTGGCYTATGTGTACCTTGATCGCTTTGTTCAGCAGCACCCTTCTTTGCCTATTGATTCCTTCAATGTTCATAGGCTCCTCATTACTAGYGTTCTCSTCTCTGCCAAGTTCTTGGATGACTTGTAAGTTTTCTGTTAATTTTGTATTCTGTTTTTATATTCTTTTCCCTCGATCTGGGCCGAGCTAGAAGTTTTCARAGGGAGAGACAAAATTTTATATTTAGGGAGAAAATTTCAATATAATTTGAATTGAGTTTCTTAAGTTCGTTTCGTAACATTTCTGTTTCTTGTTTTGATTATTACTTGAATTGAGTTTAGGATTTTGCTACTCCTTATTTATTTTTTTTCTCTTTTTGATTTTGTTTGTGTTTTCTCCACCATTTTGTTTGTTTCCTCRTATTTTAGTCTCAATTTTATTTTATGAAAATGATATAGGGGCGGATTAGTTTAATTACAAGCTCAAATTTAKAATTTTCAAAAAAAATTTGTTAATGTATTTATTAATTAAACATGAAAATGGGTTACCCAAATTCTTGACCCGACTTGAAAATAACTTTTGAAGTGAAAAAAAACTAGTCTATGGTAGATTTTGAAGTAGAAGGGTAAAAAAACAGAGAAGATAATGACTTATACCAATTTAAATTTATATAATTGATCTATTATTGTTTCAAAATTATTTACAGATGTACTTTCTATCAAATTTAGAAATTAACTATTTTTTGATATTATTTTTTCAGGTATTACAATAATGCCTACTATGCCAAAGTGGGTGGAATAAGCACCATGGAAATGAACCTTCTTGAAGTGGATTTCTTATTTGGTTTGGGATTCCAATTGAATGTGACACCAAACACYTTCCACACCTATTGCTCTTATCTCCAAACAGAAATGTTACTAACACAACCAAATCTTCAAACCAAAACGCTCCTAAAATTTCGTCCATTCGTCGAAGATGAAACATCTCATCAACGACAATTGACTGTCTAAATCAAATCGAAATCACTAAGAGTGATTGTCTCCAATTGAAATCATTAAAAATAATCGCTGCAATGYGACTTCCACTTTCATGATCGTTAGATACATGATCAGAAGATATCTTCTTTTGTTTCTACTATATGAATCTAACGGTTATAAAAGTGATAGTCACGTTGAATGATTTTTCAAGGATGAACTTATCTTTTGTGTTATCTCAAGTGGGTATCGAACCTTTTCAGAGGTTAATGTGAGCTTTTTATCTCAAGCTTTTTGGGGTCAAAGTAAAGAGAATGAAATTCTCCCACATGGGTTTTTGATTTATCACCCTAATTTCACTCCCTTGTAGTCTTTGGACATTTTTGCCCTCTATGTCTATTGTGTAGAATTGTTTTTTTTTTTTTTTGATTTGTAATTAGTATAGGTTACCTTGATGTTTTTACAAGTGATTTGTAAGTAATTAAGATCTTGTGTTTTGTTCCAATAGTCCACCTAAATTAGCACTTTCAAATAACAAATATATGTGATTTATTAGTGATAATTTAATTATTGATATAGTCTGRTTGATTTAAAGTACTATTATGAGTTCAAATCCTTTCGACCCGAAAAATTAGAGAAATAATTCCATGATTAGTTTTATAATTAAATAGCTTAAAAGTTGTCAGTATACAATTGCATCAATCTCTCAAATTCAAACTTATTTTCTTTTTTCAATTATATATAATATTTATTTTGATACTTTTATTGAGTTTATTAGATACATTCTCRTATTAAACATTCTATATTGCTTGGTGATAAATTGTGGCATATCAGATGAATGTAAATGTTCTAGAACAAAAGGGGAAAAATTAAAGTAATGAAATATTCGTTTTGTCTTTTCTCAAAATTCATAAAACAATTTCAATGATTTTTTTAAATTTGAGATTATAGATAGATTCAAAAGGAAAAATAAATAAAAATGAAAATTTACTAATTTATTTGGTGGATGTACCCCACTTGCATTAATGATGCTATTGACAASCATAAGTATCTAAATTTCAAAACGTAATTGAAACTTTTTAAAATTGATCGACAAATACAATTCTCAAGATACAAATTCAACCCGAGTCTCACTCAACTGATTAAAGCATGTATTTTCGATCTAAAGGTCKTATTCGAACCTCATCCCATACGTTGTATTAAAAAAGATTAAATTTATAATTTAAAATCCAAACCTTTTTGATGTAATGAACAATTGCAAGCGCACCTTGGTGAAAAATCAAACTAAATTACAAGAGTTTAATTTTCATTTATCCTTGAAAGTTTCAATAAATTGAAGAGAGGAAAGAAAAAAGTAATCTAGTTGTCTAATTTTTTTGTTTAGGAAGGGAAAAGATAATAATGGCCAATGTTAATGTGGAGTAGTGTTGAAATTTGGAGGGCAGTCCAGTAAAAGATCAAGCATGGCCCATTACACAGTTGGCAAATTGGGTTGGTTGGTTAGGTCCAATTTCTGAAGTAATTTTAGAAAGAAAAAAAGCATACATATTTAAATTTCATAAGGACATCTAATAAATGATTTATTCAAATTATTGAGTTGATATCTCATAGTACATAGTCGAATTTAAATGTTCCATTTTTTTAAAAGACCACAAATTTAAAATTAGTTGTGCATTCACGAGGGGTTTGTTGGATTGGTAAACCGTGCAAACAAAGTTTCATATTGGCTAAAGTATATAGATGAGGACAATTATTTGGTACGAGGCATTTTGAGCGAAGCCAAAAGCAAGTCCGTAAAGGTTTTACTCAAAGCGGACAATATTATACCATTATGAAAATATGGAGAATCGATTGTCCCTAACATATGAGGTCCAAAAAGGGGACAAACTTATGAAGTCGAAGAATCAAAATCTCAAACTCTTTCATTTATATGTTTATGCATGGAAGGAATAGTTATATGTTTCAGGGAGGGGTCACGTGTTTTAAGAAGTTCTCTTCAAAAAAATTATAAGAATAAACCCATCTCAAATATGACGTGGTATGATATTCGTGAATCTGTTAGTGCCTGCCACTGCCTATCATATATATTTGATATTTTTCCAGTATAAATAAACGAGTATTTTTTGGAAGAGAGATTCCATTTTTACTATTTTTTTTACAAAAATGTATGTTTGAAAATTCAAAAAATAATTAATAGAAGATGCCTACTTTTTTTTTTATTAAATTATTCATATAAACATTGGAAAATATGCTTATTACGGTAACATATTTTTTCCTTTCATCGAATTAAAAACTTAAAACGCAATTTTATCTTTAATTAGGTATTCATTTTATAAATTTTGATATGATTTCTTATAATTTTTTTTATATCACACCTCTATAAAAATAGAGTTTATCCTTGTATTAATTGTGTAGTTTTTTCCATGTATTTAATTGCATGTCGTGTAGGTTATGATCCTTGTATTAATTGCACCGTATATTTGTTACTATATATTTATCSAGCATARTTTAGTGGTAATTGGTATAAACCTCCAACATGTATTGAACTAAAAAATAATAATAAAATAAAAGTACTATTCCTAACATACCCTTCCTTAGAATAGTACAAAGTTCCACTCCTATCATGTATTTATAGAGTATATCTTTAAGTGATTAAAAAGAAATTTACTCTAATTTTTTTCCCTCAATTGGTCGTGGATATATCTCAATTACTATAAGCTACGTTCGTTTAGACTAATTTACTCTAATTAATAATCTATATATAATTAATGCACACTAAAATAACATTATTAAGAGGCTGCTTCATATATGACAAACTTTAAGCACACCTTACAAACTATACTATATAGAGATATTAGAGCTTGCTAGGGCTAACCTTACATTCTCACATTTTCTCAACATATATAAGCTATAGTTTCRTAGCATATATTATAGCTTATATATTTTTCTACCCATGTTTGCTTCTGCCGTCTTTCGTAACGGTTGACGAACGATACTCGTTGCCACCTGAACCACCATATCCGCCACCACCTGGACCACYGTATCCGCCACCGGTACCGCCTCCACMAGAATTACCGTAGCCACTTCCGRATCCATATCCACCACCACGAGCACCACCACTCCCACTTCCGTAGCCATATCCCGATCCCGACCCCGACCCCGACCCGAACCCATATCCATAACCTTTCCCAAAACCGGTCGGGGAGCGGCCGGAGCCCGATCCGAAACCCCAGCCACTCCCGGGGCTCGAACCCCAACCCCAATTGTAGTCCCAATTAGGACCATGGGCAGAGCCATAGTTCCCATTGGGATTCCCTCCCCCATTATTATTTCCCCCGCTGGGTCCCCAAGACATGTCTGGAAAATTGAGCAGTTTCCGGCCACTGGCGGCGGAGGAGAGTGTGATGAAGAAGAGAAGAAAGGAAAGGGAGAGATGAAATGTGGATGTTTTTTTCATATTTTTATTATTGGGTTTGTGAGAAAGAGAGAGAAAATTGAAATTATTGTTTGGTAGACGACGGACGGTGGTTGTATTTTTGGAGATTGTCAAAGTGCATTTATAGTGGAAGCTGTGTGTTTAGTGGATCTGATTTTTGATGATTTTGATAGCCAAAACCTGTGACATACTTTTCACTTTTTTTCTTACTTTTGACTTTTTTAATTTTCTTGTGGGTGCACTTGTCCATACTCCACAATTTTACCCCACAAAAACACCAACAAGAACAGATAAAATGAATAAACAATTGGGTTTTTTAGCAATAGTACAGGTGTAAAACATCAAAACTTAATAAATTAAAATAAAATAGAATAATCACCGAATTGAGTTGGTTTGATCGGTTTTGTTATTAATATAGATATCAATCAATTTGATTTTGTTGTAGGGTTGATGTGAGAGACCATCAACTACTATGATAATCAAAAGAACCAAAGGAAAAAGATTCATTCAGACAAGTGCAGGGCAGCTCGATAGCTAAAATCGAAACGAGCCATATCTCATCTACTGACCAATCCTTGTTAGGTACGAGCGGACCTTGGAGAGCATCGACACCACGCAATCTTAAGTGATCGGAAACAGATTTCCTAGATTTTAGTATCTGAAGTCCACACATCGTGACCCAACCTGACCATTTTCATGATCAAACAGATTTTATAAAATTTAAAACTATTTTGATCCATTCGATTTGATGGAATGGTTGGTCTCGTCAGGTTTTTTTCTCTTTTTTTTCTCTTTCTTAAAATGGCCTCATAACTTTGTTATATGGATGTATATGCTCATCTTTATCAAGTTATATGGTGGTAAGGTCAATTTTAAAAGGGGAAAATATCTCTATGGTGGAGGTTTGAGTAAAGTTGACGTAACATCAAGCTTTATATATAAAAATGTTGTGTGAATTTAACATCTATTTTACTAAATTTATGTTAGTTTCATGGAAAAAAATAATAGAAAATTAAAAAAATAGAAATGCCACTATTTTTATTGTGTTGACCCGTTGAATAATACTGAGATTGGACTTCTTTTACTCCATTTCATTTATTAAATATAATTAAGTCATATTGTGAATTTTAATTAGTAGAGAGATTAATAAGGCAAAGTAGCACCAAAAACAGTTGTATTTGCTCTAAAAAAGCTTGTATTTGCTTCCCTTTTTAAATGAAATTATGATGATTTTATTTCCTTTTTAAGCATTATATTTTCCATTTTAATCTTCTACATCATTTAAAAGAAAAAGGGTACCTACAGAAAGATCTCCAAAACAGCTCTCATACCTCCATAAAGATACAATATTGCTTCAAAAATATCTCTCTTCCATATTTATCCTTTTGTCTCCCATTCTTGTTTGTTGGAACTTGCAAAAATCCTAAGAGATTTCAATGGAAGATCATCAATATTCCCTAATGAGAGAGTCACTCCTTCATGCCCTAATTAATGTTCTATTTTTAAGTAATTAAACACACATTTGCATTAATCGTGAACTTTATCATTTCTAGCTTTAATTTATGTAAATTTTTAATTAATTAAACGTAGATAATATTTTTTTAGTACAACAACATATAGGGATGTGAGTTTGAACACACGACATTTCGGTCAGAAATACATACCTTAATCAATTGAACTAGCTAAGCTGGGCATTTGGTTTGTGGTTTGAATTTATATAATTTGTATTGGTAAAGTTGATGATTTGATCAAGAATTCTCTAATTGCCATAATTATTCATAATACCCCTTTTAACTTTTTCTTCGAGTAATTAATGTGTGTATTAATAGTTGCATTTATCACTTTAATTATATGCAACTATGTAACTATGTGAAACTAGAGACTTATTGAAAACTCATCCGAAATTAAATAAATTGAGGGGATTTGACTTTTAGAGTTGAAAATGCATGCAAAACCCACTCCAAAGTTTTAGTCAACATGTTCATTATGATATTGGAGGGGGGAAAAAAAGATCTCTCTACAATCCAATGTTTAACTTTCTTCATAGCCAGGCTTTTGTTCTAATTAGAATATGCCTTACTGATCTCAACATCTTATATTACGTATAAGTTGGAGATTTGTTATATTTGTACATATTAGAAAGGAAAAGGGTAAAAGTAGTAGATAAAATAAAATACCAAAATGGAATTATTGTTTTCACTTTGGGGAAATTCAAAGACACCAAATATTTTTTAGTACAAAAACATTTAACTTTTCATACCTAAAAGGCTATATGTCAATTTTGTTCTCATAACTATTTTTTATATTTTGTTATGGTCCAACAAATGTGAATTGATGAAGAGATTTGGATCTGAATTAGATGTCTTAACTACGGAATGTTGATATCAATATAACTAAAATTTTAAACTAAACATCTATTTTCCTTCTCTAAATTTTATGATACTTATTTTCTACATTCAATCATGAAGAATAACATAAATTTGATCCATCACATTCAATTCATGTCAAATTCTCAAGATCTTATAAGAGAGGGGTTTTTTAGGTCAAATTCGAGAGGTATTTATGAAATTGAGTTGTCAGTCCATTAGCTTTCTTAAAGCAAATATCTTGGGTAAGAATTTAGGCATTCATCAACCAAAAACGGCTGAGTTTTAGGAAAGAGAATTTTCTTCATCTCCAATGGCGAAAATGGAGACTGAACAAAAGTTTAGGATTTATTTGTAATCGAAATCCTAGGAAAGAGACTTTCATAGGTTAGGAATCATTAACTTATAGATCTATGACCAAAAATTAAAATGTCTCAAATCGACAAGAAAAAGGAATTAAAACATCTCAAAATGACAAGAAAAAAAATTGAATTTTGTTCATCCTCCAACTAAGTACTCCAAAAATTTTGGAGGACGAAAAACATTAAAATAGAGTATATAAGTTTTTTTATGAATTATATTTTATTTTATACTAACTCATTTTTCTTAATTATAATTATTTTTAATACAACAAATTTGAGGATGAATCCAACCTTCAAATTCTAAAAAATATCAAGATATTCAATTCATTGGGATGCAAAATTTAGTAAAGGTTATTTAATGTATGTATGATGGATTTTAACACCTCATTTTCAGTTAACCGACTTTAGGGGGTGGCGGTGCCCTGGTGGGCATATTTGAACTCTAACAGCCCAATCCGCTAGTGCCACGTGGAAAAGTAAGCAACCAAAACAAAATAGAATTGGACCGTGACGGGATTTATTAGGACGGCCTTTTCGGGAGGATTTGTGCCGTGATGTGCTGAGTGGAAAGAGAGATAACGACTTTGACTTCCACGTTCTTTGGTTGGACGGTTGTGATCCTCTTTAAATATTCACACTCACCCCTTAATATCTCGCCACGTGTACTCCACCACTTTCCCATTTTTATTTATTTTTATTATTCTCTCCGGTGCTTGTCTGCGAGACGTGCGGCTGTGATTCTTTTAATGAGATAAAATCTAATTTGTGTGGGACCCATTCTGATCCATCATTTATAAGATAAATAAAAATACATATTTATAAAATTATCGTTACTTTATAAGTTTACCAATTATGCTATTTTTTAGTACAATAGATATAGAGACAAAGATTGAATTATATTTTATCAGTGGTTCTAGTTGGGGGCCCACCGATCAAATATTGACGTAGTGAAAATCAAATCAATTTAAAATTAAGAGTGAAGTTGAATAAGTTAAAATTATAGAATAAAATATATAATAGAAGGTTTACAGAATTTGTGTAACTAATTATTAGATTAATTTTAACTCATTCAGATTATATTTTATACTAGCTTGTTTACTAATTAATATGCAATAATAATGACTAAATGTAATCTTAATTTTAAAAAATCAATTCAAAGACTAAAATAGATACAAATAGAAAATTGAATTTGAAATTTAACTTTAATTTGGAATATATAAAAGGGTTTTTTTATTTTTTTCTAATTTATTTGAACACCACTTGATTATGTAATGATGAGTTCTACTTATTTTTAGCTTGTTGTTTATCAAGTTGCTAGGGACAAATTTGATTAACTTTATAATGTTATAAAATTGAGAATTAGTGGATGTGTTACAGAAATCTGTTCTTTTTCTTGTTTTATTTTATTTTTTTAAAGGAAGATCGGATAGGGTTCATGAAAGATTTTGTATTTTTATATTTGTCGCATAATACAGAAAGTTATTCTGTTGATTTTTCTTTTATCAAAATGTTGATTTATCGCTCACATCGAGATGTCAAATTCAAGAACATATAAAAATTAAAAAACATATCAATGAAAATTTATAACTTATCAACATTTTAGAGTTATTTAGATCACAATTTTTAGAAATAGTTTTGAAAATTAAAAAAAAAACATTTTTAAAGTAATAATTCTCCCTACAAAGCTTAAAATTATCTTTGAGATAGCTTTTAGAGGTGGAGAAACAAGTTCTGTATAAGCATTTTTGAGGGAAAAAAATACAAATCAATACTTCTTTTAAATCGTTTTAAGTATTTTAAAAACTTTTCTTAACGTATAAACTAAATATAATGAAAAAACTTTAGAGAGTACTTTATTTTATGATAAAAACATGTTATAATGTAGACCGTAGATATCTAATCAGATTAATTAGTTTGGGTACTGTCATGTCTCCAACTCATATGTAAGAAAAGTTAAGGATTGTATGCTAGAATATTGCAATAATCTATTTGTAAATTAGCATATGCTGTTACTAAAACTGTAATGGTGTGATTTTGACAATAAAAAAAATTAATTTCTCTTTTGAAACATACGGATACTTCTTTTTATCTGAAATTATATCATATATAGAATTATTATAATTGTGAAGAAATATCCATGGATTTTTATAGATTTTATTTTTTCTTTCACATAAGATTTTGGAACTTTCAAATCTTACCTATTAAAAAATATCTTCTTACACAAGAGAGGAAGGGACAAAAGGAATAGGGCACCATAATTGTTGAGAATCTAGGGCACAATATTGGCATTTTTTGTCAGACAAAACACATGCCAAACTTTTGTTGCCCTATTCACACTTGGTCCCAACTCCCAAATTCCAAAAATATCAAAAGAAAAAGGAAAAAGGAAAAAAAAATAAATAATAAAAGGAAAAAGGAAAAAAAAATAAGTAATATTATTTTTAAGGCTCGTTTGGTAATACTAAATTTTTCGATTTCCAATTTGTTACAAAATATAAATATAAATATTGTTTCATCATCCTTGAATCCATGGATTTAAGAATATGTAATTATTCTATTTATTTTTTCTGTTAACAAAAATAAAAAATAAAAAAAAATTATCAAATGGTCTTTAAAGAATCAATCCATAGGCGTGTGTCCTCTAAATTCATCCACCTGAGCCATTTCCCAACCCATCAAGTGGGCCCTCTACCCATTGTCAAGTTGCCCCATTTGCAAATTGAGCACATTTTAATGGGCCCAATTGACTTGAGTTCCATTATGGCCCAAATCCATGTGCAATAGCATCCCAACTATTTTTAAAAATTCATCTYTTTTTTATAAAGAAATAATAAATAAATATGTTTTTTATTATGTGGGGCAGGACGWTGATTCTTTAAACATTTGATCGATGATATAATATCTATATGTCAATTACCACTGAACTATGTTCGTTTTGACAACATCTTAACTAATTGAGTTATGCTCAAATTGACGAACTATCATTATTGGTTAACATGATTAAGATATTAAAACTGAAACTAAACCATATTTGATTAGAAATATTTCATTTAACTTCAAACTATGTAGTGTTTTTTCTATCTTACCTCTTACGGGTTAATAGTTTCAATTCTACCCTCAATATTTAAATTTTTGCTGAGTAGAAAGAATGAAAATAGGATTCAACTTTTGACGATGTTAAGTACAAAATTGAATTCAAATATACATACATCAAGAATACTTTTCTACGATTAATTAAGTTTATAAACAAATTAGTAGTTCTTACGATTATGTTGTTGCAWTTTATATATTTGAGTAAGATCTCAAAAGTACTCCTATAAAATAGAGTGAAATCGTTATCAAATAAGACATAAATATTATTTTTTTTCTCGACTCGGGAAGCTTGCCATTGCTTGTCATAGAAGGTGGCTTCTTCAGCTAGCTTTCTCAAGCCCTCAGCATCCTCAGTTTGCCTAAACAGTAACACACTAATGACGGTTACAAAAAGAGCTGATTTGCATAGGAAATTACCACTTTGCCAAACTATTCCAATTCCTGTTAATGCATCTACTACGTAGGCCACGAAGAACCCTAACATTGCCGCCCTACCTACACCGATAGAAAATATTAACAATCAGGTAATACGAGGATAATTCAACTTGTTAAAATATTAATAGTTTTTTTTTTTCTAAGTCAAATGTTTGAATCCTCACCCCTTGAATGATGTAATATTAGGGAAAAAATAATAAAGAAATGATACTTTACTCAAAGTATTTATAAAACGTATATCGTCACTAGTTCCAAAAGGTTAAAAATGACGCGCTTGATTGACGTCGTGACCGGGTGTCAGAATTCATTAGTCAAAACCAAATTGTCTTGCAAATCGGAGGGTCACACAATTTCAATATACATATCCGACAGGATCGGTTTCGTTTTGGATCACGGAGACCCACACGGGCGGGACATGGAGACGTAAAAAATGAGATCCTATCAGCTTGTTCCGACGTAGGATAATAAGCTCATGAGCTTAGTCTTACTTCACCATTGAGAAACGAAAGAAGACTTCTTATTTTTGTAATTTTAGCGGCGGCTTATATAGGCGAATCCATGGAGGGTCATCGTACATAATTGAAATTTTTAAGAAAAAAAAGAGAAACTTTTTTTTTTAATAAAATAGAAGACTGAAAATTTAATAGTTATCAGTTTAATGGATGGGTAAAAGTAATTTTATAACACCTAGCCGTGTTTGGTTAAATTTTGAAAAAGCGGTCAAAAGTGTCTTTTCCGGTTGAAGAACTAATTTTCTACCAAAAGTAGTTTTATGAAAAGTGTTTTAAAGTGAAGCATTTATATTTTTAAAAATCTAATTAAATGTTTCATCCACAAGCATTTTAAGTACTTTTTATTTGTTTTTAGATTTTCTCATCATTTAATTAGTTAAAAACATTCATTAAAATTTTAACCAAAAAAACTCTTAAATTAGTACCATTAAGTAGCTCTGCCTGTGGGAGGTATGAGTTTGAGAGCCATGCCCACCATGGAATGATGGAGCTTCTGAAGAGCACTGGATGCTGATTTGTAGCTGCTTCTGGATATATTTCAAGAATCTTCCTCCTCTTTGCCTCTACATTTAAAAATTTAAGTGTAAACCCATTGCAATTTAACATAGAAAAAGAAAAAATGGTTAATTTAAAAAAATAATAAATAAATAAATAAAGACCTCGAATTTTGTGATTGGTTTAAAAAATACTCTTTTAACAAACATTGTTTCAATATTTTGAATGCAAAGTTGGTGTAGCAGAATCTGGAACARCAACGTGGAAGTTGACGTGGCATATAGGTTCTTCCACTTAATCTATTGTCAATAGAGTTTGCTTTTCGATTGTGTACCCAATTTTACGCTCATCCCCTTTTTAAAATATGATTGCTTATTGTCACGTCGTTCCAAATTCTATCATGTCAATTTTTTTGGTCAAAATATTAACAAGTGTTCACTCAAATGATATTTTTGAAAGGTCTATGAAAGGTCAATAAAAGAATAAGAACATTTTTTTAAACAAATGGATAAAGTTTAGGGATATGTTTGTAATTTAGCATATATATATATATATCCCTTTCATTTATTATCAGAAATCATAAATCTCTGCTCTTAAAAAATCACATGTTTAAATTATGATATTGATAGGTTACGATAAATTTAATCACTAAACGAAGGATTCGGTTTACATTTACCTGCAACAATGACACCTTCCCAATCCATCTTGCCATTCTTCACAAACATATTAAGATCCCATGTCCCATTTTTCCATCTCTCATCTGTGAACCTTTCTCCATGGTTCCATGCATCAGTATCTTCATTTAGCTTGTCTCTACCGTGTCGTTCAGCAGTGTCGAAACTGTCCCGACCCCCACCATCAACATTGATAGTACTAACGACTTCCGGGGCCGGGAAGGAATAGGCGGGTCTGGCTTGATAATGAGCATGCTGTTTCTTCTTGGAGACATGATGTTGTGAAGTGCATACTGTTGGCAATGAGGCTGAGATAGCAGCAGATATTGAAGCCATGTCTTTCAGATTTCTAACCTTTTTTTTTTATCTCATTTTATTTTTGGACTTCCTTTTATATTTATTTTCCTTTATCTGCTAAAGTTTGCTTTTAGATCAATAAAGACAGAAGTTGCCCATGCCTTGGACATGAGAAAGCTTATCTTGTCACAGCCATTTTGCAGGTGGAGGTTATGGGCATTTTGGAATAAGAGCATTAAATTTAAGATGTAAATAAAGTTGGTAATAACTAACAATTATTATCCTTAATGTATTTTGGTTGTGTTTATTTCATTTCAACGATGAAATTTGTCAAATGGTTCATGTAATTGCCAATAAGTAAGCATTATAAATCAAAATTATTCCTTTTTTTTTATACAACGGGTTGGATTCAAACTCATGACCTCTTGGTCAGAGATAAATGTCTTAACCACTTGAGCTATGTTCAGTTTGGCAAAATTATTCCATTTCAATTGCTCATAATCCAATAGGTTGAGACATTTTACAAACTACTATGCTGAAAAAAAAGATACTAAAGTTTGAACAATTTATGCTAATCCACATCCTGTGTATGCTTCACAAGTTGAAGAAAAATCATATAAAAACTAATAAGGTTCATCTTTGATCCACCCCTCAATGTATATAGATTATGCTTCCCAACCTCTGAGAAGCGTGGCACGTGCGACCCGGTTCACGCCCAACGTGAAAGCGCCCATCCGCAGGTTGCAGTCGTGTGACTTGCACATGTTCTTGATGTTGTGAAACGCTCTGGTCATGTACCTCTGAAGTTCATTGTTTACCTTGTCTTCATCCCACATGAAACCTTGAATGTTCTGCAAATTCAAGTACAATATTGATATAAGAGTTCAAAGCTTTGTAACTGTTTCCAATAAGATAACAATCAACATTATCAGGGAAAACAAGCCTTGTTCCTCTCTTTGTTTACCTGAACCCACTCGAAATAGCTTACGGTGACTCCACCAGCATTCGCGTATATGTCGGGTAGAATTATGACTCCCTTCTTGGATAGAATCTGCAGCAATGGAGATCAAAAGATCAGAAACTAATCCATGGTTTCTTATGATTTCCTACTACTTTTTCATGGTTTTTTGTTAACGTAGGCAATGATTTATTTAGTTTAGGCTATAGAATACTCAAGAGGGAGGTTATAAGTATCTTGGGAAGCCATTGTACTTCTTTGTCTTTTATCTTTCAATACAACTTTAATTCTTTAGTTTCTATTGAAATTCCGCTCTCGTTCTTTGGACCTACTTCGAACCGAACAAAAAAGGGTTAGTTACCTCATCTGCCTCTGGATCTGTGGGGTGGTTTGCTGCTTCAATTATGAACTTGGCTTTCACATCAGCAGCATTCTCTCTGTAAACAACACAAAACATTTATGACTATACAGATATGTACATGGTAACATTGACATTTCAGGATCAGCTTTCATGAGACTTGATCATGAAGAACAGAACACACCTGTTTAGAACTCCACCTAAGGCACATGGGATAAGAACATCACAGTCATGAACAAGTAGCTCGTTCGGATCCATACTATCTCCGCCTTCAAAGTTCACTAGGCTTCCAGTACTTTCTTTATGCCTGTGGAGTTCCGGTATGTCGATACCGTTCGGGTTCGTGACTGCACCAGTGATATCGCTTACTGCAACAACCTTTCCACCTTTCTCATGTATAAGCTTTGCTGCCCAATATCCCACATTTCCAAATCCCTGCATTTATATTTTTTGTCATTAAGCTTTCTATGGAAAAAGAGAGCATTTTGCAACCAAGAAGGCAGGAATGAACATGTTTGAAGTACCTGAATACCAAAAGTCATATTCTTGATCTGTTTTCCATGTTCAGCAAGTAAAGCCTCTGTTGCAAAAATGACACCGCGCCCAGTTGCAGCTTCTCTACCCAGTGATCCACCCAAATCCTTAAATTGCAAAAGGTACAAAGTCAGAAAAAGGAGCAAAAATAATACTTCAAGCTCAGGAACTTGTAAAATTTTGGTATCTCAGGGAATTTACTATGGGCTTTCCAGTGACAACAGCTGGCGAGTGACCATGAAACTTTGAGTATTCATCCAAAATCCATGCCATAGTCTGCAAACATCACCGAAGAACATGAGTTCAACTTCATAATGAACTAAGAGTACTAAAAAGCACTTTCTCACAAAATCACCACAGTTAGAAATAACATAAAAAATACTTTTGACTGCACTGAAAGAACTTATAGAATGCTTTCAGCTCAACGTCAAAGTGATATGTTAGAACACATCTGCTGTAGAAGCACTCTCAAACAAAACTAGTACTTTCAAACTGAATTCAAGCATTAAAGAAAAACTTGATAGAGCAGAATCCAATTAACCTGTGCATTAGTGCCCATATCTGGAGCTGGAACATCGGTATGAATTCCAATGAGATCGTGAATCTTTTGTGTAAAAACACGAGTCAACCGCTCCAGCTCACTATTACTCAACTCCCGTGGATTGCAGCCAATCCCACCCTTTGCACCACCATATGGAATATCAGCAACAGCAGTCTTCCAGGTCATTAATTGAGCCAAAGCATTCACTTCATCGGGATCAACCTTTTTAAAACAACCATTCATCTCAATAAACCAAAAGTAGCAATAATAATAAAGTTCAAGAAACTATTACGGATTCAAGTCATCAGACGTTTATTTTCTTTTTGCAAGAATAGAATTCGGTATAGGAGATTTGAACACAACAAATGTGGGGTATAAGAACTCGAACCTCTTACCTTAAAGAAAATAGTAGATATCGTTAATGCTCAACTAACTCACGTTGGCAAGGTTAAAAAAATCTAATCAAGATTGTATCCAGAAATCATATATGAAATTCTACAGGAGCCTTGACAACATGGCCATCAATTCTATAGAGCGGTTTTATTGCAATTTGCAACAGAAACCAAAAGTATATATTTACATAACTGTCAAATTATATCAAATATTTTCCTATCTAAACTGTTTTACATTTACAACAAATGTTCAACAAGCAAATCTTACAGTGAAACTTCCTCCATGGCCTTTACTTTCATATTCAAATGTAAGAAATTTTTGTATAAAAAGTAAAAACAAAACAAAAAAGGTACCTATCAATGGACATTACCATTTTACAAATTGGGTCTATACTAGCAAAGAGTGGGCCGGCCCAAATTCACTTGGTTAGAAGTCAATTCTTGAGTTTAAAAAAGAGAAACAAACAAACAACTTTTCAAGGGAAAAAGAAACAGATATGGTCAAACTATAAAAAATAATAAAAAATTTGGGCACTTTACAATAAAAGTTTTCTAAATAAAGTTTAGGTCCAATCTACCTTTCTCTTTCAAGTTTAAATGATGAATTCCTCTTCAAATGGAAAGATAAATATGTAAAATCTATTTAGAGAAGAAGAAGAAGAGAATAAAAAGTAAAAACCTCAGGATGGTATCTGATTCCTCCTTTCATGGGGCCACGCGCATTGTCGTGTTGCACTCTGAACCCGACGTACGACACCAAGCTTCCGTCGTCCTTTGGAATTGTGCACTCCACCTGTTCTCCAATGCCAAATTCAACCAGTCAATCAATCGTCTTTGATTGGCAAATGAGGAAAAGCGAGAAAGCGATTTTCCCGAGAAACAAACAGAACCCAGGCGGCCAGAAAATGAAATCAAATTAAAAATAGTTTGGAGTGGAGGAAAAAAACCTTGATCTCTCTGAACGGAATCAGAAGACTCTTCTCGAGCTTGGAGTCCAATCCGAGAATCCGAGCCGCGTGGCGGAAATTTCTGTTGGTTGCTGCGAGGGCGTTCATCGCTACTGCTGAGAGAAACTTGGAAATAGAGATTCCCGGAAAATAAATGCCGAGAAAAGAAAATTTGAGCTCAAGAGAGTGAAAACGAAGGATAATTTAGAGAGAGATTGAGAGGAAAATTTATAGGCTGCGATCTATGAATCGGAGTAGACAAAGGAATCCAAAAGGAAGAAGGAAGCCGAATGATGAGGACGAAAAAGGAATTTTCACCGTAATTTAGGGGTATTTACGTAATTGTGAATTTGTTTTCAAGACGGAAGAAAATAATCCCATCCCCGGTAATTTGGATCTTGTCCTTAAAACGTGCAAATATTCTGCTCCCCAATCCCGGGTTTTTATCCCTTTTTTTATTTTAAATTCTATTTCATTTTTATCCTAATTTTAATTTCGAAAAATTAATATTACAAAGTTGTGAAATTAATACTGATTATGTGATTTCTTTTTTTTTTTTAGATGAGATTACTTTTGTGAAGTGAGGAATGTTTTTTTTTTTAATTGAGTTTGACATATTCATCGTTGAATGATTGGATTTGGGCATTTATTTTTCTTAATATTAGTTGTTTAGTTGATTGAATTTTGTGTCATTTATTAATTTGTCCCATAATAATATTCAAACTTAGTTGTGTAGATGTATTAATTTTATTGCTTATTTAACTTTTAGTCTGAAAAGATTACAATAAAAAATGTAAAAAGGTAATTTGACGGTGTAATTTGTTGGCTATATATTACTATAAATTAATTAACACATTAGGAATCCCTTTATATTAATCAAAATAATAAAAAAAAATATATATATATATATATTGCATAATAAATAAATAAAATATATCATAAAGGAAATAAATATTATGAAAATTTCAATGGATAATAATTATGATTTTTGTTAATATGTCAATTTTTAAAAGCTTTTATAAACTTAATTGTGTGTTTTTTCTTTTTATGTAATTCCCTTTTTACTTTCATATATCACTCATTTACATCACGTGATAAATATGTCACAGAAGATTTTATCATCGATAGAGATTTTTTTTTATCAATTTATAAAGTTGATAGATGCATATCAATAATATAGTTCATCAATGATAGATATGTTCATAAGCGATCGTTACGTTTTAAATAATTGTTTTACATTTTTACTTTCTTTTATCTATACTACTAATAATTTTTCTTCTAATAAAAATGTATACAACTTTTATTAGTTGATATGATTTTATTATAAAATACTACAAATTTCTATTTAATTAATGTCAATACATTTTTTAAAATAGAATTCATCATTGTTAAATATTACAACAATAAAGTTTAATGATATTTTATATTAAACAATAGTCATTCTAATACAAAAATTATTTTAATTGATGTATTTTTGTATTTATTTTTTTGTTAATATTAAATAAATTGTTGTAATAAAAATATTTACTATTAATAACATAAATTAAAATTATATTATTTTAATGAAAAAATATTAACATAATAATGTATTTATCAGTAGTAGTTATAAATAAAAAAGAGTATACTAATAATTTACATATATCTTATTCGATCGTATAGAGAACAATATTAAAAAATGTATAATCATAATTTCAAAAGGTTTATAATTTTCACCGTAAAAATTATAAGGATGAAAAGGCTGACTTTTGGACGAACGGGTTTGGTTGGTAGCCGCCATTAAATATTTTCAAATAATGGAGTAATGGCAGCCAACAACTCAACTCCACGTGGCTTTGACACATCACCCTTGATCATTATCCAGAAAACGTCCAACACGTTTTCTGTTCGCTGCATCAAGATGAGGTGGCCAGCACCGAATCTCGAGAAAGAGGGAGGAGGATAAATTTTCAATCTTTTTACTAATTTCATATTATTATTAAGGTTAAATTAACGCTTTAGTCCATTTAGTTATTGTTTTATTTTAGTTCGCCCCCAAAGTTTTGAAGAATCACAAATTAGTCTCTATTCGTGGTTTAATCTTTTAAAATATCACTTTAATATGGCACTTCATTTTCTTTTGCACCATACTAGAGGCAATAAATTAACGTTCGATAAAAAGTATTTGCAAATATCTTGGTAGTTGATTGAATTGAGTAAGTTATGGAAGGATGACTCGAGTGAGTAGTTTAAATAACTTGAAACCTTGATACATTTCGCCGAATATAATTTGCTAACTAACTTTCCCACATATACATTACATTAAATATGAATAATGTAAGAAAATTATTCACACAAAAATGCTTAAGTGATTTCATCGAATCATACAAATTAAATTGAAATAAGTATAAATTGTAAGGACTAAATTGATAATTTAATTTACTATTATTCATAATTAGTTTTATTTATTGTAAATTAAGATTAATACGATATCTTTTCAATAATCTATTAAGTAGGTACAATCAGTCAATCTAAATCTAATTTAATTGGGTGAGACATATATCGCGAATCAAAACGATCTTGTCCATATTAATAATTTTCCAAATATTTTTCCATATAATATATATATATATTTTTCATGTTGGTGTATGTTTGAATCAAATCCAAGTCTACCTATATTTAGATTAATGGATAACGTGGTGACCCTTTGAATTTCCAAAGGCTACAAAACATTTAAAGAAAAGAAAAAGTCAAAGAACACTTTTTAAAAACTCAAAAAAAAAAATGGTGTAGAAAACAAGTCAAAATCAAAATCCAATTCCAACACTTCAAATAAATAAATAAACACATGCATATATGTATGTATAAGGGTTTGGGAAGGACAAAATATTTACTAAGAGTTAAAAGTACGTAGGATAAATTGCTTCAAAACGTTATTATTAGGGGCTATTGATTCGTTGGAAATCGCAACAAGCATTCGACATCTACATTTATTTTATAGGAACGTAGGATTCTTTGACATTTCAAGTTGATCGGTATCCTAAGTCGCCTATATTAAAGTATTTATCCAAGGAGTTTTTGGTACCGTCTTGAAACATGAATTTGTAAGATTGCATCTTCTCCCTACATTTTTTCCCTTCATTTTGTTGTTTTTATATTTCATTTATAGTTTTATAATTAAATTAAATATTGGTTCATGAATAACCAACATTTATCTATAAAATAAATTTCAACTAAATTGAATAATATCTCAATTTTTATTTAGTTGGTAAATTCTCTTAAAACTATATTAATTATATATGTAAAAAGAATCATAGAAACCAACATTATTATTTTCCTCAATATTTTTTCTAATTTGATAATGTAAAAACATAATTCAATAAAGATGTAGTCCATTATTATATTTTTTTTTTAGGAAAGTTCACACTAAAAATGAAATTAGTAGTTAATATTAAATATTTTGTAAAAAAAACACAAATTAATATAAATTAATGTGTTCTAGAAAATAGCATTTAAAATAAATATAAAATTAAATTGATAAAATAAAATAAAATATTAAATTAATAAGTCATCAAAGTTAATGTATAAGGATGCGTTTTTGAGTGATTTTAGCATGGTCAAAATCACATTTGTCATTGTCAAAATCAGTCTCGTTTCCATTGATCATATTTAGCAAATTAAAAATTGATATTTTAGGAAAGCTTAAAATCACCTTAAATTGATTTTTAAGAAAACACTTATAGTTAAATCTTTTTTTTCAAAATCACAATCAATCCCAATCACGCTCTAAATTACATGAATATTAGTAGGAATTTTTTTTTTTTTTTTTGGAACAAATGTATAATTTTTAGACATTTTAAGTACAAATTCTACAAAAAGAAATCAGAATCGACCAAAACAAAAGTAGAATATTAAAAATATTTTCCAGGTTGAAGTGTGCATGGAATTCATTCATCTCTAGGTTCACCAACATTAAATTTTTTATAGGTAAGAGATGAACATGGAAAATGAATATGTTTTTTTTTCTTAAATAGCTAATCAAAATTTTAGTAGCAGTGGGTAGGAAGATAGTTTGATCCATGCTTAAGTATTATTCTTCTGGAGGGAAAAATATAGCATGACACGTGGACCAATTATTCAACTTGGTGAGGTCAAACATGTTTAACCAGTCTAATGGAGAAGACCAACCTACCTTAAAGACCGAGCTAAAGACCAAACCAACGGAAGGAATGGCCTAAATCCTCTCCCACCAACCTTAGAACATCGACCTCAAGCCAAACAGCCAACCTCAGACTCGATAGCCCGTAACTGCTTATCGAAGCGGTGCCAACAGGCTTGCCCCTCCTCCCTCCTCCCGCTGTAAAAGGTACACCATTCCACTATTTCGAGTACACAATTTTGCTCTGAGAACAATTTTTCTGAACTTGCATCTTAATAACTTGAGCGTTAGAGTGTATGTTTCCTTTTTTACTGGTCTTATCTTGTTCAAAATTACTAACTTGTCCAATTGTTACATGATCAACCTCGGTAACTCAGTAAAATCTTGCATGAACATAAATTTTCATGGATCGAACTTTAAAAAAAATCTAAAATTTCCCTAGATTTATTATACCACACCAAATACACTCATTATTCCATTACAACTCAAAGATAAGAAGGGTATGATTTGCAACAGACACGGGACATTTCAAGCAATTTTTAGAACATTGGGTATGATTTGCAAATAACAAACTACAGAGGTGTAAATTGCAAACATTTCATAATAAAGTACACAAACCATAGCGATAGTTTGAAAAAATAGCAATATTTTTCACGAGGTTGAAATTTTGAAGATATTTGACAACATCACATGCTACGCTCTAAATAAAGAAAAACGTGGAGTTTGACAAAAGCAAATAAATGCTTTCCCAATTGTTTTTTTTTCCCCTAATATGTTTGTTTTTCCCCTAGTTAGGAATAATTATAGTTTACTATGTTTGATACATAAAATTCGATTATACATAAATTCGGCCTAATCGAATGATTAAATTAGCACCACTCTTCTAAAAGTAAAACAACAAAAAAATAATAATAAATACACTTAAATGGTTAAAGTTAGAATCGAATTTAGGTTAAGCACCATAAAAATTAAGGTTTTGTAGCACACATCTAGATTACAAAATTTTCCTCCCAGAGGAAGAAACCTAAGCAATATCTCATCTTAATGAGCCCTCAAAGGAATTAAGAGAACGGAGAACATAGGTACAGATTTGGATCTAGCTAGGGACTCGTCTTGTGAGCTCGGCTAGGTTGTTCGGCCAATGGGATCACCCCCTCATGCTTAGCTCCCTGGATTCATCCCCAAAGGCTCACCCTCTTAGATCTTATTTTAACCTAAAAGTTTTAATTGATCTGTACTGGTTTTCTAGACCTTTTTGTAGCTTGCTGTAGTTGTTGCTTTATTTTATTGGATAATTATTGAAGGAAAAATATTTGTCACTTTTTTTTTTTTTAATTTTACATTATCACGTTGGAATCAATGGAGGAAAAATAGAAAATCAATTCATCAAATTAATCTTTTGGATAAGAAACCTAATTTGTATTGCACAACTCAATCATAGTTCTTGATTTTATTGGGGTTGTGGGTGAGATAATTATATGCATGCATATCGCGACCTCGTCCTTACTTAACTAACATTGTCTTGTTAACTCCAACCATTTTAGTTCTCAAGTGTTTATGGTGGTTTGTGATCTTGTTTAGGAACTGATAAGATCGGGTATGACTGAGTTTGGTGAGGAGACCTACATAAAAGAAGCAAATACTCTGATGCTCCAGTCAGTAAAAGAGCAATCTTAGGTCACAAGCTGAGCTTAAATTGCGTATTTGAAGTCAAAATGATGCCTCTAATCAGGCAGCAAGAATGTCCGACTGTTCAATTCTACCGTCAGATCTTTAAGGTCGAAGCATGACAGTGCCTTCGACCAAGTGGAGTTATACCAAGCTTACAGATTACATTATGGCCGAGCTTCAAGATCGGTCACATCGTGTCTCCGAACTTCCGAAGAAAGATCTTATAATACTGATCTTTTCTAGCTCTCCACACAGCAAATTCATTTTGACCCTCCAACAAGGTGAGTTCATTCGCGTAGTAACTCGTCTCAAACCTAATAATATAAGAACGATACACTCAATGATATGTCACCACAATCTATATCGATCTAATACATGACATCCCACGAACATAGATATTGTCAAAGGTATAAACATATTTGGCAAACATTATACTCATATCTTCAATTAGCATTAACGGGCATAAATTTTGAACGATGATTATGTTATTCATCTCAAACCAAACACCAAAGAAAGAGCATGAAAAATATGACCATGCCCTTGCCAATTTCAAAAGTCAAATTTAATTTTGAAATCATTAAGTCTTCTCATAAGATTGCTTGGCCAAAGTCTTTTTAAGACTTTAAATATGGTTTCCCCACGTCATAGTCACACCCTATGCATTGGAGGAGATTGCATTTCGGTGGCTAAGTATCAAGGAATTTCGGTTACAACATCGTTAGTCTTTCTCGGTGGGACACATCTCATTGCCATTTTTTCTTTTTTCATTGCAAAATAACTATTCAACTAAATTAGAGACTTCTCAATATCAATTTTGGTTTTTTTTTCTCTCAATTTTCTCAAAATTAACGTCGAGAACAAAACATAGAAATTATTGGTAAACAACCCTAATTTTCAAAAAATTAAAAAATAAAAAAAGAGAGACTATTATTTTTTTTTAATCATTTACCATAAAGATTTAAATATTATTTTGGTATTCTTTTCACTTTTGACTTTGGGTTATTTTAATCGCTGTACTTTCAAAATTTTCTTTCATTTTAAAAGTACACGGACTAAATAGTATTTATACCTACAATAAAAGATCACAAAAATTACGTTTACCTAAAAATTGCATTCTTTCAGCGTGTGATGTTTTTTTTTTTTTAAACTGTATTCTTTGTTTTAAAACCACAAGCTTGTGAAAAAACTTGGAAAAAGAGCCTCCCAACATATCCAGAATTATTAATGTGTAAAAGGAGAGCAGAAGCCAAACAGTACCTACCTAAGATATAAATTGTATGTCCAAAAGAAGCCATATAATACCTGCCTGAGATATAAATTATGTCCAAAGGAGCCATATAGTACCTACGTAAGATATAAAATATATGTCCAATGAGTTTTTCGATATCAAATATTATTAAAGCTCGATAATGATCCTTCAGAACATAAGTTTTTCTATGTCATACTACAAAGGAAAAACCACCAGAACAATTGTTCTACTAAATGCTAACCTGAACATAACTCAACTGGTTAAGGCACTTATCTCCGATCAAAATATCATGAATTCGAATTCTCATCCTTACATATTGTGTCTTAAAAACACCAAATTTTACTCGGATAACTTATTGACACTAGTTTGAACTAACATGCACTTTCTCTTCTGTTGAACAAAGAAAATAATGCAAATGTATATGTAGAAGCACATACTTCCATCTCCCATGTTTTTTCTAAGTTTCCTACTAAGTTTTGATGGGATACAACACTTCTAGTAACTATCTGCAAAAGTAGCAAATTAATCTATATAGAATCAAGTTGCTGCACATGATATAGAATCGAATAAGCAAGCCTATCGACAAATTAACGTAACAGAGCAACACATCTATAATTCAACAAGTCAGCATTTACAACCAACCATTTATCAAATGAAAACTCAACGATGAAACATCCAATTCCAACCAACTGTTTTCTTTGATTCGTTAGAAGTTAGTAGAAATGTAACTACGCAATGGTTGTAGTCGAAGTCTATTATGGATTTCTGACCACATTCTTCATCATGCAACTCAACCAATATAATCAACGATCACGTGAAATAAAGCGTAACTATATCAAGAGACGTCATTGAACTATTTCTACTAAACACAACCATAACATCATTAGATTATCTAATCCAACCCTGTGGGTAACCTTTGGTTTTGTTTTTGGTTTTCCATTCAATAAAAACAGGGTTGTTTCTGACCATTCTAAAATTTTACAAAACATTTTCTTTATAAGAAACTGAGCTTCGTTAAGACAAATGAAAGAATAGAATGTACAATAGCATTAAAAGAAAGTGTTTAACCAAAGGAAGCCAGGCATTTTCAATTTTCAAATAGAACAGATTTCCATTTTTCAAGATCTCGAGTCTTTCTTCTTCCAAGATCTCGAGTCTTTCTTCTTCCAAGATCTCGAGTCTTTCTTCTTCGTTCCAATACTTTTCACATATAGCCACCCTATCTCCCTAACATTCTCTCTCTAACACATCTCTCTCCCTACTTCTCTACTCCGCTCACCAACTGCTTTCTCTGATTTGTTAGAAGTTAGCAGAAAGGTAACCATAAGGCAAGAATCAAGTGATACAACATACCTATAAGTTATAACTTGCAAGATGATGTAATGAAGCAGCTCATCAATTTAACCTGCATCCATTGCCCTCCTTACTTGGCATATCAACAACAACATATATCTGAAATAATTACTTCCCCTGCTGCAAGTTAGTTTACTAATACTCAAAATTATAGATTCATAGATTGGGCCTTAACTATAAACATTGATATAATTTATCAAAAAAAATTCACCAAAAATATAAAAGACATGTTGGTTAATGAATAACGAGCGAATGCTGGATCAGCTCTGTTATGATATCCTTACAACCACCTTGTTTTTCTTTCCTGCAGATAGAAGCAGAACCTTCCCATCTACAATGTCTGCAGCTTCAACTCTCTTGCCTTCAGAATCCACTCTACTATTATTCAAATAAAGCCCCCCTTGCTTCAGCAATCGACGGGCAGCTGACTTGCTTTCGAGCAAACCAGAAGTAACCGAAAGATCGACAATCAAAAGATTCAACACTTGATCATACCCCAATGAGCAGCACGGAACATCCTCAGCAATCCCCTCAATAGTCTTCCAGTCCAACTTTGTCTCTGCTCCTGGTTTCAATGCCTCAGTGGCCTTAAGGGCTTCACTCAAACCATCTTCTCCATGAACAAACCGGGTAACTTCTTCCGCCAGCCGCCTCTGCGCCGTATTCGGCACGTACCCGGAGCTCCCCATTTGGCTTTCCAAGTCTTGAATGTCCTTCATATCCAAAAATGTGAGGATCTTGAGAAATCTCGCCACATCAGCATCTGGGACACTGAAGAAGTACTGATAGAACTTGTATGGAGATAGCATTGACGGCGAGAGCCAGACGGCGCCGTCTTCGGATTTGCCGAATTTGGTGCCGTCGCTCTTCAGCAGAAGAGGGAACGTTAAGCCATAAACGCCATCAGCATGAGGCAAAATTTTCCTAATAAGCTCTGTCCCTGCAGTGATATTCCCCCATTGATCACTACCACCAATCTGAACAGAAACACCCTCGTTTTGAAACAGATGCAGAAAATCATAAGCCTGCAAGAGCTGGTAAGTAAACTCAGTATAGCTCATTCCTTGCTCCGATTCCAGCCTTCTCCTGACGCTCTCCTTAGCCATCATCGTCCCCACTCTCGCAAACCGACCCACTCCTTTCAAGAAATCCAGAAATCTGAACTCCTTCCACCAATCGTAATTATTTAGAATCACAAAGTTAGGGCTGAAATTCGAATCCGAGCCCGAATTCCCCAAAATTCTAGCTATGGAATTGGTAATTCCAAGAGTGTTGGCCTCCAAGGTCTTGAGGTCAAGCTCGGGCCGCTCCAGGCTCTTGCCGGAGGGGTCGCCGACTCGCGCGGTGGCGCCACCGATGAGAGCGACGGTAGCGTGGCCGCATCGGCGGAACCAAGAGAGAACGATGAGACCAAGGAGATTCCCCAAATGCAAGCTCTCGGCGGTGGGGTCGAAGCCGCAATAGACCTTGAGAGGGCTGAGAGAAGCCGAGCGGAGATTGTCGCTGGTGATGGACTCGAGAAGGCCTCTTTCTTCGAGAATTTCGACGACGTTGCGCCGAGAAGCGCTGTGGGGTTCGAGAGTGGAGGATTGGAGAGAACTTGCAGAGGAAGCGATGCAGCGGCAACTGCTTCTGACGGAGGAGAAGGAGACGGTGGACTTAGAGGAAATGTTGAAGGTGGAGAAGAAGAGGCTTCGTTGGGAGAGAAGGAAGGTTCTGGAGCCACAAGCAGAAGCAATGGCCGCCATAGTTGCAGCTCAGTTCTTGGTTTGCCGAAGCTCTGGTTAATGCAAAATCCCGTCGTGATGCCCTTCATTTGATAACATAATGTTTAGGTGTTATCGCAATTTTTGAGTTAAAATGGTATTTTCATCGCTCCCATCTAATGTCATTCTATATTAATCTCGTTAACTATTCACAAATAATTCATCAAATTCTCAACCTTTCATTCAGTATAAATTCAAGCAAACATTACCGGAGCTTGACATGTCGCAAATCCTCTTGAAAGAGAAGGGTACCTTCAAGAATGTAGATACTGGTGGCATCAACTCGCACCATAAGGTATTGAGTTAAGTCTCACAGCGAGCGCAACCGAGTATCCAATCTTTTGAACGGTTATCCAATTTTTTACTTATTTATATCCATGAATAATTTAACAAAATCCTTGAACATTAAACTTTTAACTTTTTTTTTCTGAGACGAAAAAAATATTTATTAGGTTAAGTTTTTAAATTATCACGTCCTAGCACATCACATATCTATTATTAAATTCTCGTTAATAATGATAATAGAATTATAAAGCATAAAAAAGAAAAATAAGGTTGAAGTATTCGAGTAAAAATGTAATCTAATCTCAATTAAGATATTTATCAAATCAAAAAGAATAAAGATGGCGTCTTTTATTACAAATTCTAAAAATAAATTCTCTAAAACCCTACAATTTATTAGTGTAATTACAAGCTACCTAAAAGATGCCACTTTTATTCAGGAAAAAAAACACATAGAATGATTATTGAAACTGATTTTTTCAAAATATATATATATATATATATGATAAAAACAAAAAAATATATATATATCTATTACTGTTCGTAAGATCTATTATAGATCCTCTCTACAATTGTTAGACTCAAAAATAAATAAATAAATAACACTAAACTATGGTCAAGATTGTAATTCAAATCGTTATCATGTTATCCTTGTCCTCCTTACTTGATGCGTATCTTTAATTTCATCTACTCAAATATCATGTTTTATCGACTTAATATTCAACTCCATAATCAATAAATATTTCATATATAATCGATAAATATTTTATATATGGCTGCGTAGAATTCAACAAAGTATATACTAAACCAGCATTAGATTTTTCCGTGAGAGAGGGCTCATTTAAGTATATCAATAGCATTTCATGCTGCTCCAGAAATGGTCAAGTCATGGAAACAAAAAGAAAGTTAGGAACTGCTTACCACAGATTATAGGTGGCCATAACGACACCAAACATACAGATAGAGCAACTTTTTTAAGGATTCTTTGGGAATATTTGATATTAATGGCATGCAGAGCTTCTTCCATGAACGTATTACTAACCCGTAAATGTCGAGCTTCATGTCTCTCACGTTTATGAGCTTGCAATGAAAGATATCTCGCACAACCCCGAGTGATGGAAACATTTTGGAAAGTTTATGAAAGCCATCATCTTTGAACTTTAATTTCTCACTACGTGCAGTTTACCTCAGGAGCTGCTCCAGCATCCACCCCAATTGGGCCTTATGAGACCAACTAAGTCATACTTCTTTCCTGTCAAAATACAAAAGAAATGAATTAGAATTTGAATGGTCAAACTGCTTCTAGACCTACTCATTGAGAGCACTGATCAGTTTAAAGAGACAAAAAAACAGATGATATGCGATAAATTACGTGTTGTTTTCTCTTTCGTCGATCAATTCCACCACTCTTCATGTCATTTTTTGCAAGTCCAGACCCAGGGGGAATACCATATTGCATTGGAGAAAGGGCAGGAGCACCAACAGGAGAAGCTGCCATGCCAGGGGCTGTTGCAGCGGGCACAGGTGCCTGAGGTGGAACAGAAACTGGGGGTGGTAAAGCTGCAGGTTCGGGAAGCGGTCTCGGTAAAATGTGTTTCAAACGATTGTTTCTGTAGTTCTTCCAAAAGTAAAATTGCTGCCTGTGTGACAATTCCTAAGAAATTCCAAATAGTGGAAAGTGTGTTAAAATGTTAAGAAAAGGGAAAAGGAAAAATATCTGACATAAAGAGTAAACAGTTTGTTAGGGAAATACACTAAACGAAACAAGATAACGGTATTGCAATCTCAAAAAGATGCTACAATATCGATAGCCTTTCAAGAGGGATATCTCTCTCCCAAGAACTATACTAAGTTCTCCACCTTAGACTATTCCCAACAGATGACCTCCTTCTCTCCCACCACCTCTATTATATTCCACTCACCCCTAACTAATTACCATAAGGCCCCCACTACCATACTAATAATATTCCTAAACTATCCCTAATAGGACTCTCACACAGTTCAAGTAAGCAACAAATATCTATCACAAACTGGTGGAGATCGGAGACGTTTCGAATTTGACCAGTCATGCCAAACAAGAAATAAAACATAACAGTCAAACTATACCAGAGACGTTTCCTTACAGTCCCAAACATTGATGAAGTAGATCAAAGCATAAAACTGATAGCGAATAGAGTAAATCTCTTTAAAATAATTATACATGAAAAAAAAAGGACCAATGAACAACCTCAATGTTGCACCACTTTCCCTTAAAATATTAGCTAGTTTAAAACCAATATTAGAAGAACCAGGTGGTTACTGTGATGAGGAAAGAGAAGCCTGATAACAATTGAACTGGTACTTGATAAAATCGTACCAGGGACAAGGGAGCCAAAAAAATTTACAATCAAATTAATATTGATTATCTAATATCAAGAAGGAAATCGAGCAGAAAGAAAAGGTCATAGAGATTCCATTAACCTTGTTGGCAGGATGAGCCATTGCATTTCGGAAGTTTGCATTTTGTAGAAGTTCAAGGAAAAACAAACTATGAGGATACCTAGAAAAACCATTAAAGTCAATCCCAATAGTGTCTTCAGTTTAGGGAAAAGCTCGTGTAACACAAGATGGAAAGATCTTACTCACATTATAAACTTAATATACTCTGGTCGTTGCCAATATTGAAGGTACTTCAAGTAACCAATGAAAGCTTCATCCTCAAAGTAACGATTCTGAGCCAGATCTGTATAAAAACTTGATGATCAGCTATCAGAAATGGGAGGATAAAGAGCATTTGTTCCAATATTTCAATGCCAATTTGCATATGCAGGAGTATATTCAAGTGAGTACGTGACGATAACTGCCTCAAGAAAATTAAGAAAAGGGTGATACTTCAGAAATGTACTTTAGTCGTACGAGACCATAACATATCATCAAAAGAATAGAATTCCGGGCAATACATTATATGTGGAACCACTGTATGGAGTGGTACACTGCTAAGGCAAAAAGATTGAGCACCAATCTCTGAGTTGAGAAGGCACATAAAAGATAAATTCTATGGTGAATTTGTAGTAAAAACAGTAAGATACAGGCACATAAAAGATAAAATTTTATCCAGGTGCTACACTAGTTCATGAAGCTGCAAATTTGGAAGGAACACAGGTTCTGAGTGCCCAAAATCTGATATCTCAAAGTATTTTTCTTTTTCGCACTGATAAATTTAAAATTAACACTTCACAGGGAAATGCAACTGCGAAAATTATGAATAAACAAAAACAAAATTCCTATGAGGTATTACAATAGGAAAATTTAAGCTAACAGATGAATCTACTTTGTCATTAGAAAAAAGAAGTAGAATTTGCTTTACAGATTGGTTCGTTTTTATGTCAAGCACAATGTAATGTCTGTTTAGCACAGTAGAAATCCCAAGTGAAACTGAATTCATCTAGAAAGGGTTCGGGTTTGGAAGTAATTCTTTAACTACAACAAAAAAAAAAATAGTGGACCGTTTTATCTTAAATGGGTTAGTATACAATCACATACTCATTTCAATTTGAAGTTTCAAGCATTAGAAATTATCCAACTGCCAATATAGAACCCTAAATTTTGCAACAACGTACAGTGAATGTAGGTTGGATTGGCGAGACATTGAACAAATTCCAATTCGAGCAAGAACCGCTGCCGCCCGTCATCTGGATCCTTGTATACATTCGTAGGCCTGGCAATTATTCACCAAACAGAAAATAAAATGACAGAAAGGGAAAATCGATCAATTGACAAGCAGTGCTGTAAATCAATCGGTCCAGTGGAAGATAATAACTATGCTAAAAATCATTGACATAAACTAGAGATCACTTTCTTCCGTTTACATTTCGCACCAACCAAACGGAAAAGACGAATTGGAGCTATAACCAAAACGAAAGAAGAATTGGCTAAAAAGAAATTAACAACGAGGAAAAAGTCAGTACACGAGAAAGAACAGAGAAACACACTTACGATGATGGGTTATCAGATGCTTCTTCGTTTAATCCATGATTAGAGGCCATTGAATCTGATCAGTCGAACTTTAAAGCTCGTTCAACCGAAGTCCAAAATTGAACAAAAAAAACCTAAGCAAAATTGCTAGCGAACCAATATCCTTTGAAGTTCTCCGAAAAATGGCTACATCCACAGCCCAGGGAGCGATTGAAACCGATAATATAAAGAAATTGACACAAAAAAATTGAAATATGCTCGTTCTCAGTTCTAACGATGTTTCGCGACCAACAGAAAAGAGACGAGCAGAGCCGGAGGACCAGTTTGAGCGCGCCGTGTAAATAAATTTATGCAACAAATTTGTTTCACATAATAATTTTTTCAGAAAAAATTAGAACGAGAAAATTGTAAAAAAAAATATTAATTTTTTAACTAAGAATTATTTTCGTTTACGAATTCTTTTAAAGCGATCATTTCCATTAATTTTTGTTTTTTATCTAATTTTTTATTTTCTACATAATACAAAGTACAAACAAAATAATTATAAGTAGAGAGTCTTTTATATTCCCACCATATTGGGTTTTTTTTTTTAAATTAAATTGGAACTTAATAATTTATTAATACTGTATAATACTAAAAATTATTAACAAATAAGATATGTTTAAGAGTGAGTCATTTTTTAAAATGACTCATGTATCATTGTAAAATATTACAATTTTAATGGAAGTAATTTTTGCAATAATAAAAATGATTTTAATACTAAAATCACTTTCAAATATGTCTTAATATAAAAAAGAAAATTACATTTATCTTATCATATTATTCTATTTTTAAAAGAATATTTATTCATTCATCCGAAAGTCCAAGTTTAACTATTCGAATGAAATTTTTACATTTTATACAAATTATTTCTTCTCTCAAAATTAACAAATTTGATATTGTTTTTGAAGGAAAATAAAACTTTTCCAACATTAAAATCATTTTCCTTTTCTTGAGACAAACAAATTATCTTTAATACAAAGAGATTAAACTACCCCACATATTTTTGTACTAAAAATAATAATAATTATCTGACATAAACCTTTAAAAAAAAATAAAAAATCAAGGTCCAACCCCAATCTTTGAGAAGCCGCTACTAATAAAGCAACCAAAACATATTCAAAACTTGCAAAAGATAGGGTTGTGAACTACTGTGTTGGCACCCGAAGCCACAATTTAAACCTCAAACTTTTTTTACCAAAAATATATATATCTTAACCAATTGAACTTAGATTCGCTCTAATTAGTTTTAAAGTTATAATTACTTCTTAAAAAACAAAGAAATTCTACATTACCAATTCACCACCATACACAAGGAAGGATATGTCCTTAGCATCCTTAATTTTCCTTCTTTTAAATTCCCTAAAGATTGACAACATAATTTTTTTCAGCCCTTCCAGAGCCAACTAAATGCAAACCACAAATCTTTAACCCTCAAGCTAGAAACTGCTACCAAGTTCATAGAAACTCAAGTGGTATTTCTAAGCATGAATAGAGTACAATGTCTTCCACACCCTCCAAGTTAGAGAGAGGGTAATCGAACACTTGACGAAGGAACCATAGATCCCGAACAATAGTTTTGCAGTCGTAGTACGAGCATTATATCTCCTAGTACGGTCTGTACCGCATTGGCCGCCTGAACCTTGGAACCCTTCTGCACGGAGAGAATTTAGAGATTTTAATTATAAAGCTAAAAATGGAAAGAATTCTGAGGTTCTCAGTTTGATGGATCATTCCCCAAACCACTTCTAAAAAGATAAAAGAGCATAAATGGACTGCCAATACTCTAGTCCCCTTCCAAACAATATATGAAAAGTTTGTTGTTCTAAAAGAATGGATTTTGAAAAGAAAATACAGTACAATCATGATTGAAATATCAAAAATGGAAAAACAATGGCATATTGTGCGAAAAATAGAAATCGAAATATGACGTCTCAAAATTTCTAAGATTGGCAACTATAAATAAGAACTATCTTGTCCTAATCAAATTTTTATGACTACTCAGGCTTGTCCTTAACATTTGTTTACAACCTTTTTCAGATTAGTAAAAAGTTTGTTTCCCGTTTAAAATAGTTAAAAGAATTGAATTTTTATATTTTATAACATTGTGAACAAGCAACTGCCCGATGAGAAACTCATGCGTCATTTTGTAAAGAGATGCGACAGTATCCACACGAAAAGACAAAAACTAATACAAGCAAATGTCAATTAAAAGGGCTCTTTTACAGATCTCATTTGGCCTCTCAAGCCTTTGATATCAATACAATATCATTACAGTGATTCTTGAGTCTGGCTTTATTCGAATTTATCAGTTAGGCTTTATTCTTTTGGGCTGGAAGCCCTTTCTTTAGTCTAGGCTGTTGTTTTTGTATGCCCTTGTTTCTAGCTTTTGTTTTCATTAGTCTGAATGAAAAGTTCGATTTCTTATAAAAAAAAGATTTACAGTGATTCTTGAGAGAGAGATCTGATGGTAATACATTATATTACGAGACCTCTCTAGCTGCCATATATAATCATGCTAGAAAACTAATCGTAATAACTAATAAGTGTGCATCCTACTTTTAACAAAAGTTTTGAAGACACAAAATTCATGCAATTTTTCGACTATCAGCCTATACTGCAGTTCTGAGACGAAACTGCATAAATTAGTCTAATACTGCCTTTGTATTAATCACCTTATGGCATTATGCAAATGAACCTCCCTTCTAGAAGCATCAAGTATGCTTCACCACTTGGTTATACCCATTTCAAAGTTTCCTCCATGATTTATTTTAAATTTTTAATGGTAGACTCCCAGACCCCAGTCTAGATGCGATATGGTATTTCAGCACTTACCCATAACCATATGAAGGATAAAAGGGTGCAGCAGGCATGAAGGGCCGACGACCACCTCGAAAGCCAAAAGAGCTGGGCCGCCTTCCTCGGTATTGCTTCATTCCAGGGACATTTGTCCTTTTGGCAGAGACCTGTAAAATGTACCAAAAACCTACGAGTCAGTGGTAGAACACCATATTATTCATCCAGAATGAAAGTACATGATTGGAGATGTTGTGAAAGCTCCCTCACTCTCCCAGCCTAAGAAAACTATGTATACCGAAAGCCTCCTAAGATACTTCCCTTCTCTATGTACTCTCTTCCCTCACAACTCTCCAACAGCACATCACTCGTTTACAAAATTGGGCCACCAAAGTTAACTAAAAGCACTTGTGTATGCAATTTCAAAAGACCTTTAGTTGGCGACCGTGCAACTCTGATTCATTCAACAGCAAAGCATTCTGTACGGCATCAACCTCCACAAACTCAACATAAGCAAATCCCTTAGGGTGACCGAACTTGTCTGTCAAAATTGTCACTCTATTCACTGTTCCACATGATTGAAAATGTTGTTGAACCTCCTCAGGAGTGCATGCATAATCAACCTGAAGTAAAAACCACAATAGAAATAATAAATCATTTTGTATTGGGATGTGACAAAAGGAAAACATTGTGAAATGAGAGGAGATATGAAAATTCATGTGCACAGAGAAATAACAATTCAGCATGCCATCAAAACTTAATAGGGCTTCAGATAAGAAGCATCTATTTAAGGAATAACATCTTTAGACCCAAGCTTCGAAATCTATTGATTATATATTGTTTCAGGTAACAGCTTACAATGGCTTGAAACATACTTGACAAAAAATTCACAAAAAGAAAACAATGAAACGAGAACTAACATAAAAGGTTACGCTGAATCTTCTTTTTCTTTCTGTTCTTTTTTTTTATATAACTATGGGTCAGAGCTTTGCTCCCCCATACCTAGGGGGCACCCAAGGCCCAGTCCCAAGAGTAGAAAAGTTACACTGAATTGAAGCAAACAAACAGAATATTGACACTTCCCTGAGGTCCAAGATTTTGGTCACTTCTTGAAATTGTTTCATCCAATTATTTTTTCCATCCTAATTTGATTATGGTATCTTTGTGGCAACTGGCAAATAATAATTGCAACTTTAGCCTGGTGGGTTAGGCAAAGCACAGCAACTTAAGAAAGAAAAATGTGGCACTATGGACTAGTGGTTATGGAGATTTCCAAAATACCAGTGCCATAAGGTGGTGGTTAGCATATTTGAGAAAGCGAAAAAAATGGGTGGTATACAAAGAACGGAAGTGAACAGAGTCCTTGATGGGAGTAATAGCAAACTAAAACATCACATTGATAACTTTACTACAATTGAATTTGGAGAATGGAGATGGTGGGAGAATTTCCCATTGACACGATACATGGGTGGAAATGAATTCTTTTGAATTTTAATCTGCTTACTCCATTTGGTTGCAAGGAAACTTGTAGAATTTTAAATCGTAATTGACCACCATAGTTCGAACTCAATGACCACAAGGTCAAACCATGGTGGCTGGACCCTTTCTCAGGAAATGTCAACAAGGTGATACTGGATAAATCACACAAGAAATGACGTAATATGGCAATAATTCCTAGCTGTTGTCAGCTTTTTTTGAAAGCGGACGAGAACCAAGGAATTTTTACATTTTCTCTTGTGGCAAGAATTTGTGAAAGAAGAAAAAAAGCCCTGATAGATCAACACAGCAAGAACGTTTGTTCTGGGCTATGGTAAGAAAGAAACTGGAGACGTTTCAATTGGAGGAGCATGAGTTGGGAAGAGGTCCTAGACTTAGCATCCATAGGTCTGGTTAGTGTGCACTTTCTAGTTCTGTGTAATTAAACTCCCTTCGTAATAACACATTGGAGCGGCTTCTTATAAACTCCTACAAAGAGTAGATAAATTTTGGTAGTACCTTCTATATTTCTTATCAAGTATTATTTCTCGATGAAAATTTTTAATTAAAAAAATTGTCATCTGAAGTAAAATAATTTTTAAAAGATGCTTATCAACATCTTTAATACAGTAATTTGTTTTTTATAAGAATTTTTAACACGGTAATTTAGATAATTTGAATATAACTACCATCCATGGTTGTTGACTAAAAGAAAAGGAAACCAATACTACAAATGTAATACTAGAAATGTGTACTGCAAAACTTTAACATTTAAATAACGTAGTGAACTAAAAGGGTGATAAATCTCACATTACCAACATATACAGATCGGGAATCTACTTCCTCCTTTTCAGCCTGAGTTGCAGAGGTACTGGATGAATCTTCTTACATGTTAAAAGGAATACAAGTTAATTACAAATAGACTATAAACCTTGAAATGATTGTTAATTAAAGTATGAGATAAAGCTTCCATTGATTAATATATTTCCCGTCACCAAAAAGCAGATAATGATAACAAGAAATAGAGCAGTAAATTCATCACAAAACTATCCTGTAAAGTTTCAAATCAGTAGACCTCCACACAGGATCACACGCATATTGCATACTTCACAAGCTCAAAGTTCCTAAAGTTTTGTACAGCTATAAACGTAATATACCTATAAGGCCATAACTGAAAAGGAAATAGGGGGACATTAAACAATCAAATTGATTCATTGATAAAGTGAAAAATATTATATAAAAAATGTGACAAAATTAAACCAACGTAGAGAGAACTTAACTTCCATTCCACCAAGATGAAAGACAACCATTTGAAGAAGTTTTTCAAGTATTATCAAAGCATAGAAAATCTTTAAAATTATCTAGTTGGTTTATAAACATAAAACAAAAACCTCAAGACTACAAAAAAAATCTAAGAACATTATGCACCTATTGACATAATAAGCATAAACAACGATTCGCAAAACTCAAAATTTTCAATATCTGGCAATCTCCTGTTTCCTTTTCTTTGCATGAGAAACAAAACTATAACGAAGTTTGTTGAAAAGTAAAAAGCGATTCAATTGGTGAGAAAAAAGAGACATAATGATTATAAAACTCTTTCGTTATGGACACCTAAGAGAGGTGATAAACCTCGTCGTAGACACGACACTTCCCCCAAGGTGGCTCCTAATCCATCTAAAAAGCTCTTCTATTTCGACTCTTCGATAACCTCATTTACACTCCGCTTTAGACGACACCTCTTTGTAGAATCTCTGGAACTAGAATACCAAAAACCCCGTTACATCCTTAACAGCTCCTAGAGCTTCAAACAACCTGATTCTCAATTTTGCAACTAAATTAAATTAAATTAATTAAACCCTTTAAATGTGCATACACATGATCAGGCTAAAATCTAGGTTTTCGGGTCTGTTCCCGTAGAGAAAAGCAACTGAATCGAAGTCCACGAAAGAGCCAGGGTCAAACAATGCCCGTCTTACAAATAAACTACAAAGCTCATTCAAGCAACTTAAATCCTCCTTCCCACCAAACTAAGGACCAGTTAAAGAAATTCAAGCCCAGATCAAGCACGGAATTCAACAACCACCAACTGAATTACACAGAAGAATAATGAAGATACCTTGAACAGCACCCATCTCCTTCTCAACCTTGGCCTGCATTTCCCGAAGGGCACCGGCTTCCTCCTCGATCTCCTTGAGCCTCCTTTTCATGTCCTCCAAGTCCTAGCATCGGAAGCACAGAGAATGAGACAGAAAACTCCATGGAAGAGGCTCGGAACGAACAGAGAAGAAGTGGAGAAAGGTACCTTGGAGTTGGCGTTACTGGGCTCGGCCTCGTAACCCTCTTCGTCGGCCCTACCAGAGGACATGTCGAGGTCGGCATCCATCTCTCCGTCGTCGGGAATATCGCCTCCATAGACTTCGTGTTCGTGCTCTTCGTAGTTAAAATTGTGCTCCATCTCCGTCTCCGATGGCCCCTCGATCGCTGGTTGCTATGTGTATTTTTGTCTACTGGTTCCCAATTGCTCGAGATTAGGTTTCGGATCCTGTCTGGGACTCCTCTGGTTTTCAATTTTCATATTCGTCTTGTTTATTTTTATTTATTATTATTATTTTCTTTAAAATATTATCGTATCTTTCTAATTTTATTTGTTCCCATTTAAATTTAAAGACACGATTGAACTCCAAAGTTTATTGATTCTCCTTTTTTTTTTTATTCGTGTTTTTTAAACATTGGTTATCTACCAATATTTTTTCTTCATTCTCAAATCTAATTTCAAACACCTTTTTGAAAATTATAGTCTATTTATTCTTTTAATTCCTATATGTGTTTTATATAGATTATTGGGGCACTTTTCAATTAATTAAAATTTATTAAACCAATTTATGTAGTTTGTCTTTACAGGTTGAATTTCAATGGTTGGGGATAAAGAGTTTTACCGTGATATTTTCTTAATAACTCATCATTTTACAACTCGTTATTTAACCTATGTTTTCTTTCAGATTGTACTCGAAATTCAAGCGTTACATATCGTTTTGTACGTATATGTAGTGTGTTTATAAATAATTTTGTATATACACCAAGTTTACAAAATATAATGTTTATAATGGATTTAAGAATAGTTATGTTGTAAAATATTATTGTTTTATTTTGTAAGCAGTACGAATTTGTTAGTCAAAGTGAAGGAGTTGGTTATGCACTATGTAGCTAATCAGGATATGTAGGCGTGTTCTAGGACTAATAGGTATTTTGAGATGGATTGTGTCATTTATATACTTGATATACTATTTATCTCTACTTCTTTTTATTGTGTTCAGTTTTTTCTTATTGAATTGTGTTGAGTTGTTGACCTATTTTAAATTAAATATCTATCTTTTATACCTAAAATGCATGTCTTATATATATTGCTATGTAACTTATATACATGATATTTGTTAGGTTACTAAATGAATCAATAATATTGATATGATTACAAGTGTTGATATATCTTGTTACATTGATATATAGGATTTGCGGTGTTACTAAATGTCTTATATACACTACATTTAAATAACATTTTATAAATTTGGAGAAAAAATTATAAAAATTGAACAGATTATGTACAAATCTCTCTCTCCCTCTCCAAACTTAGGCCCAAGCCCAATAGCTAAAGCCCAGCCCACAATCCAACCCGATAAGTTCCTATGCGGCGCTCCACTCCCAGTCCCATTGATCAGGAGCACAGAGCGAAGGAGCGGACTGGATATGGCATCTATTGCTCTGTCACCTTCCACTAGACTGCAGCAAATTCAACTTTCCCGTTCCAGCTTTCGCGGAAGCCCACTGCCTCCATCCGCCATTTCTCTCAGCTCAAACAAACAGGTTTGCTTCAATTTTACTTCTACCGTATAGTTTAGTTTACTCCGTTTGGATCGCCACCAAATTGCAATTGAACAACGGCGAGTCCCTAAATTTGTCCCCCTTGTTTATATATATTTCAATTTTCTCCCTGTGCATTTGATCTACTTTTTCTTATGTTGTGTTTGTCAATTGCTGTTGCTGTTATTTGCTCATTCTGTGAGTTCGAGTCTAGTGTGCTTTGACAGAACATCATTTGGATGCAATTCGGTGGTTCAATGGGCAATACTACGATAAGCGTTAAAACACGTTGATAGGTTGGAGTATATATATATATATTTTGATATATGAGAGTCAGCTTGGCTAAGGCCTGTACCCGAAAGACATCAAGGATTTTTTATATTAAGTTTGGTTAACGGTTCGAATTTGAGAATTTTAAGCCAATATGACTAGAAACTCTAAGCCCTTGCCAATTGAGGTGTCATCTAACTACACGGGCAAAAGGGTACAGCACGAGGACTTTCCAAGTGCTCATATTTTGCCATCTAACTGGGATCCATTATCTAACAGAAAACCTCACCTCACCTCCCCACTGCTCTCTTCCTCGGCCTCTCTGTCTGTCTAGAATATGCCTTTCCAATTGGGGGCTATCATTGTCACTCACTATTAATATTACTTGAGGAGGAAACGACATGGTAAAGATTTGAACGAAGCGTTAATGTCATGTTAAAACATTGGTAAACTTAAGAGGTTTAAACTGATAGATCAGATATGTAATACTAACCCAAATAGTAATTTAACATGTACCAGATAGAGTTAAAACTCTACAATTTATTTAGTGTGTTTGATTTATGTTGTTTACATGTTAGTTCTTGTGCAGTTTTAACTTCTATCTGTCGCTATCAGCTTAATATTTTCGATATAGTGTTTACTTGATGCTATTGACTCGAAAAGTTCTGAAACTACCTTTAATTTAAGTCCATTTGATGGTATATATGCAAGCGTGATTGAACTAATTTCTAACTTTGTTTTATGTGTGTGTGCAACAGAAACAACATGTTTCAAAGACTCGTGTCACCAAAATCACTGCGAAGTTTGACCTGAAGCCTCCTCCTTATCCTCTGGTATGTCTGTAATATCGTTTGGTTCATCAATTTATAAGCTCTTTAATTTCTAGAACATATAGTAGCTGTAGATGTTTAATGGCTTTCAGCCTTATACTAGCTGCTGTTTCTTTAATTATGTTCTTGAGCTTCAATTGGATTCTAGTTCTACTTCAGCATAATGTCCTTAGAGATGCCTTTTTCAAGTCTCAAGTTTTGGGTAAAACTTGATCTTGTTATTACAACTTTTAAGACCCCATTTATTTCTATTTATATATATAAATGATTAAAAATTCACCCCTAACCCAATAGCTTAAGCTTAAGCTTTCAGTTGCACAAATTAACATATTATTATAAAGAACCCTATAAGACAAACTCATAGTCTCATACACTATTTTGTTTTTATAAAAATGCCTAAAAAGTACGCTTTGAAGATCCTTCACTGTACATTTTTGGCGTGATATGAACTTAGAAAGAGGACTGCCTCACGCTTTTACAAACTGTGCTTTCACAGGATGCTCTGGAACCACATATGAGTCGTTCAACCCTCGAATATCATTGGGGAAAACACCACAGAGCTTATGTGGACAACCTGAACAAACAGATAGAAGGAACTGAGCTGGATGAATTGTCACTGGAAGATATCATACTTAGAACATATAACAAAGGCGATATCCGTCCACAATTCAACAATGCAGCACAGGTACCCCATCCGCATATTCGCGATTATCCTTCTAATTGGTTTTTGACAAGATAGTAGTTTTACAAGTATTGTAGTTTGATGGTTGATATTATTTTCTCGTTTAAACCTTATTTTAGTCCGTGAACTTTCATATCTATTTTTATTTTGTTCCTTTTCAAGCATTATGTTTTAGTTCTTGAAATTTGCATCAAAGAACATTCTGATCCTTGGCTCCTGGCCACTTATGGGCACATCTTTTGTTTATTTAGTTGATGAATAGATGCCTATATAAACCATTGTTTAAACCTCCCTCATTTCAAGAATTACATTACATCGAAGTTCTGTGACACCATCGTTACTGCAAATTGTAGATCTGGAACCATGATTTTCTGTGGGAGTCCATCAAACCTGGGGGAGGGGGAAAGCCAACAGGAGAACTTCTAGAACTGATTGAAAGAGACTTTGGTTCTTTTGAAAAATTCATGGAAGAATTCAAGTCTGCTGCAGCAACGCAGTTTGGTTCTGGTTGGGCTTGGCTTGCCTGTGAGTCATATTACTTGGTCTCTTTTCCCTCATACTTGTGTTTTAATATTTATTTTGCTTCAAATTAAGCTAAACTGCTTATTATTTTCTCTTTTTTAGATAAGGATAACACTCTTGACCATCCACGTCCAACAGAGAAGGACAAAAAGCTTGTAATTCTGAAGAGCCCTAATGCTGTCAACCCACTCGTTTGGGACTATGCTGTGAGTATCACATCATTTTTTATCCGTCACAAATAATCAAAGAGTTGATAATTAATCGCCAGCTTGAGTATATCTTAACTGCTTAAGGTATATATCCTCGACCACGAAGTCGGAGGTTTGAATCTCCACTCCTGCATATTGTTGAATTAATAAAAAAAGAAGTTCTAATCAAAGGTCCAAACGATCTCACAAATAATCCAGCTAAAGTAACAGGGAGAATTAGACCTAATTCAATTGAAATTGAAAATCTATCTACCCAGAATCTCGGGGGTGTGGTCTTAATTGGCCCTTAAAATAACAATTAGCATAATAAAGCCAAGAGAAATTTTGCTACATAGCATAAACTTTATATATATTTTAAAAAATGTCACTAACTTTTCATTTTTAAATATAGCTTAGGTATGACCTTTCTTGATGTGTTTTATATTATATTTGAGGATAAATAGTGACGATTCCATTTAATGTAGAATTTCGGTGCTCCTATAATTAATAATATGATGGGTTTTTTATTTTTAATTCATTTTATATTTCTTTGCAGCCACTCCTTACTATTGACGTTTGGGAGGTAATGGATTATATACATGATTCTTTTCTTCTGTTTTTTCTTTTTTCTTCATTGATTGCTAATATTGTGCTATTTGGATTTGATCTTAACAGCATGCTTATTACCTCGACTTCCAGGTTAGACTTAACCTTATGACTTATATATCTTCCTCTTCTTTTCTCGATCCTTAACTCAGACTGCCCTTCCTTAGTAATATCATTGATGTCATTCTTCTTGCAGAATCGGCGACCCGATTATATATCAACCTTTGTTTCGAACCTCATATCGTGGGAAGCAGCAGACTTGAGGCTGGAGAAAGCCAAGGCTCAAGCTGCTGAAAGAGCAAAGGAAAAAGAGAAGAAAAAGGAGAAGAAAAAATCCGAAGGTGGTGACGGTGAGGTGTACGTCGACAGCAGTTCGAGCGAGTCGGATTCGGATTCTGACTAAAAATGGCTCTCTGGTTTACAGTGTTCATAAAGGTGCACAACATATTTCCCTATCTCTCCATGTTTGGTTGCTCTTTCCTTTGCATCCATCACACTGTTACTGTTGATTCTGTGCTCTGAGTTTTGTTGTAATTTCAAATTTGTAGCTGTGATCAGTTTGTAGACTTTTTGAGTTGGCTGCAAAGTGAGGAAAGAGTGTGTAATTTTGTAGCTTTTTAGAGAATAAATAACTTTTACTTCCATAATCTGCATATAACGTTATGTTATGTTCTTCATTCTGGGGAGTGGGGAGAATGTTCAATAAATATATTTTTATTTTACCTCCTAACTTTTTTTTTTTTATATAATATATACTATGTTTTAGTATTTGAGCTCTCAAATCTTGGGTTTCAATTTCGGATATGGAGTTATTTTAGTATTTATCGTTATTTTTTCATTAATTATTTAACAAAACAAAATCTTAAAATTGTGCACCATCAGTTATAACTTTTAATCTTAAACTTGCTTGTGCAATTATATTTATCGCTTGATAAAAATATTTTATAAAAATGACATAAATATAGTAATCTTTACATCACTAATGTAATATATAGTTCATGTATGTTATATTGGATATGCTAGTTGTCTAACTTATCGATTTGTATTTTTTTCTTCGTGTAAAGAATTTGTAAATCTGACAACCTTACCCCTCGTTATATTTTCAATTCAAAGTATGACATCACATGTGTGGAATTAACTTTAATAAAAATTATTATTTTATAAAAAAATAGGAATACGGGTCAATATATCTAACTTTCAAATATCACAAACGAAAAGGGACAAGAAATTTACCAAATAAAAGTTGATTAGAAATATTCTACGGTGACCACTTAATATGTTTTTTTTTAATGTAGTGGGATCAACTGATCGTCTTTGTAAAATTTGTCGTGTTTGGGATATGAAAAAAAAATGATTAAAAATAGTCATGAGAAAAACATTTGCAATTAAATTAGAAACACTTACCTAACCCAACTTGTGAAGCCACCGGTGGTGTTATTATATAAAAAAGAAAGTGCATTGCTTCTTTAGTGGGACCAATAAGAGAATGGGGTTTGACCAGTCAGAGCCAACCAACCATTTTTTATAAATTGATATTTTGTTAATGTTAAATTCTTTACTTCACTCTACTCCATTAAAAAACTTAACTAGGATCAGATAAAATTTAAACAAATAAAATATTGGTTAAAAGATTTGGTTTTTGTACTTTTATTAAAGTAACAATTTAGTTCCTGAACTTTAATTTGTAACGATTTAGTCCATGTACTTTCACTAAATTAATAATTTAGTCCTTGAACTTTAGTTTATAATGATTTAGTCCATGTAACTTAAAATTTGTAACAATTTAGTCCCTATCGTAACAAAATTGATTAAAATTGAGTGTCAAATTTTAACATATAACAATTCAATCTTTCTAATTTATAAATATATTTGGTCCTTCTTTGGTCTATCAATCTATATATGTAAGAAACTTAAAAAAAAAGTTTCACGATAAGGACGAGGACTAAATTGTTACCAATTTGAAAGTATATGGGTTAAATCGTTATAAACTAAAGTTCGAGGACTAAATTGTTACTTTAACAAAAGTACAGGGACCAAAAGTATTTTTTAACCTAAAATATTGAAGAATCGTAGTGGGTGAAAAATAGTTTTTGTATGTAAATATAGCATAATGAATAAGATTTCACAAGTATTACAAATTTTTTGCGGGCTTAATCGTGTTGATGAGTTTTTTTGGAAAATCATATTACATTTTAATTTTCTTTTACTTGGTTGTAAAATTGTTATTATTTTGTCTCGGATTGCTCCTACTCCTAAAATATTGTTACAACCATACTTCATATATTATTTATTTAATAAGATACCTCTCTCACATTTTTCTTTCATTCAATGCCCCTTTTTGACTTCTACATTGTTCTTGCCACTTTGACTTTGTTTATGATATTTAGAAATTAATAGGCTCTCTAAATGAACATGCAACCACATCTATCTATATATATATATATTTTCAGTAACTAGTCTGTATTTTCTAATTCACTCAGATAAATTAATATTTTATATTGAAAAATGATGGATTACAAAAATGATATTTCAAAGTGAAAACAGAAAATTTTATAACTTGTAAATAAAAAAATTAAGATTGGTTTATCAAAAAAACTAAAGGAACAAAAGAACAAAAATCACAAACTATGAAATAAACCTTCGTTAATGTCTGCTCCTGTTGAGATCATAGATTCAACGTCTTCATATCCCACATCTATTGTATTAAAGAAAACATAAATTATGATAATTATTGGATTGACAATTTTAATTTTAATGGATACATCAGCATAACTCAACGCAATTAAAGTCAACCTAACTACCTAAGCATATATCAATTAGTTAAGACATATATTGTCGATCAAAATATCGAATCAGTAACTATAAATTATTATCGACAATTCAAACTTCTTCCACCATAATCATAACGTTATACCTATACACTATGAGTTGTTATAAATGAAACCTTAGCCTGTAGGAGCATTTTTTTCTAACAAAAAAATAATAATAATAAATAAATTGTTAACTTTCAAGGTTTAACTTCTCAACTTTTAGAATTATGCCTAATTAAACTATGGAATTTTGTAATTTTATAATAGATTCATATAGACTTATAATATTCTATCCAACAGGCATACAAACTTTAGACTTTAAAATATACACAAAGTTTACAAACTCAATTTATAATTTAATATTTTCAAATTAAATAATATTTTAGAAATCTTAATAACTATTTTGTTTTTTAAAATAAAATTTATGACTACTATTTATAAATTTGTTATCAACTTTTTTAAAACGTTCGAAATATTTGTTTTTAAGCTAAATTTTTTAAAGAAAAACTGAAAAACATACTTTAAAAAATTGCTGGAAAACAAGCCTAATATTTTAAAACAAAGAACCCACCTTAGTTTTATTTATTTATTTTTTTTTTCTTTGTCATATTTGGCGACATTGACCAAGTCCACGGTTAAGAAATCTTTTTTACTTGATTAAAAAACGCGAGAACTAGCGAACGAGCCCACGCGCTTATAATTGAAGTCAACGTCATTTCCACTCTCTCTCCTAATCAGCTTTCTGTCTCTTCTCTCCCCCTTCTTCAAATTCCAACCTCTTCTTCTTCTCTCCCAACGCTCGATCTAATTACAGATCGACAATTCCTCCACCATTTCC